TATCTTAGTTATGCCCTTTAGTCGTAGAGATATAGTAGTCGCTAACCCGAAGGTATAAGAGGTAAGGGGAGAAAAGGGGCAAAACGTAAAAGTTATTTATTCGGCTATAGCGGTACGACGAAGTAACTTAAGCGCCTATAATTAAAATAGATATACTAATCGGAGAACGACGAATCTAATAATAAAAACGAATCTTTAATTAAGGTAAAAATAATAAAGATAGTAATCTAACTAGGTAATAAACTAAATAATAAACATAGCATATTCCGTACTTACGGGAGCTATGGTTATTCTATATAGGTATAAGGCCTATCGTAGCGTATTACGTAATACATCAAGAGGGTATGTCTTACCGCACCACTACAATATTTAGCCCTATGCCTCTTTAGTAATACTTACGTAAGAGAAGCTTATAAGTCTTCTTTTCGTTAAAATATCCCGCTAAGGGGTCGTTATAATAACGCATTATAAGCTCTTTCCTAACGCCCGGCTTTATAGGAATATAGACTCGGTTTTAATACTTAATTAACCTATTTTTATTTACCGTTTATAGGGAGCTATCGGCTTTAACGGAGTTATCCGCTACCTTTAGCTTCTTTCTTCGTCCTTTAAGCTTAAGGTTACTTTTCTAAATACGTTAGAGTAATATTCTTATAGTTTCGGTAACGTTTTCGTATATCGTTTCTTAAGTTATTATTTCGCTAGCTCTTCGCTTACGAATCGTTTATAAAATATATCTTAAGTATTTTCTCTTAAAGGATTTCCTATTCTTATTAAATACTTTAATTACGGCTAGCTTTACTTTTAGTAATAATAGTAGTTCCGTTTAGGTTCCCTTTTCTTTATAGTAATCGGGTCGCTTCGACGGCGTATCGGCGGAGTTACGCTTACCGCTACGATATTATATTACGAAATCGTAAGGTATTAATTACATATACTACCTAGCCTACCTTCCGTTAAGCCTAGGTTATTTTATAAACGTTTAGAGATTATAGTAATCCGATAATACCTTAACGGTATATCGACTTTCTTATACGTAATACTTTTAGTATTTAAATAATTCTACGATAGTTATTAATTCTTAATTAGGAGTATTATATTAAAGCTTTACGCCTTTAAACTTCTTCGATTAAAACGCGATAAGGTAATATAGGCCTTTCTCGTTTAGTTACGATAGGATCGCCGATATAGCGTACCCGGAAGCGTTAGTTTCGATTCTTATACGCGCTTCGGGGTCGAAATATCGAAGTAGTAGCGCTTTCGTAAAGGCGTCGCGTAACTATCGGAACGCTAGTACCTCTTCGCCCGCGAACTAAACTTTTCCTAGTTTTCTTCCGTTAATACTTCCTTTTAATAATTCGTAAAGGGGCTTTACTATGCGGGAATATCCTTCTATAAATCTACGATAGAAGTTATAAAATCCTAGAAATTATTATATTTCGTAAAAGGTCGTAGGTTCTAGTTAGTTTTTAATAATATCTACCCTTTTCGGGTCTATCGAAACTCCTTCCTATAATATATAAAACCCTAGGAATTCGATATTATCGCGATAAAAGGAATACTTCGCTACGTTAACGTAAAGATCGGCTTCTCGTAGCCTTTTAAGGACTTAGCGGAGGTTACGCGTATAGGTTTCTCGGTTTTATACGAAGATAAGGATATCGTCGAGGTACGTTATATAAACGATATCGATTAACCCGTAAAGCGCTTTATGGATATAATTTTAAAAGGTAATAGAGGCGTTAGTTAATCTAAAGGGCATTACTAGATATTCGTAGTAACCGTATTAGGTTCGGAAGGCGGTTTTCCATTCGTCGCCTTCCTTAATTCGTATTTTATAATACGCGTTTTTTAGGTTTATCTTCGAAAAGACCTTCGCCTCCGAAACCCTATCGAAGATTTTAAATATAAGGGGAAGGGAATATCGGTTCTTAGTCGTTAGTCGATTTAATTCCTTATAATCGACGCATAGCCTTAATCTTCCGTTCTTTTTAGGTACGAAAAGGATAGGGGCTCTTACGGGGTTCTTCGATTCCCGTATACGTTTAAGTTTTAGGTTTTCCTATATATATTCTCGTAACGTATCGAACTTATTCTAGGCTAAAAGATATATTAGGCTATAAGGAGGTACGAAATCCTCCGGCGTTTCGATAGCGTAATCGGCTTATTTATGGGGTAGTGTAGTGGTGCGGTGGATCTAGGCCACGTAGCCTTTTCGATGTGTATTTATATGGGTCGCGCACTCATATTTTCATCAGCCAGACTTAGACCTGTAGACATCACGACCTACAGCTATTCACTCGTTTCTTGCCATGCCTTTCTAGCCTTCCTCCTCGTTGCCTTTCCAGTCCTCCTTTCCCAGCTGCCGTTTCAGCTGGCCGATCAACCGATTACAGCTGTTTACAGCTGTGATCTTAGGTTGATCGGCACTGGGCCAGTTGTTGGCAGTTGGGTAGCCGTTTCGTGCCTCCGTCAGCGTGCCCACGCTGCTCCTGTTCAGTAGTAATATAGCTACTTCCTTATCGTTAAATACGTCGACGAAGTCTCGTAGCTTTTTAAGTAAGTCTTCGATGCGCCTTAATATCGATACCTCTTTATCGGATAATAAAATAGGTTTTAATAATTAGATTATTACGAAGACTTTCGCTTCGTTCTTTCGTACGTATTTTACGAACTAATAAGGTTTCATAAGTTCGTACGTAGGTTTTATAATTTTAAACTACTATCGATTCGCCTCCGTATCGAATAAGATACGCTCGTCCTTTATTATCGTTATAAAAAGTAATATAGGGCTCCCCTTTAGTTTAAGGTTTCGGTCGATCGCTATATACGGGCGTTCTAGCGTCTTTATTATACCCTTACTATTAGTAATTTATATTAGTATAATATATATCCCGTAGCTTAAATACCGTAAGTCGCCGATAACGCGTAATACTAGCGCTATGAATTTAACTCGCTAAAGTCTCGCTTATTTAACGAACTCGACGTTAATATAATTTATTTTAACGCCCGAATCGAAATCGAGATATATTTTAATAATAATTAGTACTTCTATTATAGCTTTAACGTAAAACCGTATTATAACCCTTATTAACGGGTACGGCTCCGTAAGTTAGGATATACCTAGGGAGCTTAGGCTTTTCCCTTTCCTTTAGCGAGGCCTCTAATATAAGGCGAGTTTCTTTTAAGGTATCGGTTAACTAAATACGCTTCGCTATTATAAATATAATACTTTAATATATTTCCGTTCTAACTTATTAGGTTCTTTTTAAACGGGGTTATATTATCGTCGTATCGTTAGCGTTCCTTTAGCGTAGCGGTATTATTACCCTTATTAATCTTCCGCGGGAGCGTATTCTTTATATCGTTTCTTTTCTTTTAGGTCGGGCCTTAAATAAACTTAGTTACTTATTAGGTATCCTATTTAATTTCTATTTAATCGACGATATTTACGCGGCTTATCGGCCTTTCGCTACCGAAATTCTCTAGGTATAACTTAAAAGGTACGTAGAGTTTAACGTAAAACGTTAGGGCCTTTTAGCTTTTTAACCTAGGTTTACTTTAATTTTCGATCGAGCTTAAGTAGATATCGAAATCCCGCGGAAATTAATTAGAATATTATCGAGCGTTTTTTATTTAATCCGCTAGTTTATATTCGCGGTTAATCGCGTTCTTTAGGAGGGATAAGGCCTATGTCTTAAACTATTCGAAGTCTTCGAGCGCTACGTCTCGCTATACTTACGTCGGTATCTCGCTCGTATAGCGTTTCTATAATACTCTCGCTTTTAGTTTTATATAACGGATAGCGTATAGGATCCGTTTTTATATCGATTTAAACTTCTTAAAGGCGCTAAGGTATATAAGGCCGAGATCCTTTAGTTATTCTTCGAATTTCCTAAAGCTAAAGTCCCTTTAGAAGATAAGGGTTTCTTTTATTTTAAAATCGGGGCCCTAGCTATCGTTTAACGAATTAATATCGCTTCGATAGCGCCTACCTTTACCCGGGCGTTTATTAAAGTTATTATAAACCTCGTTCTTTAGTTCCTTAAGGCGTTACTAGGCTTCCTTAAGAGCTTCTAATTAACGAATCTTCTCTTTAACCTTTTAAAGGTTCTCTTATAGGATATTTAGTTTAGTACGGGAGCTATTACTCGCTTCGCCTTCGTAGGTATCGCCCTTCTATCGGCGAAGTCGTTCGTTCCGGGAACTATTACGAATTACCCGCGATTCGCTTCCTACGGACTCGTTACCGCTTCCTTCTATAATACGGGCTATCTTTATTAAATAACTTTTAAAGAAGTACTTAAATTATAATAAAATCCTTAAGCTAGGTAATAAGTATATCCCCGTAGTAACGTAAATAAGTACTTACCTTTTAAAAGGATAAGAAGGCGAATACCTAGCGATAAACAGTCGCTTATATAGCGAAAAGTAGGATAAGCTAAAACGGTTACCGCTTAGGAGGTACCCTCGTACCGGTATAAGTATCATAATACCTTGTACCCTCGTACCTATCGCGTACCTTCCTATCGCTCCCTTATACGAGGTAAGCGATAAGAAGGTACCTAGAGAGGCTAAAATAGCACTAGAAACGTCTAAAAATAAGGTATCGTAAACGGAGGACTATATCGAGGTTATAACGCCGGAATTAAAGGGTTTTAATTAATTTTAGTAATATAAATGGCTTTAATTATTAACGTAATAGTTACTAGGTAATACTTAATTTAGGTAGCCCGTGGAGGGGTAGCTCGTAAAGCGGTAACCTAACTTAATCAGACGGGGCAGCTAAAGAGGCAAAATAAGGAGGTATTATCCCTTCCCCGGACCTCGTTAAGGCTAGCAATCCCTCCTACACCCAGCGCGGTAAGGGCCCTTGGCGATCATGGTATTAGCATCTCTATATTTAATATTGGGTCGATCTTTTTCCCGAGTTCAGTAACGTCGACCACACCATATTAATAGCCTTACGTCTATACCACAATTTGCGAAGCTTTCTCCCAATGCATTTCCTCGACCTGCTCGGGTTCTTTTCCGCCAATATCGTGCCAGCAGCTGCACTCAGTGGAGTTAGTCTTTTAAATGTGCTACTCCCTCGGTCGCCACACCGGCGGTGGTCATGTTGCTCGATTCCCGGAGACGTATCCTAGCTGAACCAGAGCAGTTAGCGTACGCTTAACGAGACCGTCGACGGGCGGCTCGTTGCAACCGTCCCCTTTGCCGCCCCTTGCCACAACTTCTATGTCGATGATGGAAACACCAGCGTACGATCCTTCGATTGAGGCCAATGTGACGCGCTGCGTAACGTCTGGTTCTTTCCTAAAACCCATCTGACATTGCCGTCTTCGCCCATGGCCTACCCATACCCTCACGACAGCTGCAATCCCTTGCTAGAACCCCATTCTCCCTGCACTCTTGACTATCATGCCGTCTTTTCGATCAACGCCACGGGCCTGTCCGACATCCAAGCCCGTATTCGCTTCCCTCGTAAGCATAACTTCCGCTTGGCCATTCGCAACACAGGCCACGACTACCTCGGAAAGTCTCCCGGAGCTCACTCGCTTTTCCTGTGGACCAAGCACCTGAAGTCTTTCTCCTTTCTTGAGAAATACAAAGGCCTGAAGTATATAGGGCCTGCAATCAAGATGGGTGCTGGCATGGGAGGAATTGAGGCCTACTGGTTCGCCAATTTCTCATGGCCTCTTGGTAGTGGGAGGCAATTGCCCGACCGTTAGCTTAGCTAGGGGTGAGTATTAACCTGAGGGTCATGGCATGGATAGCCGCTCATCCGCCTCCCTTTCTCTTCAATGACACCACCATCTCGAAAAGCGCCACTGGAGGTGTGTCCCCGTAGTGTGAGGATAAAGAAACTAACGATGCTATACCGCAGCTATAAGTTAGGTTACCGCTTACCCTCGGCGGCGGCCATGGCCCGTTTTCGTTGAAGTATGGTTTAGCTGCTGAGCAGGTCCTCTAATTCGAGGTGATGACGGGGACTGGCCAACTCTTGACCGCAAGTGCCACGGAGAATCCAGACCTCTTCTGGGCCCTGCGCGGAGGTGGTGGCGGCACGTTCGGAGTCGTTGTACCTATCTATGACTGTCAAAGCCGTCCCCGATAACCACTTCTCGACGGCGTACATCACTGCCCCAGACAACGGGACTAACACGAAGTCTATATATTTTGCACTCATGAAATTTCTTGGAGCACTACCGGGCATTGTGATCGCTGTCGTTTCGGCTATGTGGGTAGCAGCTCCGTTCGGCTCCATGCTCATGCCAGCCTTCGGGCCTGGACTGCGACAAGACGATATCGACAAGCTACTCCGCTGCACACTGGAAAGGATGGATAATCTTGGGCTCGAAGACCAGTACCCCTACTCGGAGTTTCCCACCTTCCTATCTGCCGATAATTCGTTAACGTCGAGCTGGAACGTCTCAGACTACAACATCGGTGGCCGCTTGACTGATAACCTCGACGGTCTGGTGTTGGCTATTGATCCATCGCGTCCCAAACCATCATATCTGGCGTTTCCTGCAACTTTGAGAACTCGGTCTCATTGGTTTCTGACGTTGCCGTCAACCCATATTTCCGCGAGACCCTTTTTAGCGCTGTTGTTGGCACCCCGATCGACTACAACGGCCTGGCGAGCAACCAGGCGGCCCAGGACAAACTAACAAATGATCTCCTTCCGCTACTTGCAAAGTTGACCCCGAAAGGCGCCGCATACTTGAATGAAGCAGACTTTCAGCAACCTGACTTCAAGTGGGCCTTTTACGGTGATCACTACGAAAAGCTTTTCGTTATCAAGCAGAAATATGACTCCCATGACATCCCCTATACCAAGACTGCCGTTGGTGGTGATAGGCGGATGTAGGATGCGGATGGAAGGCTGTGTAAAGTACAACTGAATTAAACGTACTCTACGCGGGAACTCGGGGTGCGTCTTATCAACTGTAAGCCGGACACGGACTTTGCCTTCGCTGGGGGAGTTTATAGTGTTGGATAAGCTTGTGTCTTCTAAGCGTGCTAACCCCCTATACGTGTATACACTCTTAGTAACGGATGTCGATACCTAGGTGTCCGTAGTACAGTATTCTGGTAAAATGGAGAGGGGAATTGATTGGCCTAGTACATTACATTACGGACACAGTTCCAAGTAGGTATGACATGCACGCTAAGACTCGTTGATTCGAGTTTGATCTACCGGAGATAGACTGAAACTCTCTCAACGTACTCTGTTTTGCTGGGGGAATGTAGACGCTGCTACTGGCGTGTAACAGGTACATGGCGTGGCACATCGTGGTGGTGACCGCAAGTGTATTGCTATTAGCGAGCAATAATTCGCCATTTTCTTCTATAATACCGCATAGACTGTGATTTTAGTTGGTTTTACCCGCTGGCCTCTTTACCCTATGTCATCTGCGCCTTTGCAAGTTTCTATACGTACGCATACATTCCCTGCCTCGCATGATCCGATTCCGAGGCCGGTGTCGACGACACCTCCCAGGCCGTAGTAATGCGGATTTGGTTGGGTTCGACGGCACCTGAGAGGTTGCGTTTTTCTACGATAACAATATCAGTCTAAGGACCTTTAGTATCTGGCTTGCCATAACGTTCAATTGCAGCTAATAATAGGACACGCCCCAAGAAGAAAGAGATGAGGGGGGGATACAAATGATCACCAAAAACCACGACCACTTACCAACTACACTTACTTCCGGTCCACTAGGCTTAGGAGACACCGGAGATCGACGGCTGTCGGTCGAGTTATCGGTAGACTTCCTAAGCTTACGCCATATGCGGGATGAAGAACGGTATATTTCCCGTAGAGCCGGCGCCATTACTGGCAGACTTGCGTTGATTATACCAAGGAGCGGCATAGCGGCGCTGAAAATTTGCATGAGCACTGGACTTGATATGTCCCCCGAATCGTTGAGATTCAGTATAAAGCGTATCCGTATCGAGGTGAAAGCTATGATTCTTTGGTCTGATGCGTGAGAACTCTTGCCAGAATAGATCGCGTGTAAAAAAGGGGGGAGTGACTTACAGAAATCCCATTCCGAAAATTGCTGTCAACGCCACTTTTTTGGCTGTGGGGAGCTTTAGCCTCCATAAAACCGGCATAGGAAGCATTATGACTAGGATCTCTATCGCCAGGTCTATGGTGCCCAAAGTGAGCAGTATTGAGCTGTTGTTGTCGCAGCGAAATAAGAGGCCATCCGGGCGCCAGCCACCCCTGGGTGGACATAACACGACTACCTCAACCAAAGCACCGATACAGAAAGCGGCGCAGAGTGCGGCAGTGGCATAGACGATACGAATGAACATAGGTTGGCGAAAGATGGTAATATAAAAGTGTAGAACAGAGAGTTTGATAAGAGTGACAAGAAGAATCCAGAAGATATCCATAGCGTAAGAAAGCTAATATTCACTCTCGACATTGTATTGGGTTAGCAATATGTAACATGTCTCTCGTCTGGGGGATTATTTAATGGGGTATTACCCGCCAAATGCGTATCATAATACCTGGTCCCCCGATTGTTAAAATCTTGTCTATGTTGAGTCCAACTCCATATTTGATGAATAAGACGGACTGTAGGGCATATGGTGGTAGGAAGATGATCTGCAAGAATAAAGATGTTAGCAAGGCCGATATTATCTGTCAGCTTACAATCAATTTTTCGTAAATAGACATACTAATGAGAAAAGTATCAACCAGTCATTTAATCGCAAAGATGTCTTCTGCAGCCGTCGAGACCATAATCTAAGCCCAGTCGCTACGAAACACAGGAAGAGAAAAATAGTATCGAAGATGAAGCCAGCCTTCCCAAGGCCGTTCTGTGGAAACAAATAGGTGAGACTTCCTAGCTGCTGAACCATCGTTGCGATCAATCAAGGCAAGCGAAGCAAGAATAGCGAGAGCTCATAGCTTAAATCCATAGTAATAATGTCACAATTTATCCTCGGGGCGCGGGAGAACGAGAAAAGAGCAACTATGGGAAAGATTTCCGGTCGCCCTAATGGATTTCTAAGAAACACAGCGAAGGGGAGGAGATGAAATAATAGACAAGCTAGCTACCCCGTAGGCCTGCGCCGTAATAATTCTCGCATTTACAATATGAGACTGTGGGCGTTTCGCCGAAAGAGACATACGCCGGGTCGACGCTTGCCAATAGCCAACAGGGCCAAGCGTCCGAAGACAGACACATTCCAAAGGTCTGAAAGAGAGTCGGCAATCGAGAGTTCTTTCAGAGAGACACGATTTAACTAAATTATCTGCCCATTCCGATGCGGAGTCCCACCAACAAAGAAGGGTCATAATACAGAGTGGTGGCTATTTACTACCCGTTCGGAACAGACCGGGCCGGGTAGAGATGGTTAGGATAATCAAGAGTTAAGTTGCAAAGTATTATGGGTGTATTACCGCTCTAGCGGCCAATAATCATTTTCTAAACACGAGGTCATCTCTGAGGACTTCCGCCCCCAAGTACTCATACTTGTGATGGAAGGTCAACCTAGCAGTCTTATGAGACGAATGGTTACAGAAAAGGGAACACAAAGGAGAGATGAAGTGAAATCGAGAAGTATGATGCCTGCCCGTAGCAGACCACGATCCGAAACGACGAATACGGATCAGATTATCGGTGCATATCTTTCGCAGTGGTGTGGAGTGTCCCTAGGATTCGATGTAGAAATGCACCCAGAACAACAGTAATGTTAGCTTGATCCGGAGGGGACAGCCAGGCTATCTAGTGAGAACACCCCCTAGGGAATGGCCGACAATATTCATGATATCAAGAGCACTGTGTACCCCTCCGGGAATTAAGCCGAATTTAGGTGATTTACACAGCATTAGAGGTATAGACAATTGAAAAATCGAGCCCGCTTACTAGGTCGCGTGCAGTCGACGGATGTGAAGTGATGTATATATTAGATTTCTCTCTTTTCATAGGATGAATCGTCCCCGTGGCAAACGGCAGAACCCTTAAGAAATGCACACAGGTGCAGTAATACCACCCTCCGCTTCGTCGAGTGTGCACTCTTTGTCCCCTAAGACTGATCAACATCGAGGAATTCCGGTACTTGCGATAAGGCGCTAATAGTCATATTTCCGCCCGAGATTCTTTGTCTAGGTGTGGCGACTGTGTCACTATATACCCGGAACCGGAATCTTCCAAATGGCATCTAGGTCTTGATGCGTCGGCCAAGCGATGTCAAGAAAGCTGCTAGATTGACGGTAACTGAGACGTTACCGGAACCCTGTGGGCAGTGGGAAAGCAGACAGGAAAGCCGCATCTTGGATATTATCAGGGGGGCTGACTCAATGAGACGTTGGCGGTTTTTTGGACGCCGTAGCACACGTCCCGCGGTATCAACCTCCTCACCTCGCCGATCATCACCTACACTCCGGACGGGCTATTTCTCGACAAGAGAGCGGCACAGCTCGGTGAGGACCTCCGCCGCACTTTGTACGAAGTTGGTAACCTGCACAAGCTGCAGGCTTATCACATGAACTACGCGTCTGGGAACGAGATGGCGCAGAATTGGCACGGCTACGAGGTATGGCGCCAGGACCACCTGCGAGAAACACGATTTATGTGCCCTTGTCGCGTAGTATAATGGGGGTATGCAGGCATAGGCATCCCAATCATGAAGCCCGAAGGCCAGACTCCCAGGAACAACAATGAGTAGCATTATAAGAAAAGGGTGATGCATTGGTCTAATATAATAGGACATGTAGGGTTGTGACTAGTAATGACTCCCGTGAGCTGACCTTGTTAATGACGAACGACTGGTATTTGGGTATCTTACAAGCCTCTACAAACAGCTAAATTGTGCTAATACTAGTGAGCCTTGCGGTCCTCCTGTGAGGAATATTAAGGACAGCTTGACTAGATGAGACGCACCGGTAGCCTCAGTGAAAAAAAAAGGGGGTGTCAACCGTCATGTTTCTCGACAACCTTCCTCCCTCCTTATATCCCGACAAGTCCTACCACTGTCACCGAGTCATGTCTAATATTCGTTCGTCCCATGCAAAGTTTTCTTTGCCAATCGACTCTTCGGTCCAGATGCTCGCCGGATAGACTAGCGATGCTGGTAGGTTGGGGCATGTATCCATTTTGGCGAATGCAACCTCAGCAGACCGGTTGGAGTGAGCGACATGTCCGCCGGGGTCCGTTGATCGAGAGCCGAATCCGTCTTTCCTATTACAGGCGGACCATTCCGTGAAACGTTTCCGAATAACAAACTGCACAGTGGGGAGGCAAGCGGCCATGACGCCGACGCCGCACTCAACAGTGGCCCAATATGCACTACCAGTTGCTCCAACTAATTTCGTAATTCTGGTAAGACTCCGCATCAGGAGGTGGGCGCTTTCTGTACTTACTGATGTTGTCATAAGTGATATTATTCCCTCCTACGAGATTCCCCGCAGTCATCACAAACCGGATCAGGGACGCAAAAAAAGACCTGCCCTCTATTAGCATGATTCGCCTCTCCGGGGTCGCGGGACTCACCCTCCACCGAGGAGGAATACCGAACTGACGGCGATTTTCCTGCTCCTGGACAAATTTAACCGCAGGACTAACGGAATAGGGATGGATATTATTGCGATATCTGTAATTATGTCGATGATGCAGAGGGTGAAATATCGGGGGTGAGTCCTTATGCAGTGCGTCGTGTACTCGTCGTCGGAGCTCCATATAAACCAAAATCTGTGGCCGCATTCGAACAGCACCGACAAGTAAAGCGCCGCCGTCCATACGGCCTCGAAGATAATGAGCCCAGTGAGGAGTTTGCTGACGAAGGACTTCTTCTCGATGGCAAATACTCGCATATAGAAGAACAGGAAGCTCGCCTTAATACACCCCAGCGCCAAGACGAACATTTGAGCGTATGCCCATTCGATCTGGTCGCGTAGTTAGATATCCGTCCGTGTCTTGCCGATGCTGATGCGTACCTGAGACTTTATGATTAACTGTGTCGTATGGAGCCCAGAAACCCTTCCCGTATAGCCAGGTGGTATCTGAGTAGGATATGCCAAAGCCCCCGTATAAACGCCATAAAGTTGGGTGATACCGAGGCCGACCGTTAAAAGCTGCAATGCCGCGGTCAGTGCTAAGTGCTACGACACGGCCCTCGGGTCCTTACTGTTGCCAGTACGATCAGCCAGTCGTCCGCCTTGAGGGGCTGCTTCTGGACCTTGCGCGCCCAAAACCGCAGGCTGACGAAAATGATGCTGATGACGGGGAAGGCGACCGCCACGGACACAACGTGGGCGGGATGGTCGAAATACAACCTCTGATTGCGCATGTTGGAGAACGTGATGTTTCCGTTAGAGCGGGGACATGAATACTGTTGATGAGCAAGTCGGCATGTTCAACAGTGCTTCTAGTACGAGGGCTAAAATGTAAAATCGTGAAGTTTGATATAGTTACAAAAGCTGCTGCTGCGCTCCTGTCCCAAGGTGCCGATCCGAGACGCTAGAGGAAGATACGTAGTTTAAAACTGACGAGGGTACACGACGAGACAGTCTAAGAGATATCACTACCATGGATGTGTTACGGAGAATCGGTTGGCTGTCTGAGACAAATCGGGCTGACATATATCTATATAGTTCGTGGGATAAGTACACCTCGCGGGGGGTAGGACTCGGGGGGGGTCTGGTAAGGTGCCCAACACGTCAAGACCCTGACCCCAACCATCGGTAAGTGCTCTCATTGGTAGGGGAATGAGTTGTATTCCTATGTTCCCCTATCCGAAGCTAACTTCCGGGCTCCACTACCCTCCCCCCCGGGACCGGCCAAGACCCTTAATGTCTCTTATGTCTTAGACGTAGCCGAGTTCCCGCCTATTATGTCATTCAACTTGACAGGGAGGCAAAGACAAAGATATCGACAAAGGGTTTGGTTAGTTACTCTTCTCTCTGTGTTGACGTATGCTAAAAATTATGACGGCCGTCCTTCTCCGACTCCCAATCCCCAGTCTCGCCCACCCCCGGCCTGACGTGGTTTGATCCCATCATACGAGAACGGCTCCCGACAATCTGGGACTGTGTAAGCTGGTAACGGGCGCTCGGAAGAGGCCACTAATGTCTTCCAACGTGGTGGGAGATGGGTTCCAAAGTCTTCACCTTTTTTCCCGTCGGCTTCCCGCCAGATGCTCTTATCCAGCATGCCGAGCAACACGGTCGTCCTATGTACCTATTGTTAACGACATGTTATACAGTCCCCACACCAGTTACAACCACGGGAGCGGCTCGCCGCCCGAACTCTAGTTAGTGTTTTTCCAAGTCCGCCCATGTTGTCGGGTGTATAGTAGCAGCTCAGAAAGAGTGCAATATTAGACCGCCGAATCATGTTTCTTGGGAGATTACAGGGGCATGATCGAACGTGCATGCTATGGAGGGAGTTAATGCCATCGATAGACGACTTCCCAGTGGAATCGACCTTACTACTATCGCGATGATCTTAGTTGCTCTGACGTGCTCTGTGTGAGGTGACTGGGAGATAGGGGTTCGGACATTAGCGGGTTGACCACATCCACCCCTGCGCTATCTCCGGTGGGCTAGGTCCGCGACGCCACGCTGTAGGCCACGCGTTTTTCTGCACCGCCACAAATCGCGGTAGGTTAGCACGGAGGGAAGCCTGTTCGAATTCTCCATCTTCATCTATCCAATTTGGCGGATAACGAGGGACCGGAAATGCTACTATCCTATTCCATATTTATCATTCCGGTCCAAATTTCATGTTGAAGGTACTAAGGTAGGATGTCGAGGTTCATGTCACCTGCTCCATGACCGGTCCCTCTCCCTGCTATTCATCCTAACATTGTACTGGACCGCGTACCGATCGACTTGCATCATTCCTTTTCGAATGGGAGCGTACAATCGTAACAAGGAGCAGGAAAGCAGAGACTGTCTTGCCGGGCCTCCCGTAGCTATTAAACGCTTACGATGGAACAACGCCAGAAGCGCCACTGTTGGGAGTGTCGCCGCCGGTGTCTGGTCTGTGATTTCGCACTACCCGGTTACAAACGATGTTCTTCGTCCGGCGTCGAATGTCCAGGGTACGGCAATGTAAAACCTACGAGATTCAAATGGCTCGCGCCCGGGAGAGTCAACTCCCGAAGTCGGAGGCAAAAGGGGGCCTCGCTTGGCAATGTCGGGGAAGATGACGGCGGGAGGAGGATTGGTGCCGCGACGCCTCAAGCCTTCGCGATGATAAATACCCGCTTACGTGTCCCAAGATTCGTAACGAAGACCAGATCCTGCGTTCTAATCCAGGCCGCAGGGTACTGCAAGTAGCTACCTGACCAGGATCCTTACAGGGCGATGGGCTGACGCGAATGGGGTGTTAGTTAACTCTTGTATCTACCGAGATCTGATCCCACTGCACGAGCTCGGGCAGAACCCTCACATATACCCGATCACAGCCAAACTCATGCAGGCCGCAACGATATGTCCCGATTACCTGGCTTATGGCATGGTCTGTATGACCTTAAGCCACAGGATTAACCAAACGAGGAGCGATCCAAACGTAAAGGTCTTAACGGAGAGGTTCTTTTCGTACTGGGGCCTCGCTCTACGCTCTCTCAACGAGCACCTTGGCTCGGAAGATACGCGTACGGGCGACATGGTCATTGCCGGAATGTTGACGCTATTGTTCGTTGACGTAAGTATACCTGCTCTAGGTGAATGGGTGTAAGGCGCCGTATTGAACTCTCTCGGTAGATCCAACAAGGCGTTTCGCTCAGCTGGCGGTGCCATCTAGACGGACTTCACAAGTTAATCATGTTACGGGGCGGCCTCTGTGCGCTGGCTGAATCCAAAAGTTTAGAGCCCCTGCTGCTTTGCTTCTGGTTGTATTACGTGGTTCTGGCCAAAAGCCTTCTACGAGTTTGAGGGAGCACACACTGACTTGTGCAGTGTTGCAGTAATAGGGAACACGACGTGTCCTGCACCAGACCTTTCCATGACCGGATGGCAACTCGATATGGTGGAATTCGTATTAGAGAAACCCGAGACGGTCGTCTCCCTTCTCCTGATTTGCCCTTCGCCCTTATTTGTCGAGATCATCAGAATCAACCACCTCCGGGCACGAGCTACGAGATGTGATACCGCCACCGTAGCCAAGCAGCTCACGCAAGAAGCTTATGAGATACTAGGACGCGTGTGTGGCTTTTCGCCAGATCGATGGGCCGACTCTAAGCTGATATCGAGAAAAGAATGGTTGCTAATCGGCAACGTGTACCAAGCAACTATAGCATTATACTGCCTCTTATCCCTACAAAGCCTATCAGTTCTTCCCAACACGCCAACAGCCAGGGCCCTTTGCGCCACCCACGGCCAGGCCTTTCATGAGCTGCTACACACCGGTCTCTCATCGCTGAAAATGAGGCGATTCCTGATCTGGCCACTGACCGTGCTAGGCGTGGAGGCCATTCATAGCGGTGCGGCGGTGCAAGCTTTCATAGCGAAGCAGCTGTCGGGGATGAGCCACGATGTCGGCGTGCACGCGCCACTAGCGGCGAGACGTGTCCTCGAGTTATTTTGGGGATCGGGCGAGACGTGTTGGGACGCTTGCTTCGATAGGCTCTACTCTTTCACGACACAGATCGCTGTCGATACTAGCCGCTTATATTCCACAGCCGCGTGAGGCTGTACTAATCAAAGAAAGTAGCAATTGGCATTTCGAAGTATCAGCATATGAAGTTTCTGATAGACGGCCATGACCGAGCTCCGACTACCCATTTCCCAATGTCGAAGCTGCCACGATGTTGTATATGCAGGGGATCGAGTGCGCATCACTCGCGCATCGCATACGAGGCTTGATATGGCGCGTGTGGACACACACTGGTGTTTATCCGAGTGCGTCTTACGAAATAATCTACTATGCTACCTCGGTGCGCTTAATGAAGAGGACGACGATGGCTTCCAGGCCTCGGATAATTTTGGTGAGGTAAGTTAAGCTGGATACCCCTCTATGGGCCACCCCTTCACGGACCGGGCTTTTTGTATGTTTACATGCAAACGACTTTCCCCATGAACGTAGGCCCACGTCAAGATAACGCGGCCGTCGCAGTCCGGCGTAAGAAGGACTCGTCATAAGCACCAACATCCATCCTAAACGTGGTTCTTAAAATGGCTTCCGCGCAGTGCACACAACCCGCGGAACGCAGAGGGCCGCGCCGGCTATTGACTCCTCGTGCGCCTCCTCGATGAGCCGGAAGTACTTAGCGGCCGTCTCCGACTCGCCTAGCGTGGCCATGCACTCGGCGACCTCTTCTACACCAAGGAGATTCGCCCCGCTGACGGCGCGGGCGAGGTCGGGCCGGTCGCCGAAGGACTCGATCGTCGCATCCTGAAACCCTTCCTCACCCAGGAAACGAGCAAGCTGAGTGCCCCAGTTGTGACGCCGCGCTCGCAACCATGCGGCGAGCTGGTCTAGTGCCGGCGTGGCCAGGCCCGGGTCGGTCTTGTCGACGCGCGTGTGTTCGAGGGCAGCCTCGTCCCACTGCACGTAGCCGCCAGGCTTGAGCAGGCGCCACAGGTTGCGCGCGATGGGCCGCGGGTCGCCGGCCTCGACGACGAACAGGAGCAGCCGCGTGTGCACGAAGTCGTAGCCGCCAGCCATGTCGTCGGGCACCGCGCCGAGCACGTCCCAGCGCCGCAGCTGCGCGTTGGCCGGCAGCCAGGCCGCCGGCGGTGCCGTCCCTAGGTTCAGGTCGAGCCCGTCGCAGCGCGCCTCAGGCCGCTGCCGCGACACCGCCCCCAGCCACAGGCCCGTCCCCGACGCCACCTCGGCGATGGCGGCGGCGCGCGGCAGCGCCGCCGCGACCGTCGGCTGGATGTTGAACCCGAGCGTGTCCTGCCACAGGTAGAACTGCAGGTTCAGGCGGCTGGCCGCCGCGTGTCGCCGCTTGCGGTTGCGGTCCAGGATATACCCCTGGCCGTCGACCCGGTCCCAGTCCGCTCGCATTTCCGAGACGTCTTCCGGCATGCTGCGAATAACGACGTGGGTTTATTTGGGCACGGCAGGGCTGAAGAGAAATAAATAGAGGTGCGCCTGCTAACGCGGAGAAATTGCTGTGCGAGTTTTGCGATCGAGGTGCGGTTCCGTGGGCGAAGAAAGTTGGGCCGTCCTCTGTATTTATGTCCACTCTCCTTAGCACAACCCGTGCGGGCTTTTCCGTCGGGATACCTCGTCGGTATCATCTGTGAAAAGGCAAGAGTATAAGCCACGGCCGACTTCTGTGCTCTACGTCCTCTGGGGTTTATCTCAAGATCGCAGAGTCGTCTTTCTCTACTAACGTCGACTAGCATTGTTAGACAACAACGCCCGAAGTCGGTCCTCACGACCAATGGCTGTCCTATAACTTGCTTCTTCACTAGGGGGACCTAAACATAAATCACAAGCCATCGTCACCTCGAGCGATCAAGGAACATTTCCCTACGACCGATCATAGTAAGGCGCACGCGTTCTCATGTTCTAGAAACGCCACGTCCAGCAGCGTCGGCATATGGCTTGCTGTGTCTACGCACCGTGCTTAATTTCCACCCGATCGCGGTGAATTATGCTGCTTGCTCGGATCGACCGGTAATAGAGCGGGAAAGTGCCCAATATAGCCTTTTGTCCTGTGCGGAGGCACAGTTGGCTTAAGATTTGAGGTATCTCAACGCGAGGTAAGCATGTGTAACTAGAGACATCTAAGAGCGGGCGTACACGACGGGTTTGAAGGTAACATGACACAGTTTCGTGGTGGTAGTTGGTTGTCATCTGTACATATGGTTTAAGCAGGGGCATAAGGGAAATTGGTGAGTCAGAGAGCGGGATGTAAAGACGTAAATGAACACATCAATATCCACACTAGGAGATATGTTGGGGAGTAGGTTGAAAGAGTCAAAAATGTTCATCCCGGAAAAGAAATACGCACGTTAACCAGCTACCCGCCGGTGCCCGCTCTCCGTCGCATACTCCACGTTACACCCACTTTTTGGCCCGTCGGCTTCTCCCAGATTACCGAGCTGGCGCCCGCCACCCAGACCCGATGGCTCAGTCGACGCACGCCCCTTGGCCCCTGGCTAAGTGATGATGCCTAGCTGCTGGCGACGTGACGCCCACGACGATCACAGACTGGGGGGGTATGGGAGGGAGCTGCAAGGGCTAAGCGATTGACGGTCCTCCGTGTCGGGGGAACCAGCGCGTGGGAAAGCATAGAGACTCCCATGGGACGATCTGGCGCCGAGAAGAGGGAAGATATGACGCCTAGTGAGTTAATATGGACGGTAGTGCTGAGCCTAAAAGATGCCGTTTGCCAGCGTTGCGTTAATCGGCCTAGCGCCGTTCCTGGCCGCAGGATATTATCGCAAAGGCGGGAATCATCACACGGGAGCGGGGTGGTGTTGGCCGGGGCGCTGGTATTATCGTAACTCTATGAAGCGATATTGACCCTGCGCATGGATCTCGAGTCGGCTTAAATTCATCTGATAACAGGCTTAGTATACTAGAAGTGAAATACGTTATCGCACTAAGACATGTTATCCAACGTAAGCAGGTGTTATGCGATTGGAACACGGGATGTTGTCGACTGCTACGTGAAACCGCGACTTGGATTTGCCCCGATGCCAGTCATAAAGCGAGGCGCACTGATGAACACGGTCGAGATATCGGTGGTTATACCCTGAGGCCGGATATTTGGTGTCTAAAATCCAGGCAACTCGCATAGGAACTTTTTATATTAGCAGAGGTCTTATGCTATGAGACGGTCCTTTTCAACCACTCGGGAGGTCGATAAAGCCGGCAATCCTGCCATGATCACTCAATCGTGCATCGGACGGGTCTTGGCTCGGAATCCACCGCCGGAGCTCCCATTGGTGTGCTCGCAAAGTATGGCATCTGATTGGCTGCCGAGAGGGAGAACTGCCGGAAAAGGCGATAGTACGTCCACGAGGCCTCCGTGGGAGTCCCTAGAGGAGCGGGTCTACCAGCAGAACCACGTGTAAGTAATCTTGACGATCGCACGTCGGATAAAAAGGCCGACACACGCGCCCTCGAATATCTAGCAGGCGCCATCTCTCCAAATTTTCGACGCAAAGCTGGACGCTCATCCATTGTGATAAACGACCTTTACAACCACAGACTCACCCTTCTCTCTGTCGGTCACACTCGCTTCTCGTTGGCCATGGGCGCCTCATTGTCAAGCACTCTGACCCAGATATTCCCCCCGAAACCGGGGTTTCTCGAGACCAATCTGCCTAATCTCGGCGGCAAGGTGAGTCACCCGAGCACACATCCTCTACCCCTCTTCGTAAAACTCGAAGTTAACCTCCTATGCGCCCGCAGGTTTACCTGGTCACGGGGTCCAACACGGGTGTAGGCAAGGAGCTAGCGCGGATGCTGTACTCGAGGAATGCCAAGGTCTGGATCGCGGCGCGCTCGCAGGATAAGGCGTACAAGGCGATGGAGGACATCCGGAAGGCATGCCCGGCCTCGAAGGGAGACCTAGCGTTCCTGCGGCTCGACCTCGCCGACCTAACCAAGATCAAGGCGTCGGCAGACCAGTTTCTGGCGGCGGAGACGAAGCTCGACGTGCTGTTCAACAATGCGGGGGTGCAGAACCCGCTGCCGGGGCCGAGCAAGACACCGCAGGGCTACGAGTACCACCTCGGCGTGAACACGATCGGGACGTTTATGTTGACGAAGTTGCTAACACCGCTGCTCGTGGCGACGGCGCGGAGCGACGCGGGCACGTCCCGCGTCGTGTGGGTGTCGTCGTCGGGGACCGAGTTCGTCGGCGAGAAGTCGGTAGGCATCGACATGAGCAACCTTGACTACCATATCGACAAGCCGTATCTGGTAAAGTATGGCCTTAGTAAGGCGGGCAACTGGCTTCATGGAGTCGAGTTCGCGCGCCGCTACCGCGCCGACGGCGTAATTAGCATCCCCCTTAACCCTGGTAACCTCGCGTCCGACCTCTACCGCGACCAAGGGGGGCTTTTCAAGCTGTTCGTCAAGCTCATTACCTACCCGTCCGTCAACGGCGCCTATACCCTCCTCTACGCCGGCCTGTCGCCCGACATCACCATCGAGAAGACCGGAAGCTGGGGTAAGCCGTCCCTTCTCCGTCCTCCCCGCTTCGTGCCCCGGGGATGGCGCAGGAGCGAGAGCGCTGCTAACCCGGACTAACAATTAATAGTGGTGCCCTTCGGACGTATCCTCCCGATCCGGCAGGACCTTGTGGCGGCGACGAAGACGGTGGAGGAGGGCGGTAACGGGACGGCCGAGAAGTTCTGGGACTGGACGGAAGACCAGATCAAGCCGTACATGTGAGAAGTCGCAAGCTCGGTCAATTTCTCGAGGGGTTGGGCGAATCGTGGGGTTGGCGCTGACGTTAACGAGGGAGAGTAGGAATCAACGAAGAGGTGGAATATAGATGGAGGGTGTACGTTGTTGTGATCGTCTACTGCGCCCTCTTCTCTTACTGATGTCAAGCGTTGCCATGTTGGCCGGCCGGTGGCGTGCGGCCTCCTTGCAGCGAGTTCCAGTCGGTTGCTATTTCCTGTCTGGCAGAAGCGATCAAGAATACCGTTGCATACAGGTAATACCTAAGTACTTGAATGATCTCGGTTTCGTAAACGGAAGCGGGGTTTGGCGGTTTGGTATTTTTGGTGTTGAGTGCACGGCGGAAACGACGTCACGTATATCGGGAGGCAAGGGATCGAAGGAATGCGCCTTTCAAACGCACCTATTATAGGTAAGTAATGGTATCGACACAGGGAATGATAAGTACCTAGACGAAGGAAGCATAGGACCTAAGTACCTACCTACCTATTTTAAGTACCCATGTACATGCTGCGCGATCGGACCCTGAATGCAAACCTGTACCTCCCTATACCTGCCTTAGGTAGGTACTTATTTACCGTTCATTAGCCGAAGCGTGAGCGTATTGCGAATCCGATACCGGTTAGTTTCTACCTTGGGTAGGTGCTCACTTCTTAAGTACCTCCTCTGCCCGTAGCATACCCACCCAGGTACCTCAGGTACGACTCCCTACGACAGGTACGTACCTAGCTACCTAGGTGCCTATGGCCTGATCATGGGTGGTCGCTCGACTCACACCTGCTATTTATAACCTGCCGTTTCATGTTGCATATGTAGGCGAGGTAAGGTACGTGAGGCAGCGAGGCAGGAGCGGGCGGCGACTTGCTGCCGTCATAGCCTCAGATAGGAGATACTGAAGGCAGGTACGTACGTTAGCCCGATCGGGTGGCGGCTTCGTGGCGCTTGGGCCTCTTGTCAAATAAGGACCGGCCGAGAGGAGGAGCGGCTTTGATTGGTGCCCGCGAAATCTACCCTTGGCTCCTTCCCCTTTCCTTGCAGGTCGCATCTTCTTCGTGCCCCACATGGACCCCACTTGCCGTCGCCAGCCACGGCCGGTGCGTGCCATGTTGCCTTGGTCCATCTCGGTGGGCCCACATCCCATCGTCTCACCTAGCTCTCGCTACGCGTCTTCCCCCTCTTCACAGTCCGAATGCCCACCTGCGCTATATCGCCCGCACACCCTCTCCGGAGCCGCCCAGCCTCCAGGACGGCCACGTTTCTTACCTGCAGCTACGCCTCTTCCCGTGTGTCTCGCCGCGTCGTCATCAGGCAGAATGCAAGTCGAGATCGCCTCTCTCCCGTGCGCCCCTTTGCGACCTGCCGACGACATCGCCACGAATTGGTGCCATTCGCTAGTCTATCGGCTATACCTCGACACCGAACTCACCGGCCGCGGAGCCAGAGGGTCTGGCTCTCATTGGCCCGGCTGGTTTCTCCAACCGCCCATATGACCCCGAGTGCAGGCTGATAGGCGGGTTGGGGAGCAAATACCGCGAGAGGCTAGCCAGTCCGTGATCCGCTCGTTCTTGGAAGCGGGGGGATGGGCAAGCAGAGTGCCCCAGGGGGGGGGGGGGAGGGAGAGGACAGGAGGGAAGGGAACACATCGAAGCTCAGGTAGCTCAGGTTCCCACCCTCCGTCATTTGTCATTTGCGGGCCAGCCATAGACGGGGTACCTCTCCCGTCGTCCCCTTCTAGCCTCCCTTGCTGCTCTAGTCTCCCCTTTGTCTCCTCCTCTTCGTTCTTGGAGTGCAAGTTGCATGCCTTCGCCTTTCGCGACTCGTCGACCAATTTCACCCTCGCCGAATATGCGTCGCTGTCTCGGACGCTCGCAAGGGATATCGCCGACGACAGATGACACTCGATTTCCCCTCCGCATGGCACGCAGTTCTCGCGTTCCGCAGGCATCATGTCATGGTCATTGCTCCGTCCAGCGCTAGTCGCTAACCATGCTGCACCTCGTACCACCGAGGGTCTCGTCCGCAGAGCAGCATCGCGTGTCCTAGGTCAGTAGCCTCGCGTGGGGATACGTAGGGAGCTCGAGGTGTCCCAACGTAGAGTCCTCCAGGATATAGGTGCTAAGAGACGCTCGCACATAGACTGGACACCACGACCGGGCGGGGCCTCTGGGGGAAATCAACGACGGTGCAACAGCACACGTGTGAAGCAACCCACCATCTTACCGGCCTTGCCGAAAAGTACGCTTGACCATAGTGGCGCTGCCTTGAACAGAATCATTCCCGTGGCTGCGTACTCGACCGTCGTAGAGTCGTCTTCTACACCCTACTCAGATCTTACCGTCGGCGTCCCTCGCGAGACGTACGACAACGAGCGTCGTGTGGCTATCTCGCCCCAGAATGTTGCGCTTTTAAAGAAGAAGGGCTTCGGGAGGATCCTCATAGAGCGTGGTGCCGGCGCGCGAGCCGACTTTCTGGACGAGGCTTACGACAAGGCCGGCGCCACCCTAGTCAATAGGGATGAGGTCTGGAGTAAAGCCGATATCCTGCTGAAGGTCCGCGGGCCTAGTTCGAAGGAAACCAAGCAGTTGAAAGAAGGCGCGACAGTTATCTCGTTTCTCCAGCCGGCGCAAAACAAGGATCTCGTAGAACAGCTCGCCGCCCGTAAGACCACATCTTTTGCCATGGACATGATCCCGCGCATCTCTCGCGCGCAGGTATTCGACGCTCTTAGTTCAATGGCGAATATCGCCGGCTATAAGGCAGTGCTAGAAGCGTCTAACAACTTTGGCCGTTTCTTGACTGGCCAGGTCACCGCGGCGGGTAAGATTCCGCCTTGCAAGGTCCTCGTTATCGGTGCTGGGGTGGCCGGCTTGAGCGCGATCGCAACTGCGCGCAGAATGGGCGCTATCGTCCGCGGCTTTGACACGCGCGCGGCCGCAAGAGAGCAGGTGCAATCTCTCGGCGCTGAGTTTATCGAGGTTGACATTCAAGAGGACGGTTCCGGAGCGGGCGGTTATGCGAAAGAAATGTCGCCCGAGTTCATCGCCGCCGAGATGAAGCTATTTACCGAACAGGCGCGGGATGTCGACATCATAATCACCACGGCACTGATCCCTGGCAGACGTGCGCCCACCCTGATCACCAAGGCTATGGTCGAGGTCATGAAGCCCGGCTCAGTCGTCGTCGACTTAGCTGCCGAAGCAGGAGGCAATTGCGAGGTAACCCAAGCTGGGAAACTTGTGACACACAACGACGTGAAAATCATCGGTGAGTCTTGAGGCGTTACCTATGTATTTCGCGAGGATGTGGAGGTGCTTACCTTGCCTATGTATAGGTTACACGGATTTGCCGTCTAGACTTCCCACGCAGTCGTCCACCTTATACTCGAATAATATTGTAAAATTCCTTCTCTCGATGGCACCCAAGGACAAGGCATTCGGTATTGATCTCAACGACGAGGTGGTTCGAGGCGCAATCGTTACGCACAACGGAAAGATCCTCCCTCCTGCGCCCCGGCCCGTTCCACCACCCGCACCAACCTCTAAAGCGGCGACCAAGGTCGAGGAACAGGCCGTCGCACTGACACCGTTTCAGAAGACATCGCGAGAAGTAGCTGCTGTTACTGCCGGGATGGGCACTGTTCTGGCACTTGGGAAGCTCACCGGGCCTATCTTTATGGGGAACGCTTTCACTTTCGGTTTGGCTTCCTTGATCGGGTACCGCGTGGTTTGGGGTGTCACCCCGGCTCTCCATTCTCCCCTGATGAGCGTCACCAATGCCATATCTGGTGTGTAATCGCCCCGTTTTCGAGGCTCGTCCAGAGATACTAATGCATCGTAGGGATGGTTGGCATTGGTGGTTTGTTCATTCTGGGTGGTGGCTACGTCCCCGAGACCTTTCCCCAAGCCCTGGGTGCCGCCTCTGTGCTTCTGGCTTTCGTGAACGTGTCGGGCGGGTTTGTGATAACTAAGAGAATGCTTGACATGTTTAAGCGTAAGAGACGCGCTATACCTACGTACTAGAGAGCCACCGGCGACTAACTTTGCATAGGTCCCACGGATCCGCCGGAGTATCCGTGGCTGTATGCGATTCCTGGGGTGGTATTTGGAGGTGGCTACCTGGCGGCCGCAGCGACCGGTGCCGCAGGACTCGTCCAGGCTGGCTACATGGTTAGCTCAATCCTCTGCATCAGCTCGCTGTCAGGTTTGGCGTCTCAGGCCACGGCGAGGATGGGCAACTTGCTCGGGATCCTCGGTGTCAGCTCCGGCGTTCTCGCTTCTCTACTGGCTGTTGGATTTACCCCTGAGGTGTTGACGCAATTCGGCGCCCTAGCTACTATCGGAAGTATCCTCGGGTTCCTTATCGGGAAGCGCATTACGCCAACAGATCTCCCTCAGACGGTCGCGGCGCTACACTCTGTTGTCGGTCTAGCTGCAGTATTGACTAGTATTGGCAGCGTGATGGGCGACCTCTCAGACATCACAACACTACACCTCGTTACAGCCTACCTCGGCGTCTTAATCGGCGGTATCACATTCACCGGTTCCATCGTTGCGTTCATGAAGCTTGCCGGAAAGATGTCTTCGAGGCCACTAACCCTTCCGGGAAGACACCTCATCAACTCTGGCATGCTCGCCGCTAATATCGGGACGATGGGGGCCTTTGTCACCATGGCTCCCGGTTCGCCCATGATCGCCGCTGCGGCGCTCAGCGCCAATACCATCCTCTCATTTGCTAAGGGATACACTACGACGGCTGGTATCGGCGGAGCGGACATGCCAGTTGTGATCACCGTGCTCAATGCCTATAGTGGCTTTGCTCTGGTCGCCGAGGGTTTCATGTTGGAAAATCCGTTGCTGACTACCGTTGGCGCCCTCATTGGCGTATCTGGCTCGATCCTATCGTATATCATGTGCGTGGCGATGAATCGATCCCTCACTAACGTGCTATTTGGCGGCATATCGGCACCCAAGGCGAGCGACTACAAGATTGAGGGATCGGTAACTCAGACCAACGTCGAGGACACGGCCGAGGCGCTTGTAAACGCAGAGAGCGTCATCATCGTGGTCGGCTACGGCATGGCGGTCGCGAAAGCGCAGTACGCCATTAGCGAGATTACGAGGACGCTCCGCGCGAAAGGGATTAAAGTTCGCTTCGCCATCCATCCCGTCGCGGGCCGCATGCCGGGGCAGTGCAACGTTCTGCTCGCGGAAGCCAGCGTGCCTTATGATATCGTGTTGGAAATGGACGAGATTAACGACGACTTCGGAGACACGGATGTCACGCTCGTCATCGGTGCCAACGATACGGTGAATCCGATTGCCCTGGAGCCCAATAGCCCCATCGCGGGTATGCCCGTCCTTCACGCCTGGAAGAGCAAGCAGGTCGTTGTCATGAAACGGGGCATGGCTAGTGGTTACGGTTAGTACTCAGTCTAAGAAGACTATTCCTTTGCTACGCGAGCTGCGCTAATGCCACATACCAGCGGATGTTCCCAATCCCATGTTCTACATGCCCGGAACGAAGATGCTATTCGGCGACGCCAAAGTTACTTGTGATGGTAAGTCGCTCATATTTACGCCGGTTCTCATGCACTCTCAATCCTAGCAATGACGAGAGCTAACGTGCGACAATAGCCATCAAATCCGCCGTCGAATCCCGGATCTAGAAGATAACCTTCTAGAGTGTTTCTTATCTCTCGTCCCGAAGCATTTTATGTCGCCTAGATCTAGACCTAGATCTACGTTACCAGAGCAGCGCGCATGCCCGTCCGTGTTCTAGAACTCTAGAGTGGTGGTAGATCGAGCTTTACTAGCTCGCTCATGCAACTTCGTTAGCACTTCTTGCGGGGAGACTTGGCGAGAGGGTCCGCGACTTGGATCTGAGTCATACGAGAAACCATATCCAATAACAATACCTATTTTATATCGTTATGCAGACCAGACCAAGACCACATTCAAATGGTGCGCATATGTCCTTCTATTATCTGCGACACGACCGTGTACGTGGAGAACAATTGCTAGACATGATACGTTCCCCAATTCTCGCATCTTCCCTGGCCTAGCGACGTGATATTGCATGGCCTCATCCCCCTCCACCAGTCCCCCTTCTCCCTCCTCTCCCTCACATTCACCGACCAAGCAAGCCCGAGGCATCAACCGAGTAGGGCACATACTGGCCGCGGTCGTCGCGGCCGCGGCGCTCGGCGCGGTTGACCACCTCGTGCGACAGGCCGTCGCCGAGGGGCTGTAGCAGGCCACCGCGCCCTAGCTGTCCCGCGGCGAGACCGTGTGCATCATCCTGCAGCGCGCCGAGCTGCAGCGGCGCGAGTCCCGCGGTGGCGGTCTTGGTCTTGGAGAGGTTTTCTACGCACCCCCAGGGGGAAGGGGGGTAGATAGTTAGACCGGGGTTAGACCGGGGGGGGGGGGGGGGGTGCTCAGGAGAGTTGGGGTGGGTAGGATGAAGGGAAAGAGAAAGAAAGGGAAGGCGAGAGACGTACGGCGGGTCGCGTAGCTCGCCTTGTTGTCCTGCGTGAAGTAGCGCAGGTACAGGTCCTCGAGCCAGGGCACCCAGATGTGGTATTGCTCGTTGTACTTCTGCCTGGCCCACTCCATGTTGGGAGTTGAAACTTGTCTGTTGTCTGGTTTCTTTTCGGAGGTGAGTCACGCGATGCTGTCGGGTCTCGTCGCGTGTTAGTTTTTACTTTCGCAGGGGGAGAAAGGGGAGGAGGTCATACAGGTTGCAGTTTGCCGGGAGGAGTACCGGAGGGTGGGAACGGGGACGAGGGTGCGAGGTAGCAACACGGCGATGTGTCTGTGTCGGTATGAGCATGGGAAGTGAAGGAGATAAAGAAATTAATCGACGAGTGGCTGAAAGATATTAATACGAGGACTCGTGGTTATAATGTGCGAGCGAGGGCTGTGGAAGGATATCTACGTCGACAGGCAAAGTGAGCTGTCCGCCATTTTCTCCCCCCTCCCCCCCTTTTCTCACCTCCACCTACGTCACGCTCACGTCCCCCGAGCGCTGGTTGGCCGCCGCGGCCGGAGGCGGACGAAACAGGAAATTATAGATGCCTCAGCCACTGACGTTGGTGCGCCCGTCCCACGATCACAGGGCGGGTGTCATCGAGATGGCAGATGGCGTGGCCGGTCGCAGGTCGAGTAGGACAACCGGCTTAGCTAGAGAGACGGCTCGAGATCTAGCTTACTCCTGGGTACGACGTGGTACGCGGTATTAGAGAGTGAGGGGAGTCTGCCGGCGCGGGGAGGGTGATCTAATATATACCTAGGGTGTGATTAGTGGCGTCGATGCTCGCGCTTGGCTCGCAGCATCACTGGTATTGTGTACGCTCGGCGGGCGTGAATTGCTAGTGGGAGGGTTAATATTAGCAGTCATTTGTCTGTTATACTTGTATTCGACCAACTGCGTTTTGTTGTCGTCGCGTAGATACCCTAGAGCTTCACAACTGGCAACAGTCGGAACAAAAATGATGGCTCCTTCCAGACTACTCTCCAGAAAGGGCATTCAATACACGCTAACTGATCCTAGATTCGAGGTCGTGTTCTCTTGGTGAACCTGATTTCGCGGAGGTGAGGACGGAGTCTCAGGAATTATTACCTAGCGGTACGCTGTGAATTGAGAGAACGACAGGCTTGTTCGTAAGTGCGAGGGAAACACCGCCGAGGAAATTTCTCGCACCACTCGTTCGCAAACTTGTACAGATGGTTATGCGGGCAGCGCGAGGAGATACGTTGTCGGTGTTTCCAACTGGTGGCTACGCACGTCGTGGCGGGGGACAAGGGCGAGGCTTCAGTAGGCTTCGTAGTTTATACCTACCTCCTAACTCCTAGCACAGACAGAAGTGGCAATATCGGGCATCCAGCGCAGTACGGCTTGGAGGTATTAGCCGTTGGTAGTTGCTCTTCTCCGTGCCGGACACCGGAAATGCCGGCGCGGAGGAATCCGGCGGGGACGTCCGGGTGATGCAGAACGTTGTAGTGTTACGGCGACTCGACCTGTCTCGGCCGAGGGCAAATAAATAGGTAGTTCCACCGCGCTGCGCCACGATACCGTGCCATCGAGACTACGGGTGTTGTCCCGGGGATTCCGTATCTACCGCAGGTCGACCGGGCATGGGAACGGGACGACAAAGGCCCTCCACCCCAAGGATGGACGAAGAGGTAAAATGGCCTTGTTAGACTCCCTATTGTTCTGTGGTGTCCTTCCTTGTCTATGGAACTCTAGCCGTGCTCCCCGTCTATGTGTCGGCGCGGCCACGGGACAAAGACGGCGGTGTTCGAAGACTTGTTCGCCTTGTTCCTCCGATACGGCCATTATAACAAGCACAACGACTACTTTGTTGTCGAATACAATCCCTTGCAACCAACAGCTAGGCTCTTCCGCACCATCACCAGGTCGACGCCGTCCTCATAGCCCAGTCAACTGGAACCTACGCGGTCTACGGGCTGGAGGAGGAAGGGCACGGATGCTCTGCACATGAGTGACGCCTTCCTCTCTCTTTGTCCTCGGGTTTCCTCGTTACACCGACAGTGAATTGATCTTCTCCCTTCACTTTCTCATTCTCTCGCTTCCTCCTCTCTCTGTATCTCCTCCTTCTCCATCAACATCCCATCGCTTTCCCTCCGCTCGCTGCATCCCGATTGTCTTATCTCAGCTGCCGTCAACCGTGAGTCACCCCTTCGTCACGCAGGCCAGCAAGCTGACGGCGATAATATCTATCTCCAGCGCCTCGGCACCACGTCCATTCTATCACCATGTGCCGCAACGTCACCCTCGAGATATGCTGCGCCAAAGAGCCGACCAACACCTTCCCCTCCACTCTCAAGATCCTACCCATCGTGGTTTTCTGCGCCGCTGCCTACGCCAGCTCCCGCCACGAACTGAAGCCGTGCTCGGCCTACGATCCCTGGCACATGCGAAACGAGCGTATCTTCTACACGACCTGCGGGCGCTGCATCTGGATGTGGGTGGCTGCCAGGAACGGAGCTAACGAGGCGGGCGAGAATGGCGGCGATCCCGGCAGCAAAGAGTGCGCCATTATCGACGATGCACGCGCGGGCGGCACAAATAACTTGGGCAGCCAGGAGGTGACGGAAGAGAATCTCCGACATATCCTCGAATACAACCGGCTGCTCATGCGTGAGCTCCTCGAGGCGATGCACACACGCCCCTACGTCGAGGTCCTGCGCACCCTACCGGCCGAGTTCGGCGTCGAGAAGCGCTGGGTGCTGAGCGGCTCGCGATGGATCGAGGCTCAGCCGCCGGCGCCTCCTGGCTTGGGAAACAGGGATCTAGATAATAGCGCGGACGACGGACTGGGTCCGGAACCGCCGGTGGATACCGAGCTGAAGGACTTGAAATGGTGGTTAGACCAGGGGTTAGGAGATTTGACCGACGAGATCTGGAACGAGTTTTGCAGTTATTACACCTACAGCCCGCCCTTATACCAGACACAAGTCTCGTCTGGCAGCGGGTTTCCCCCATCACCGGCCAACGCCGGGTGGCCTGAAAGCCCCTAATTTGCCATACCGGGCAACAAAAGGTGATGTAGTCGCTTGCGATATGAAGAGCCTCCCATCTGGTAGGCACCTCCCTGCCTACCAGGTATGCGGCAAGCTTGTACCCACGCATTATCGTCAAGGAACTTCGTTATTAGAGCGTATTAGGCGTTCGAGACGGCTCTACGGTTAGCAATTGGCACGGGAAAAGGGCTAGGTAGGTAGGTATGTATGTAGTTAGGTACGGTATTATACTCATCGCAAAGGCACGTTATCATAGGGATTCAACAAGCACCTAAACGTAACAATACTTCTGTTTTCTCTTTCTCTTTTAGCTGTGACCTGTTCTCGTATCCTCCTCCGCCTTGGTAAATACGATAACTCAGGAAAATTTACGAGCGACTTCATTACAGTCTCCTTGCATCCGAAACAGAGTTGCCAGAACGAGGTAGCAGGTGATGTTACGAGATGTTGGGTATCAGGGGGGAAGGGTACCGATAAGGATTACCTAAGCACAGGATAAGGGGTGATAAAGCTGCCCCGCATACGGAGTTGAGAACCCCCCTCCAATTGAGCATCCGCGGGCCCGAAAACTCGACGATGCACACCATCCATAGGAGAAGTCCTATCTAACTTGCCCTCCCTTTCCAACAACAGGCATTAGCATGAGCGAGGCAAAACCCCAATAACTCATCGAGTTATACCAACCGCACACCCCGAGATTCCTACATACTAACCCGCTCCGTCGCCTGCAAACCGCATCGATATCGGGGATCGATCGGCCCGCGTCGACCACACCCGCACTCACACCAGCAAGAGGATAATACCCCAACACCTGCGACATCTCAACACTACGCCATGTCGACCGCTACCACCGACCCCATCGTCGCGCCATCGCCGGCCCCACCCGCCAAGACCGTCCTGCGCATCGGCACGCGCAAGTCGATCCTCGCGATGAAGCAGGTCGACATCGTGATCGAGGGGCTGCGGCGGCTGTACGGCGACGCGGTCAGCTTCGAGGTGCAGGGGATCAGCCCGGCGGCGGACGTGGACAAGGTGACGGCGCTGTACAACTTCGGGGGCAAGGGGGTGTGGACGAACGAGCTGGAGGCGGAGCTGCGCGCGGGCGCCGTCGACATCGTCGTGCACTCGCTGAAGGACATGCCGACGGAGCTGCCGGAGGGGCTGGTGCTGGCGTGCGTGCCGGCGCGGGAGGACGCGCGCGACGTGGTGGTGCTGCGGCGGGACCTCGAGGGCGCGGCGCGGTCGCTCGCAGACCTGCCGGCGGGCGCGGTCGTCGGCACGAGCAGCATCCGGCGCATGGCGCAGGTGCGGCGGCGGCACGCGGGGCTCGCCTTCGCGGACGTCCGCGGCAACATCGACACGCGGCTGCGCAAGCTCGACGCGGCCGGCTCGCCGTACGCGGCGCTGGTGCTCGCCGCGGCCGGGCTGCTGCGCATGGGCCAGCGCGCGCGCATCGCGCAGTTCCTCGACGGCCGCACGCCCGCCGGCGGCGGCATGCTGCACGCCGTGGGCCAGGGCGGCATCGGCATCGAGGCGCGCGCCGACGACGCGCCGACGCTGGCGCTGCTGCGGCCGCTCGAGAGCGCGCCCGCCCGCCTCGCCTGCGAGGCCGAGCGCAGCGTCATGCGCACCCTCGAGGGCGGCTGCAGCATCCCGATCGGCGTCGAGACGGCGTGGGTCGGCGACGGCGACGACGACAACGGCGGCGGCGAGACGCCGGCGCGGGAGGGGGACGAGAAGAAGAAGCGGCTGCGCCTCACGGCGACCGTGGTCAGCGTCGACGGCACCCAGGCTGCCGACGCGGACGAGGTCGCGCCCGCGGCGACGATCGAGGAGGCGGTGGCGTTCGGCGAGCGCGTCGCGCGCACCCTGGTGGCGAACGGCGCCCAGACCATCCTCGACGCCATCAACGCCGACCGCGAGAGGAGCCAGGGCGCGGCGAAGCCGTGGGCGCCGGCGTGAAAGGGGGGGAGGGAGGGGGAGAGAAGGGAAGTGGGGTGGCGGGGTAGAGAGAGGAAGAAAAGAAAATAAAAGGGAAGTAGGGATGGAGACAAGAAGGGCGGTAGAGTAGAGGGAAATATGCAAAGAGCATCTAGAGATGAGATATGTCACTTGCTCACTACGTGTCGGGTCATCCACAGCGGTGCCGACCGTGGTGTTATCCGGTACACGGGACGGAATATGAGGCGAAGAGAATAACCTAGACGCATGGCAGGATGGATCACGACGATTACGACGATGGCCATGGGGGGACGATTCTGTATAGACTAGGCCAGCTGGCATCTATGTAGCTAGGTTTGTCTAGATGATGATCTTTTTCTTTCACCGACTACAGCTACGCTTCCCCTTCCGCCGTTGTGCGGGCGGATAGGTAGTCGGCTAGTCTGTAAGTTCGGGCCAGTCGGTCACAAGAAATACCGCCCCCCTACCCCTGCCAACACATACATACATACACACGAGGTTTTGTATGATACAAGGTTGAGCCCGTCTCCCTCTCTGTGTCTAATAAATCTGCCTCCCCTCTTGATATGCTTCCGTCCTAGCTCGATGTTGAAGTTCCGTTTCTCTATACCCCCCGAGAGAAAAAAACAAAGCAAAAGCTGCACCCGGCTACAGCCCTCCCCGTTATCTAGATTATGGTAGGGGACACACCCGTCGCTTCCTTCGCCGCTTAATAACCGCATCGTGTGTTTATGCTCTCACTGCAGCGCCCTTCCACGGTCCCCAGGTTGAGTTCGGTGGCCGCCCGCTCGAGGGAGAGCAGAGCGTGCGCATGAGGAGGGGGAGGGTGAGGAGGGGGTGCAGGGGAGCGGCAGGAGACAGCGAGAGCGAGAGGTAGGCGAGAGCAATTTTAGTGCTCGGCGTCGGTGAAGGCGGCATACTCGTCGGGGTTGAGGAGGGCGTCGAAGTCCTTGCGGCCCTGGTCGCTGAGCTCGACCTTGGCGATCCAGCCGCCGCCGTGGGCGTCGTCCTCGGGGACCTCGCTGATGATGCCGGGGCGCTCCTCGAGGGGCCGGTTGACGGCGACGACGGTGCAGGAGACGGGCGAGTTGATGTCGGCCGCGCTCTTGACCGACTCGACCGCGCCGATCGCGTCGCCCGCCTGCACCTCCCGCCCCACCTCCGGCAGCTCCACGTACACCACGTCCCCCAGCGCCTTCGCCGCGTACTCCGAGATCCCCACCACTCCCGTCGTCTTGTCCGCGCTCACGTCGATCCACTCGTGGTCCTTGGTGTACCGCCGGAGGTCGCCTGCCCCAGGTTAGTTAAGAGCCGGCCGCGCGCGCGTGGATGCTCCCCGATGGGACTCGGGAAGGGGATGTCGGGGTTGGGGGGGTGAGAGGGGGGGTGCTGGTGCGCGGGCAGATAGACCGCCTGATGCGTGGTTTTGCGGCGTCGGGCGACATCGGAAGGCGAGAGAGAGAAAGAAGTCAGCGAGGAGGGACTGCAGCTACTTACGGCAGGGCGAGGCAGAGAAGGCCCGCAGTTGCCAGCCCGGCGGCGCGCGGGGGGTGGTAGCGGCGGCGAGCCTCGAGAAGGTCGTCGACGGCCTAGCGGCGCGGAGACATCTCGCAATGGACGCCATGACGGAAGAGAGAGACTACGTGTACGAGGGGAATGACAGGCAGGGAGAAATGACGGGGGAAAAAAAAGCCGGTGGTAGGGACGAGTCGTAAACCGCAGCTCTGGCCAATTCTTCTTATCCTGGTTTCCTCTGTGTTGTTCTCAAGGCCGGTCTCGTTATTCCCAGCTACGCTGCCATTGACCGATGGATCTGTCTTCGCTGGGTGGGAGCTGGGCTAAGCTCGTCGTATCGCAATCGAAATCGGTGCTGGGGGGTGGGAATTCCATGGGACCGAAGAGTTTTCCGATGTTTGTAGGCTGGCACTGTGCACTGCGCCTGGGAAAGGCGCGATAGGGGACAGTGTGGCACGGTGCGAAGGGCTGGTGGCGGCCGGTATCGTTCGATGCCGCGCTGGACCAATGGCGAGCGCCCAGCTGTGCCCCGCGCCGGCGGCGACGAGAGAACACGCCAATTTCGCCCTCTCCTGATTGGCCCGAGTAGCCAGGAAACTCCGGGCAGAGCATCCCATTGATAAGAGGCATCGGCTTGTGCATATTCACGTCTACGCAGGTCTTCCTCCCCAAGTTGCTGCACATTGGACTGAGGTGTTGCATCTGTCGGGGGGGGCTCATATCTTGCAGGGGTGAATGAATACCCAGGTAAGTACCTAGGTAGTTAAGCTACCCCTCACTCATCTCGTACTTACATCAGCATCATCAACAACAACAACAATAACGCCCCAGCTCGCATCCTACCAGGCATCCGGAGCGCGAATAAATAGCGGCGTACGACGGTAGGAATCTCTCCCCGTCAGCCAAATCGGAGGAGGGCACGGGGAACTCGCTCGCAGCGATTGGCCCTCGGCCGAGCCACTAATACACACCAGCGATGTTGACATTCGCGATGCACGCTAGTGGATAGGCTGGGCTGCCGGCGTGAGTATTCTCCACGGCGGCGTAAACAAAATATTCGCGTCCGCGTCCGATGCGGCGGTGGTCTCGCCAGCTCCCCGCCCTGCCATTCGCCAGCTGTCACGGGCGCGTAGGCGGTTTTAGCCGCTGCTCCCCCCTCTCCAGGCTCGTGGACGTGAACGAAACCGTATCGAGAGCGTATTATACCGTAGGATGGAACTGGAGAGGGGGAGGGAAGAGAGAGACATCGCTGGTAAGGGATCGGACTCCCAGGCTTCGAATCGACGCACACACGCGGGTTTAGGCCTTCTGAGGGTGTGACGGAACGCCTGCGATGCATACGCATATGTGGTGATAGAGGCAGCACAGCAAATAAGGCTCAAACCATTGTAGTAGGTATTGGTTTCCGCGTTGGCGCGCCTACATCCCATCTACGCAGCCATGCTGGGTGCGAGAATTGGGTAGGCAGGCATGGGATATTCCCCGCCATCAGCTTGATTTCACATATCACTTACCTAGGCATATTCGAACCTGTCGCCATACCACCGGGACATGGGGAGCGTTATAGCGTGTGCGATATTGGCATGCAGACGATTGTATCCATAAGTGCATATGTCGGCAACCCGCCGGCGGCATTGGTGCTGCTTGTATTGTATGCGTGCCCCTCTGCCTACCACCCACCATCTACTCACAGCGTAGGCATCGTCGGTACCCAACCTACCATCCAAAATACCGGTAGTATACGGTACCTCCCATTACGCAATTTGGGCTGGGTACCTTGGCAAGGGGCCTCAGGTACATACAAGGTCGTCTTCGGGCGTGGAGCGTGGCCGTGTTGGTGGCATGTACCCAATTTAGGTCGGCTAGGTACCCTTGGTCGGTCATTTCCACGGGGCGATGGTACCGCGTTCCACCCCCCAAATTCACTCCCGCGGTCCCGCATCGGTAGCCAACTCTCCACCTGGCCTGGTCCTTTTTTCTACCTGTGCCCATCCATCGCCATCCCTCATCCACCACCATCCACCCGTCCAACTGCGTCTCGCTCTCGCCCTCACTCGCCCTCACTCGCTGGACCTCGCCGGGACGCCCTCATTCTCTCCAACCGGGCCTGCCTTAGCTTCGACGAAGGTATGTATCCGACCATCCCATGCACGAAATAACACTCGCCTGCCCGCCGAGCCTGGATCCCACCCAGTTAGGCCTTCATCCCCTCTCGCGAACCACCAATCCCCAGCTGGATCGCTTTGGCGACCTAGATGCGTCGATGGCTGTGTGATCACACCGGATATCCCAGCCTCGTCCCTCTTCTGCTCTCTCTCCCCTCACACGCTGCCTGCTGCCTGCTCTGCCCAACTTACCTAGCTGTCTACGCCCGGGAAGTTAGCTTATTTTATAAGCTTGCCGCTGAATCCATCCCCCCCTCCCCCCCCCTCCCCCCTCTCCTCTCACCACGCATTGATAAGTAACGATACTGACTGTCGCTGACGCTTAGATCCGATCCAGAACTCGTACCGACTCCCCCCCCCTCTCTTCCTCTCCCGTTCGCCGGCGCCTTGATTACCTGTTCTGCTCTGCGGGCATTCCGATGAAGCTAGCTACAGAACTGCTTTGAGACCGTCTTCCGTCAAACACTTCTACCGCATCCCCTGCCTCCCTCGCCCCTCCCCACCACGGCCGACGGCTTCTTCTCCACCCCTATTCACCCCCTCTACCCTCTCGGTTAAAGCCTTCAATCTGGATTCTTCAACTCTATCCTTAGGGTCTGGAGCCCAGTTCCACGACGCCTTCGATACGATGGATCAGGATCTTCTTGGCACGCCTACCGCACCCCATGACACCCTCGACGATGCCCTAGCTGGCGTCGAAGGGCCGCTGCATCTGGCCAGCGAATCAGGCAATCTGGAGCCCCATCATCGACAATCGCAATCCCTGGATCGAGGCCTTGCCAATAACGCACAGGTAGACGACTTCGATACCGCCGTTCCCTTCGACTCCCCCCAGTATGATACCCCTCCGCCGGCTATGCAGAGACCGGCGTCATCCGACTCCGCTGCGGGCGAGAAGCAATTAGCCGAGCACGCTTCGAGGGAGGCCAACGGCGCGGATCGGAACAATACCCGCAACCACGTCGTCATCAAAGTCGGCATGGTCGGCGACGCCCAGATCGGAAAGACGTCTCTGATGGTGAAGTACGTCGAGGGCAGCTGGGACGAGGACTACATCCAGACACTGGGCGTCAACTTCATGGAAAAGACTATCAGCATACGCAACACCGAAATCACCTTCAGCATATGGGATCTGGGTGGCCAGAGGGAATTCGTCAACATGCTACCTCTAGTCTGCAACGATGCCGTGGCTATACTGTTCATGTTCGACCTGACGCGGAAGAGCACGCTGAACAGCATCAAGGAGTGGTATCGCCAGGGGCGAGGCTTCAACAAGACGGCGATTCCGATCCTGGTGGGCACCAAGTACGACCATTTCGTCAACTTCCCCCGGGAGGACCAGGAAGAGATATCCAACCAGGTAGGTTGAGAGGGCGTGTGACGGCATCCGCAGCTTGCAGCAGCTGACAACCCGACGCAGGCGAAGAGGTTCGCCAAGGCGATGCGCGCTGCTCTCATCTTCAGCAGCACCAGCCACAGCATCAACGTGCAGAAGGTGAGCGGCCATGCATGGTACAGTAGTCACGTCCGAACCGGGGATGCTAATCCTGCCTGTTCAGATCTTCAAGATCGTCTTGTCGAAGGCGTTCGATCTGAAGTGCACGATACCCGAGATCGAAAACGTTGGCGAGCCTCTTCTTCTGTACCAGTCAGTCTAGTTCTGGGCGCGGCCTCGGCACAACGGCGGCGTCTGTTGGGGCCATGGTTGGGTAGACGCATTCACCCCCCTCCCCCCTTCCCCCTATCTGCATGCTGATAATCACCCCCGCCGGTGGCGTAATTTACGATACCGAACGGCCGTCACAAGAAGACGATTCCCGCCGCCACATGCAAGATCGGTTCATCGCCAGATTTCGATGCTTCGCGACCCCCGACGAGCACCCATAGGTTTGGGGCGAATTGATGCTTTGGCCTGTCCATGAGCGTTCCCTCGCCTCGCCAGTTGGCCTATCCAACCCCAGCCTCGTCAGGAAGAAAGTACTCGATTACATTTCCTTTGTATATCAAACGTCGCCAGACGTACCGGCCGCTCCATCTTGGCACCCGGGGACAGACTTCCGGTCTGGGTTTTTCTTTCTTTCTCGATAGGGCGAGGGGAATAGAATTGGTTTCCCTTAACCCCATGTTACCACACCGCTGCACGCACCTTTACAACCCAGTCCATCTAGCGCTGGTAATTAAATACTGGAAAGAAAAGAAAAGAAAAAACAAGCAACATCGCTACCCCTGGATGTGATCCTCTCCGTTGCCTCATTCTTCATTTCCCATTTCCTGGCACCCCCAGCGGAATCGAAATCTACAGGAGAAGGCCTACTTCATGATGGGGGGAGATGAGTCATACTGGGGAGGGGGAAAGTGGATGTAATAGTGTTGTAATGAAACCCCATCTCGCGCTACAGTCTCGTGTCGTCTTTCCATTGTCGTGGCGTTTATTTTGTTTTTTTAAGCATCCATCCTGTTATCGGTGTTTCATCTCCCCCTCCTCTACCACGTTAACTCCTCCCCGCGCCTCCACCCGTTTTTCTGTCGTGTTTAGGCGCGTGGGTGTGAGGTAGGGAGGGCAGAGGGGGAGAAAACGATGAGAAAGAGGGAGACAGGGAGAGATGGAATCGAGGAAGAACGACAGGCGGGAAGGGGAACAGAGAAGACGACGAGGACTACTACTGACCAACTCTACTTGCATACCCTCTCCTCGGACTAGCCGGGGAGGGGAGGGCGCGCGGAGGGCGCGCGAGACGGTAAACTAGCCAGATAGAAAAGCGGCACCGAAGCGCTCGCGGGCCTACCGGAATTGAAATTGACGAACATTGATGGCGATGAAGACGACGACGAAGGGAGCGCCCACGTCGTCGATTCTCCTCCCCTTCCCGCTCTACCCGTCCGTGAATGTGCGTGAGCGTGAGCGTACGTACCGAACGGAAGACACGCACGTGGTCCGAGTGCCGGCAAGATGAACGCAGGGCCCCTTTTAATATAAGTATGCCTTCATCTGCCACCTTCATATTCTAGTTTCCCTGACTGCCGTTTTCAGCTGGCCGATTGACCGATTACAGCTTTTTACAGCTGTAATCTAGTTCGATCGGCACTGGGTCAGCTGTTGGCAGTTGGGTAGCCCTTGTTCATGCCTCCATCACAGCGTACCCACGCTGCTCCTGTTCAATGGCGACCACCCAGTAGCTCGACCTCACCTCATCTTAGGAGTGACCTTTTGCGACCGTTTTTTACAGTCGATAGGTTCACGATACGTCGATCAGGAGATTCCCTAACTTTCAACTGATCAGGAGCTGTTTTCGTGGCTCCGGAGCCGTTTTCGTAGCTTTTGGCCTGAATGAGCCTTTTCAGGTCACAGCTTTAGGTAGCAGGATCAACACGCTCGCACACGCTTGAAGGCATTCGTTCGCTACCGATCAATCTATTTCAATTACAAGAGGCTTGCCATTTCGATTGCCCTTATTTATCCCAGCCAGTTATAGACGACACCTAGGGAGGTTTCCTTGCCTCTCCAACCCACAGGTGCCACGATGCCCTCACAAGAAAATAACCGACACGCGCCTTATACCCACGATACGCCACGAACCTGATCGGGGACGTACCGATCAGCGCAAAGACCTACAGACGATACCGATACGAAACGAATTGAACGGATATTGAACAAGATAGCCCAGGAACAGTACAGGAACAGGAACAGGAACAGTCAGGATAATGCCCAGAGACCCCTCTTGTCGCCCTTACCGATATGTGGTTCGTAGGAATGCCGTGAGAGCCCTAGAGCCAGGTACAGGGGAGGATAGCAAGCCTCTTGCAACTGAGATAGACTGATCGGCGAACGAGCGAGTGCCTTCAAGCGTGTGCGAGCGTGTTGTTGTAAAAAGGGGGGGTGGCGGTGACGTGGTCAGATCAACTGAGAAAAACTGCCATCTAGGCACTTGTTGAAAACGGAGGCGAGACCAGATAAAAATGGGCATAACTCCTTCAAAAGAGATAGTTGAGAAACGAGGATAAGGATTCCTGCTGATCGGCGAATGAGCTTTCAGGTAAGCTGATCAAAAGCTGTTGGGAGGGCGTGGTTGTTGAGAGATGGCCGCCATGGTTGTTGAGAGATGGCCGCCATGGTTGTTGAGATGGCCGCCATGGTTGTTGAGAGATGGCCGCCATAGTTGTTGAGAGATGGCCGCCATGGTTGTCTGCCCTCCCTGTTGATCCTGGGCTGAAAAGTTCAGACCAAAAGCCACGAAAACAGCTCCTGATCAGTTGAAAGTTGGGGAATCTCCTGATCGACGTATCCCGAACCTATTGACGGCAAAAAAGATCGTTCAAAAGGTCGCTCCTAAGACTGAGGTGAGGTTGCTGACGAGTTACTGGGTGGTCGCCATTGAACAGGAGCAGCGTGGGCACGCTGTGATGGAGGTACGAACAAGGGCTACCTAACTGCCAACAGCTGGCCCAGTGCCGATCAACCTAGATCACAGCTATAAACAGCTGTAATCGGTTGATCGGCCAGCTGAAAATGGCAGTCAGGGAACTAGAAACTGAAGAAGATGGTGGATGAAGGCATAGCAAGAAACGAGTGAATGCTGTAGGTCGTGATATCTACAGGTCTAAGTTTAACTGATGAAAATATGAGTGCGAGACCGATATAAATACACATCCAAAAGGCTACGTGGCCTAGTCCCACCGCACCACTACATTACCCCACCTAGTACTTACGGAAGATAAGGCTAGCTATTATTTGGTAGGGGCAGGGTGGCCTGTGGCCCGTGGTCAGGTGACAGATGGTAAACCCCGGATGGGAGCCCCTGTAGATACCTAACGTAGGCGTGTTAGCCAGCAGCCTATCAGTATACCCGCGCCGGGCGGCACGGAGGCCGTTCATTTCTTCCTTTCTTTCTTCGGCCTACACATCTACCTACGCCCTATACGGCGCTGCTCTGCGCTACGCAATGGTGGTGGTGGTGTTTAGTAATGGTAGAACCCGGGTATCGCGGACACACCTGCAGGCGCCGCCGTGCCGTGCCGTGCCGTACGGGCCAAATCAGTACGGTTGGGAGGTGTGCGGGAGCCTGGCCGGGGGCGGGGGTTGAGGCGGGATTCGGTAGTCTATTTACTACGCAGACTGTTCGTTTCTATGCCCTCGCCGTCCGCAACACGGGGCGAGCTATCCCTCCCTCCCACGCAGGCCCCCTTTTCCCCGCCGTTTCTTTTTTTTTTTTCCTGTTCTTCTCTCCTCCCATTTCCTTCCGCGGCTAGGTCCTCTCCCGCCCTTTCTCTCCGCACCGGGTGCGTCCCCGTCTACGGTCTCGGGGGCGGGGGGGGGGGGCAGCGGCCTAGCTGGTATAAGCGCCCCCCCAAGAAGAGAAAACTGGGGAAAGAAGAGACGGGAAAAGGGAAGAGAAGAGGGAAAATTCGATTTTACATCGTGCGCCGATGGCTATGCATAAGTGTAGGTAGGTAGGTAGGTAGACAGGTAGGTGCGTGGACGGAGGACCACGGGCCGAAAAGAACGAAGAGGCGCACGCGCACGGAAGGGAGAGCGAAATGCTAGGTAGGTAATACTAGTACAACAAGGTCCCGCCGCCGCCGATCGTACAGCTCGCCGCCGCGCCCACGCTCACGTCCGGGTCCCGGGGGGGCGAGGGCAGGATTCTACTCGTACGTGCGCGGATCTGACGCCCGAGGGGCGTCTCCGCGCCCGGCTGCCCCCTACGCAGAGCCCCCGGCCTTGCCGTCCCCGTCTGCCTTGCCATCCTGCGCGTCCGCCTTCTTCTCTCCCGCACCGCCCGTCGTCTTCTCCTGTTCCTCTTTCTTTCCGCCCTCCCCTTCCTCCTCCTTCGCCCCGTCCCCCTCCCGGCTCTCGGCCTGCGCCGCTGCTTCCTCTGCGCCCTCGGGCTGCGGTGTGTCGCTAGACTCCTCTTCGGCGCCCTTCTCGTGCTCCTCCTCCTTCGCGTGCCCGTGCCCGTGCGCGGGCCCCTTGGCCGGCCCCGATGACAGCAGCCACGTCAGCCCCGGCACGGTGACGGCGATCGAGCCGATGAGCCTGCGCGGTCGCCCCCCGTTAGCTAGCCGCGACTCCGCTTCGGGCCCCCCTTGCTATCTGCAGATGCGGAGAGGAAGAAGGGGGGGGCAAAGAACAGCGACCGATCGGGTCGGCACTCACCAGGGCAGATCGCTCGACTTCTCCGCGCCGCCCGCGTGGCCGCCGCCCGCGCCAGCGTACCCCCGCCGCGCCGCGGGCAGCCGGGCCCGCGGGTGCTGAGGCCGGCGGGCCGCGGCGCGGAGCGCGGCGCGCAGGATGGTGCGGGGAGCCGCCGTCGACATGGCTCCCTTTTTTTTGGCTTTTACGCTTTTTCGGGGTTCTGCGTTTCTTCCGTGTTGGCACAAATAAACGGGCCCTCAAAAAAGGCAAACTATCTCATGTATGCAAGAGTACGATGCGGGTTGGCTGGCTGGCTGACTGCTTGACGCCTTGCCGAGGGAAGAGGGACGACGAGGTAAAATTTGCCTCGCTCCCTATCTGTCTGTTGCGTGTCCTCCCTCCCTCTCAGGATCTCTTGACGTGATGTTTTCAGAGCTGGGGGGGGAGTTCTCGAAATGTCGGTATCTCGGCAGGGAGAGTCCGGAGGTAGCTGTCTGTTGCGATTTACCTAGGCAACGGAGGCAGGCGGATGGAATCGGTGGATGAATAGAAAGCTCTCTTCCTTCCCCGGTCGCGTTACTTGGGGGGGTTTTTTCATTCCTCGTCTCAATTCCGAGGATAAACGATGACGAAAATAAAACCCCTGTCAATTCTTCCTTGTCTGGATGTTGGCAGAGGTAGGGCGCAGCACAGCGCGGTGGGCAGGTTATGGGTGTGTGCGTTCGGTTGGTGCCGAGATCGGATTATCCCTCAATCCCGTCAGGACACGGCGACAACTCGCTTAGGTCAGAAGGCATGTCACGGCATGCCACAGAGCACACTCACCAATCTGTCCTTCGCGTGTCTTTCTGTTAATATCGGGTCGTGTCCGTTACCGAATGCGGGCATTGCTGGCTCCCATGCCATCGGGAATGCCCAAAGCTGGTTGCACCACACCACCAGCTGGCGCCTCTCTGATCGATCGGCACACGCCCCGAGTACGTGCCCAACCTACCCTGCGGGTCCTCGTATATGTGTAGGTATATGTGTAGCCATCCAGGACCTGTAGTGGGCATCTGATAAGCAGAGATGGGCCCAGAAGCCACACGCCAAGTCCAGAGCTCGGGAAGTTGGTGTGGAGCTCGATCCATACCCTGGCGAGTTGGGGGGGGGCCTTGGAAGATCCGACTGGCCAGCGTCCGCTCGTCTTGCACACCCTGGACCCGACCGTTCCGTTAGTTGGCGAGCTATACTGCTCCTGGATAGAATCCGTCACCGTCGCAGCGCCGAGGACGAGCAAGCAAGGCCATGTGTCTCTTCCATACGCGAGTTATACAACTGGCTAGGCCACCAAGCCTAGCCTACCTTATTCGATCGGCCAGCTATCGGAGCGCCGTCATCCTGCCCCAAATCCCCCTCCCTTCCCGGTCAGGGGCGCCTACGTACGTAATTATGCTTCTTGTTAGCGAGTTACACATCTATCCTCTCCCTTTTCATCCTCCCATCTCCCTATTCTCATCCCGTAGTGTCTTAAGCTGTCGCTCAAAGTCCTTGTTGATCCACTCCCAGTACTGCTGCCACACCGGGTTCTGCACCGTCGGCTGCTGCCCCTGGCTCTGGGCGGCCGCACCACCGGCGCCGCCCGCCGTTCCCGCTACTGTCGTCTTCGTCTTCTCCGCTAGGAGAAGCGACACCCGGAGTACGCTCTTGACTGCCTCCTCCTGCTTTTCTACCTCCTGCTTCACCGCTCCGTCCCTGAGTTTCGTCGATAATGTCTTCCTATAGCACTCCGCCACCGTGTCCAGCCGCCGCGTCGTCTCTTCTGGGTCGATGACGATCAGCTTGCTCAACATCAGGTTGCAGAGCGATCGGATGTCGTTGTCGTCGCGAAGGCCGGCGATCACTCGGTCGTAGAACTCCAGGGAGCTCACCCGCGAGAACGCCGTTTCCATGAGCGCGTACAACGTCTCGTAGGCACTCTGGACGTCTAGTCAGCAAACTAACTGTCCCTGCACGTGGCCATCACGACACGGGCCCTTCAAGGTGTACTTGCCTTGCGAACTTCCAATCCGTCATCCACGAGATGTTTGAATGGCCCCATCTGAACCTCCCGGATGAGCTGCGGCTTTATGACCGACTCCGTCATCACGTAGGGGATCAATTCCCCGAGATGCGGCAAGATCAGGTCCGGTTTGTTATGTGCTGCCGAATTCAGCGTCGTCATGCCGAGTCGGCGGATTTCCATGTTCTCGTCGCTCAGAACCGTCAGGAGCATCTCGACTAACGCCGTCTTCAACATCAGATCGAACGACTCGTCGCTGTCCGGCAACGTATACCGTAGCGCCTGCACGGCCACGCCCCGGAACACGGGCGACGGGTCTTTCAGGAGTTCCTGGCAGCATAAGTGTCAGATTTCTTCGAAATTCAAAAATAAAATTTCTCTTGGCGGAGAGAGAAAATTAAAACGAAGGAAAAGGGACTACGGGGACCTACTTGGAGTTTGGGGATATAGGTCTTGGGCTCCATTATAGCCAGTCGCCCAATGCACTCAGAACAAATTGCCTTGTTGTCGTCGAAGCGGGAAGCCGTGAATAAGAGTTGCCAGATCTCCTTCTCGTACGAACTTATATCGGTAGACGACGCGATGGCTTGGTGAAGAATCTCGCGGGTCGATTGGAGGAGCAGGTACTGCTGGCTGCCTGGCTGTTTGATCGCGTCCAGTATCGTGGGTAAAAATACCGAGATATTGCCGGCACCAGCGCGGCCGAGAGCCACGGCGGCGGACACCGAGACCTTGTCTGGCTCGTCGTGGAATTGGCCCAAGAAGATCGAGGGTTGTAGTCGAGACTTCGGTCCCAGTCGGAGCCCAATCTCCCCCAGGATGGCCAAAGCGAGGCTTTGTCGGGCAGTATCCGGTGGTGATAGCTTGCTAGACTTGTTAAGCTCGTCAATGAAACTATCAACGGTAACGCCGACCTGGCCCCCGCTGGCAACGAACAACGCGCCCGCCACCTTGCCTACCACCGTAGGGTCGCCCGCTACGCCAACTCGCAGGACGCCTTCCATTAATGACTTGCCCATACCGCTTTGCCCGATAACCGTAACCAGGGTTACGAGCGAGTCTAGTACTAGACCGGCGATATTCTTCTTCAGAAGCTCGCACAGGGGCTCGATAATTTTCGACGACGAGATGAGCTTGGGGTGCTCAGACTGCAGCTGGGAAATGACTAACAGAGCCGGGCTCAAGAGGTAGGTTTCGTTAGCTGCGATAACGGGTAGGATGGCGGCCGCGATATCGTTGGCCGTGTTGGCTTGGATGTGCCCCTTGGCTACCGGGCTCATGATCAGGTGGTTCAAGGCTTGGATACTGGCTGCTCGAAGGGCACGATTCGTCTTCCGCAGCTGAACGCAGAGTTCTAATGCTACATTCTGCGTCCATGCAGGCTCGAAACTACCCGGGGCCGAAGAATGCGCCGCAAAGTTGTCGATCGCGCGCACGGCGTACAGGCGCGTCGTCTCATTTCGGAGGCGATCGAGGAGCAGATCCAAGGCAGCCTGGCGCTTGCCTGCGGAGAGCAGGGCAAGGCCCTCCGCCGAGGATGTCCTCGAGACGAGCGTCCCAAGCGCCTGGATGGCTTTCTGTCGCACCTCCGTGTCGGCGTCATTTGCCGAGGCACGATCTAGTATGATCTCGTATAGCTTATGTAGTTCGGGCTTGTACTTCTGGATAGTGAGCCTAGCCCGAGGAGGGGTTATGGCCTTAACCAACTCTTCTGCCGTGCGGATCGCCTCACTAGATATCTTATAAAACCTGTCGCGGACCGCCGACACGACGCCGGAAACTATCTTTTCCAGGTACGGTTGGAATAAGCTTGACGAGTGAGTCTTGACTATATCACTAGTAAAGTGAAGGACCGCCACGCGTAGCGTAGTAGCAGTTGCGGATACGGCGCCTCCCGATAAGGCGATAGACGATGAGCTGCCGCCACCGGTGATGCCCTTGGTAACATCAATTATTGGCTGCATGACCTGGTCAAAGTAGTCGGACAAGCCCCCGTGCTGGACCAGAATCAAATCATCTAGTAAGTTGATCACGGCTTGCTTAGTGGCAATCTGTTTACCTTTCAGGAGTTTGGCTACCGCCTTGACGACTTGTGGCGTCAATTTGGAAAGATCGGCGCGGGGGCCAGTTGATGGGACAGCTTCGCGAGTAGGCGACGTGAGACCAGTGGCTCCCAAGTAAGGCGCCTTGTTGGTGTACACCAGACTACCACTACTCTTCCGCCGACGTTTTCGGTTACCTCCGAGAGTATGCAAGAGTTCGTCGTCGGCTGAGATGGCCGCAATGACGCCTTCGCCGGTCTTTCGAATCAGAAGTGCTACGGTCCCGATAATCTCCAAACGAACGCTCTCTTCTCGTTCGTCAAATCGCTTCACCAGCGGGGTGGCAATTTCGCGATATAGAGTACCCTTTTCTAGCAGGTCTGTGCTTCGCGTAGAAATCAGCGTGTATAATGCCTTCGCGGCGCACCTACGGACCTTCCAGCTTGAGTCGTCGTCGTCGTCAAAGCCAGTATCGTCCTCGAATTCGTCGTCCGGATCGGCGTCTTCGTCTTCGTCCGCATCCTCGTCTTCTCCACCCATCTCCTCGTCCTCGTCAACGGCGTAATTGGGGTCATACTTCAGGTAGCGCAGACATGCCGCGATGACCCCATCCGTGTAATCTCGCATCTGCAAGCCGCATGATGCCAGGAATGACTCGAGTGCAACCAGGGCGGCTTCCCTAACCTCGTTGAACTCGGGGTTTAGCTGGTCGTTTCCTTCTTCTAACGCTTCGAGCTGGTTCTGTAACTCCTCCTGGCTCAGGGGAGACAAGACAAATGCGACCAGTTGCGGGATGTATTGTCCGAATTTGAACGGAATCGACCGAGCTAGCGAACCCATCATGGTAATATAGAGACGGCGCATAATGGGGTTTATTTTCGGCGTATTTAGCGCCTTCTGGATCCTTGTTACGAACCCGTCGAGAACATCGCCGGTGAGGAAGGGCGCAAGAATGGCAATCGCAACGACAGCGCGTTTCTTCACGGAAGAAGGCGTCTCCGTCTTCTCCAATACTTGAATGACCACGTCTTGCAGCTTCTCGACTTCGAGAGGCTTCAGCATAGGGCCAAAGCATCGAACGACTTCGATAAGGACGTCGATAGACTCGGCACTGGTCTTCTCTAGTATTCCAGTGTTGCTCTTCTGTGGAGTGGCGCTGGCGGCCGAATAGCCCAGAATACGCGGGATGAGGACGCGACTGATGATGTTATAGGTGTCGATCACCTCTCGAGAGGGAGTTACTCCGTGCATGGGCTTCGGGAGCGAAGAGAGAGCGGCACGAAGAGCGAGGGAAGGTATGGAATCGTCGACCGAATTCTTCATTTCCATCGTGCTTAGCTTGTCGAGTGCCGGGGACAGGACGGTGATCGGAATTTTGGCGATCAACGGGCCCATGCTGTAAGACGAGGTAAGTTATTAGCCGGAGTCTGCGTGACGGCTAAGCCCAGGCGACGCTCCTACCATTTCACTGCCAAATTCTGCACCTCTCCATTCTGATCATCCAGGGCCTTGATGACAGCATCCACAAGACGGGAAGAAGTGTTATAATCATGTCCCAGAAAGTCGGCCTTCTGTTTCGTTAAGATCTGATGGAGGTCGTTCAATGACATAAACCGGAAATCGGGGTCCTGGTCAGACAGCCTTCCTAGGAGCTGGTTGATGGTCTGGAGATTCGGGTTATTCACGGCAGCGGAGGACGCCATGGTGATGCGAATGTCGAGCGCGTTGTCGGGGTGTCGGGCCGAGCGGAGGAGAGGGGGAAACTTTCGGAGGCCTAACGAGAAAATTCGCGTGAGTCTCGTATCAGCAACAGCTGGGAGATCGCAGGAAGAATGCCATCGAAGCAGGTGAACATGCGGAAACGGATAGTATAGAAACAGATTTGTTCGTATCGTCTTCCAGGCAGGCTTACTCCGTGTTATTGTGGTTTAGTGATGGTAGACGGTGGGGTAAGAGGAGCAGCCAGGGATGCCAGCAGGCAACGAGCCGTTCGAGACCCTAGATGTGATGCTGATGCCGACGAACGCCGCGCGTGGGTCGATCGCGTACCAAGACCCCTATCGACGCCCTCGAGCAGCCCAACTACTGTCCCCGAGATGCTCGGGCTCGGTAGATAGATACCTGACGACTTGGGCGGCAGGCGGCCTAGGCGACGCGGAAAGAAAGTACGAAATCACCAAGAATTGTTCGAGGTCAGAAGCATGCTATTGGCGATACTTCAGTTGTGGCTGGAGGAGAGGGCGGGTTGGGAGAAGAGAGGTAGCAGGCAGATAGCGAGAGGAGAGAGGGGGAGAGAGCGCGAGGCAACGATATCGACGGAGTCGACGGCTATAGTGGGGTTCAAGCTTCTCCTTCCCTCTCTCAAACTGTGGTGCCTTCGACAAATTATTTCATTCAACAGGCGCCATTGGAGGGGCACCTATTGTGGCTTGGACGTGGCGAGGGCAAGTACCTGTGGCTGTGCAGATCCTGCTCCCTGATAACTCGATATCTTCAGTTATGCGGTCTCCAAGATTATACAGAGATGCGTCATGAGGTGCCTACTTCTATATATGTAAATCATGTACGTTAGGTATCTACCTAGGCCATCTTTTAAGACATTGCGTACCTAGAGGTTGATAAAACCTAGGTATCACCCAGAGGCACCCTGTCTCTAGGTATGTGTTCCGCGGTGCCACAGACTCCGAAGGCGGAGCGGCAGACGGCGTAGGCGCCCGCTTCCTCGTGATGATCAGTATGAGAGCATCCGTTGTGGAACAAGTGCCGGTGCTTGATCGTGAGAGACGGCCACATCTATCTCTGTTGTTAGTCATTCTCGGCAAGAGTGATTGATCAATCACAGTTCCTTGGTAGAGCCGCCGTCAGGACCGGGACAACCGTGAAGGTCCGGAACATAACCGATGGTACCTTGAAACACCCATGACACGAAGATACTATCCAAAACTATATTATTGCTGAATACTTTATAACATGCAGCTTGGGTCAGGAAACACCATTAACACCGGGCAAGTGTCTCAAAAATGGCTTTGTCGACCCCCTGAAATGCCCTGGCCATTGGTGGTACTGAACCTTTTCCAGCTTTCTGGAACGGATCCGAAGGATAGTTATAGCAACCAAAAAGGCTCCGATCCCAGTGATGACGGCGCCTAATAAAGATAATCAAAAGGAGCGTCGGTCAAGTGTACCGGAAAGTCCATAATCAGCACACACTCACGGCTGATTCACTGCCTGTATACACGTCACATTGACCCACGAGAGGTCAATTAATTAGCAAGCGAGTTCAGAGCCTCGCACATATAAATGCTTCTCCTTGCTCATCCTACTCTTCCTCTTCTTATTTCCCTATAATACCATCTAGCATCCTCTACCAACTAACACGGTTGTTCTATAACTACTTACCAGGTCGCCTAACGCTAACAAATCACCGCAAGATTCTGCCCATCTGGGGAACCCACCTCACCCCATCGCTCAAAATGTGCCCAATACCCATGGAAGTTCAGAGACTTATTGACAGCTGCCACAAATTCAATAGCATTCGCTGGGAAGTAGACGATAGGGTAAAAGACAAACGATTCGGGACCGCGGAGGACAGGAACAGCATCGCAGCCAGAATCGCCCTAGACCAAGACGGCCTCTCCCGCTACAAGAATCTCTTCACGATCGTACGGGGATCAAGATTTGTGATGAGCGCATATGAACCACGCCATGAGCCGCAAGAGTGGCCGGAGGTCAAGAGCGAGTACGAAGAGCTCATGCAAGTTGCCCCTGGCCTTTTCAGCCTCTACAATGGATACGCCGACAAGTTGGGCATTAAGCCAGTGTTCAGAGTAGCGTTTCCTTAGGGTCAGCGCAATGGTGCACAGAGATGGACGTTAAAGACGGAGACAGACTCGGGTAGTTCCCCAACATTACACTTTCGTTAGCCATGGATAACGATGGGGACGCCCCGAGATATTAGCTATTTGAATTCTCCAAGGTTCACAACTTGGGAGCCTAGTTGAAAAGTCTCTTGACTGATCGCTAAAAGAAGCAAGCCATACTCCCTTTCCGTGAAGTTCTAGTCTACCTACGCCCTCGGCGATCTTTATCGATATTAGCTACGGTTACCCCATGTTTATCTAGGCATCTGGCATATCGACCAAGCAATCAATCCCGGAGTTGTGCTAGACGACTCTGTGGTTTGGCCCAAAAAGTGCGTCAAGTAGCTGGGGTTGCTACCTAGGTACATTGTAACAACTTACAATCAGAAAGACAGACAGTCAGTATTTTAGATTTCGTAGATCCGTGATCTGTTACCGTGTAAGCTCTACATATCATTCGGAAAGAGTAACGGCCCTGAATCACCGGGGATATAAACCACCAAACGTGGCAACATTGCAGGGCAAACAGAGCCAGCGGTTATATATATATCAGAGGCCTCCCTCCCTCCATTAAAATGTAGCAGCTCCTATCTATCCGTATATTTACATCCCCATCGTTACCTTCTCAGCATTATCCACTTCAGAAACAACGTATCCGCGATATAATACCACTTAATCACCAAACACAGCCCGGTTTGCCTTCTCTGCCTCCCATCTGAACAAGTTGGCAAGCGCAAATGTCGGATACCGTTTCTAAGCAAGAGGCCCCGAAAACCCCGCCTCAACAGGATGGAGGCAAAGCTACGGATAACAACGACCCCCCGAGCACACCCAAGCCTCCCGGACCTGTACGAGATCCCATCAGCCCACCTCCTGAGGTTATAGAGGCCTCGGAACGGCTCCAAGAAATTGTGGCAGATAGCGGGAACAGCAACGAGAAAACCGGTGGCCAATGATGGTTGGTGGGGCGGAGTCAATTACAAGAGAGAGGAACGGCAGGATTATGGTGGTGAGGACAGGGTCTGCGAACCATTTCGGAAACAAGAACAATAATAGAAATTCTTCAACACGCATCGCTAGAACGTAATGTGACGTGGCCAATACAAAAATTCCACATGTTTTTCGAATCAATCAACCTGAGGCAGGGCTATCTTGATGTCGCAGCTTGGAAAATCCGTATTGGAGTTATTAGACAGCGCGAAGTTTGCATATCTTCATCGCCTTGTTATAAAAACCTCTGCCATGGACGGATGGATATGAGCCAAGACGGGGAAACCCTTCGGATAGGAACTGCTCCAAAGGAACTGCCCTACCGTAAGGTCTCCTACGAAACGGCAACAGTCGCCGACGACCGCAACTTAGCGTTAACGACAGTCATCAGCAGCGGTAACAATTGTTGCGTCAGCTGTAACTTGCTGTAGCCAGCTGGAGGGCGGCTACTTGCGGAAGATCAGGGCGGCTGCTGTGGTCTAAGGAAAACAAGAGGAAAGCAACAAAACAAGAAACAGACAATTTGACCAGAAACAGGAAGTAATAACAGGTAACCGAGGGTCGTCGGTGAGGTCCATCTTGAAACTATTTAGGGAATAGCTCTACTACTAGCAGGCGACTCATACGGCGTTGAAGGCTAACCAAATTTTGAACAACAGCTTTTCTCGTTTTGATTGTTGGTGTAGAAACGGTCTTGGAGATATGGGTGTGGCCCGCACTTCCATAGTCCATTGCTGTTGGTCAGAGATCTGTTATCGCCGAGGAGGTTAACGATATCTCCCATAAGCAGGGACGAGTCAGAGGTTGTTTATTTCTACTGAAATTTACGTGAATCACGGTCCAGAGCATTCCCTCGGTTCTTATCCCTTATAAGGGGCTCCTTACGGCCCCTAGCACCCTTTCCATCACAACGCTCCTATTACAACATTCAACGCTGACACGTAGAAAAGTCTACTGTGATAAATTTTCAGCTTGCGTCCCCCCCCATTCCCTAAAAAGGACCCCCCTGCCAATTTCTTGAAATCCGTTCAACCTTTTCTGGTCGGATCAAGAATTAAAGGCTCGTATCTACTTCCTCCAGGCGTGGGGTCAGCCTGCCCAACCCCCTTCATCCTTACGCTCTCAGAACTAACCTAGGGCGCAGACCTCACAATCGACGAGACAGGAAACTCACTGCTACCGATCACAGAACCATGGAAGAAGAACGCAGGGCGCAGCTACTCCAAGCGCTGGAGGAGGCGCGAGTAGCGGAAGCGGAGACAGAGCGCGCCGTCAGGGAGATCACCGCCCGCAAGCTGCAGTGGGAGCGGATGCTTCGCGAGGCTACGCACGCGTTAGAGGTGGCTAAGAGGAATACTGCGAATGCCGAGCGCGAGCTCGGCAACCTAACCAAACCTAAGACTAGAAAACGGGGATGAGCCGGATGTAGGGGGAGGTGCGTAGGCGCCGAGGCTTCACCCTCACGGGGGCAGGCAAAAGGGGGAAACACCGCGGTACACGCGATGGCCATGTCTCCTACTGTCTTGTATGATTAGATCCTGCTGTGCTGCCACGATGCACTTAGGTGTGGATCTCAGCCTTCCCACATGTTCCGGGAGACTTGAATGCCAACCACTAAAACCCATACCCTACTCGATCCCCGAATATACAGCCTGGTTTTGTATTCGGAACGCCGAAAGGCTACGCAGTTCATCATCCCACGCACCATATTAGATTCAAGGGGTTACACCTCTAGGAATTGGGATGATTCTCAGGTAAGCTAACCGCGAGGCTAACTATACGCCTGCCCCTCTACGCTACCGGCACTTCACACATGCGTGATACCCAGACCTGGATCGCAGGCGCACGCATGAGCCGAATCCGCGCGTGTACGTCCAACACCAGCGAACGCGCCATCACGAACTTCGACCATCGATTTCGCACCGACTCACGTCGGGGCAGTGACTCGGAGCGACCATGCCAGCTCGCCCGGGAGTCCTTCACGGCACCGTGAAGGGGAGTAATAACAGCCTATCTATAAAAAAGGGGTCTGCCCAACCCTCTGACTCCAGAAGCCCAGCCCAGCCCAACCGCGCACGCCATGCACGACCTGCCGGCGCTCGCCGAGAGGCAGAGTCGCCTGTAAAACTATTACTACCGTCGCACTGCTACCATGAACCCGGACGCGCCGCCCCCGCCCCCGCACCCGCGGCGCCGGGGCCGGGAGCGGCGCGCAGATCTCGCTGCAGCATTTTTCGCCGCGGCAGCCCGCGCGCCGGCATTCCGCGGCCCGCCAGCTCCCGGGGCGCCGCTCGTCGTGATCCCGGAGTCGCTGTTCCCGGCGGTGGCGGCGCTCGGCGCGATCGACCCGGCGCTCGGCACGTGGCTGCGGGCCGAGCTGCCCGGCAAGTCGCGCCAGCAGATGCGGCTCGTCGTGCTCGGCCACGTCGGGCGCATGTGGCCGCGGCTGCCCCCCTGGGCGCGCTGCGCCGTCACCGACAGCATAGTCCTGGCCGACCGCGAGATCTCCGCCGAGGCGGCGCCGGGCGGCGCCGCACGGGCTGTCTAGTCTCTTCCCCTCCCCCCCAACCTTTTTTTTCCGTTTAGGAGAAAGAGACGAGGAGTGTGAGAAAGGGAGAAAGGGGACTAGAATGTGGATGAAAAAAACAAAAAAGGGTAATAGCAAGAGAGGGGAGGGAGGGGGAGTAAACTCATGGATTAGGGGAAAGGCAGGGGACTGCGTGGATGGAAAGGAAACGGAGGAAAGGGAGAACCGGGACGTATCTCCCTATGTGGGTCTGACGATGAGGGGTACCTAATCATTGACGAGCCTCGCCAGCGCTCGAATGATCTGGGGACGGAAAGCTGGGTGTTATTGTTAGCGTAGCCTCATACCTGTCTAACTACACTACGCTGTTTCTACCAGGCCAGAGGCACCAGTAACCACCGGGCACGGCTCGTCTAGATTTCTGCTCACAGATACCCTAGTAAGTAGGTACATGATCTCTGTTTTCTCTGTCGAGCAAGCCCGCGACCTAGAGGCTCGAGCCCAGACGCCAGAGATTATCTGCCCGTCGCGCTCAACAACGCGATGTGTCTCTAACCGAGCAAGTGATATACAATTCGGGTTCCCTTTCCCCACGACAGTCAGCCCTCTTTTCCTCTCCTCGTTAGGGCCTGCCTTCTTAAACCTCGCCTCCTTCGCTGGCGTTCCTATAACTGAACCTGCTTTTCGACAGCTTCCCCACGTCGCCGATGCTTCTCTCCCACACCTTGTACTTGTCCTGGTAGTAGTTCACCCACTCTTCTGTCGACATCTGGCCCTCCTTCTGGATCGCCACCAGCTGCGGCGCCAGCGTCACGAGCTTACTTCTGTACGTATCTATCCCGATGTACGTGCCCTTGAGCCACCGGCTCCCGCTCTCCGCCGAAAACCGTCGCCGCCCGTGCAGGACGCGTAGATTGTCGAACAGGACGCACTCGCCTGGCTGCAACTTGTACTCGTACACCCACTGCTCATCTTCTAACAGCTGCCGCATCTTGGCCGTCGCCTCAAGCCATTTCCGGTACATCTTGATGCCATTCTTCGTAAATTCGAGCCTCTGGTTGCTGTCCTGGAAGGGCGGCGACCAGTAGACCTTATAGGAGGTCGTCAGGATTGGGCGCGAGAATTCGTACCAGTTCCCCTGCTTCTTGTAGTGGTACTTGAGCCACTTATGTTTAAGGATGTTTGCCAAGGCTGGAGGGCCGATGCCCATGAGAAAACCGGCCCTGTAGCTGTCGGTGAAGATAGACTCGCCGCCCTCGCACGAGTTTTCGATGCAATGTAGGAGCTGGATGCGGGGCGGATCCCGCAGGTACAACATATCCTGGTGCAGACCGAGAAAGGAGCTAGTGTAGGCGATGTTTTCCGCGTGCGGTTTCGAGCGCACGTCCCAGCTCTTGCCGTAGAAGGTCTCCTGTGTATGCCCGATCTTGTTGGCAATGGTGATGACCGACTCTTCGGACGGGGGTACGTTACGTAAGAAAAGCAGTCCGTGGGTATGAAGGTGGTACAGGCCGGAGAGGAACCCTTGCTCGCTGGCCATCCAGTCATTGTAGTCGATGACGGGACGGTCACGCTCCATGGCTGCCCTGTCCCACAGAGTTAAGAAGGGTAACGTGAACGGAGCAAAGGCGTGGCCTGGTTTGAAGAAGGATGCGACTTTGGCGGGCGAGTAACGAGAGACATGGGTGCCGGAGGTGAGAAAATCGTTCTCCCAGCTCACCTCCAACCCGCCGTCCTCGGTCTTACGCGTACTCCCGACGGGAAGGTCGAGGGGCACGTCCAAAGTGCAGAAATTCTTCTGGCCCGAGTCGGGGTCCACGCATTTGTCGCAGGTGCACGAATCGCGCAACCAGTGGCGATCCAGGAGGACAGGGTCGTCCTTTTGCGAATGGGTGAGGAGAATGGTGGTATTTACGGTGAAATCGGGGAGACCGCTACCATGGCTAGGCGGGCTAGAGTCGGGTTGGCTGGAATTAAGCCGTTCCGTCGGCTCTGGCGAGGGAGAAGGTGATGGCGAAGGGGGGAGGGAAGAGAGCTGCTCGCCGCCGCTGTAACAACGGGGACCTTGAAGAACATTTTTCAGCTGATGTCTCGGGGCTATCGGGGCTGTGCGTCTACCCCATATCACCGGCGACGCCCGATGAAGATAGCGGCCAAGGGAGGGCACGCTCGAGTATGCGTGGAGACCCTTGAACATGGTGGCCAACTGCAGAGGAAGAAGTAGCTGGCGAGCGCCAGCGAATATAAGGGGACGAGAGAGACGACGAGGGAGAGGATGAAAAAGAGGACTCGGGCTTGGTGGATCCGATTGCGATAGTGAAAATTCCGATTACGTAAGTGGACGGTCGACCGGATCGATCCATCGGACGCATCCGACAAAGATGTCTGGCACCCAATCAAACGGTGGAGCGGGCTGCTGGAGGAATGATCCCATTAACCGAGCTATTCACTTAACGGAATTATACACCAATAAAGAGAAGGATTTGCCCCTGACGCCAAATAGTAGGCACGGTTTATTTGCCCCGGGACATTCCAACCATGGGCTATACGCACTATGGGAGCTGTGGGCATGCGGACGTATATCGAGAGAGAGGTGGAGGGGAATTCAAATACAAGTATACGGGTGCATCTATCCCGCCCTGTGCCATGTCTCATATACCAGGGTGTAGGTATTGTTCCCAGGGTTGTGCGTGCCGGAGCCGGCCCTATCGGTCGGTGTCGGGGGAGCCGTCTGGAGGGAAAGACACCGCCGAATACAACTCAAGAGACGTATGCCTGGGGGCCAGAGGGATCAGCGACGTTCTCTTTGTTTTGCGGATGCCCCGTTGGTGTCTTCGCCCCTTCAAATGCTTCTGCCACTGATCTGCCGAGCTGACAGAAACTCCACACGTATTGCATGTCTCAACCTTCAACGTAAGCTGTTCGGGGCTGCTACTCGCCCTGAAGGCCGCTAGGACCTCGCCGGCTCTACTGGACACTTCGGCTGGGTCAGGTAAGGGTTGCCCACTGAGAAATGTTCGCAAGAGCCGCGCCGCTGGCTCGAGTACGTCAGCCGAGAAGCTGTCGACATTGGAGCTGTTTAGTAGAAATAGATAGTCCAATGCATCGTGATCTCGGAGCATGTTGATGGTCTTGTGTCGGATCCATCGCAGCTGATGTCTTGCGTATTGTCGTGTCCCGGTCCTGATTCTTTCAAGTCCGGCTTCTTTCCGTCGGGTCCTCTCCTCTGGACTCGCACCGTCCTCTTCGGAGTCGAGGAAAGGCTCCATCTGTCTATACCCGATGGACTGCCAGATCCCTCGGGTAAGGTTGACGACCTCGCCTTGCTCGGATCGAGCTTTCCGACTGTTATGCAGGGCTCTCACCTCGGCTATGAGTCCTCTCTCGATCATCTTGTCCACTCTCTTATCGAGACGCGACTGTAACACTTCGGGGTCCGTATGCACCCAGAACATTAGTGCCTGCCAGGGGTCTTTCTCCGGATCCGGTGCGGCTCTGGCCTGCTTCTGCTCGGCGTATATATCTGACGCTCGTTTGCCGGTAGAGAGGAATATCTGCAGAGATCGCCTGATCTTGCGTCGATCTCCGGGGTGCCATCGATCCGCCATGGCAGGATCCACCTCTCGAAGGCGTTTCAGCATTAGATCTGTAGGTGCGTTTAGGATAGAAAACTGTGTTAGGTGCTCTTCGTCGGGTTGTGCTGGCGAGGCCTCTTCCTCGTACAGCGAGCCGAGAATGCTGTCCTCAAAAAGCAGAGCATGGATGTAGTAATGAGTTCCTCCGACCACGATGGGGAGCTTTCCTCTGCTTCGGATCTCGCAAATAAGCCTGGCGGCCTCGCGCGCAAAGATATCGGCGTCCCAGGTCGGCTCACGGGGATCGATCGTTGCCAGCAGATGATGCGGAACGCCCCGACGCTCTTCCACAGGAAGCTGGTTCGTGATGACTGGCAGGCCCTTGTACATCTGCATGGCATCGGCATTGATGATTTCGCCGTTAAACCGGCGCGCCAAGTCTACGGCAAGCTACGACCGACATTAGCCCGAGCAGGACGGTAGAGAGCGGGCTCTTCGTCGGGAGGAAACCAACGTCTGATTTTCCCGTGCCGGTCGTACCAAAGATAGCCACGAGGGGCTCTCGAGGAGGACCCGCGGTGGCCATCCTCCGCACATTCCTACCGAGAAAGTGCACGATTTGCTGTCTCCGTATCATAGGCCAGGAACGATCTCATCGGTGGAGACGATCGGATAGCCCGTAGGTCGTATGGAGAAGAGAAAATGCATGCTTCTCTAGTTATTACGCAAGGGGAAATGTGGCTCGGCACGAGAATGATGAGAAAAGACTTAGGTGAATGCCCCCAGTCTTCTCGGGACAACGACAAAAATATTCAAAGGTTGTTCAAAGAGCATCGCAAAGCCACTGGAGATATTCTATCTAACCAGCAAGCCGCACCTCGGCCAAGGTTGGGTGTGGCTGTGCCCGCTTACAGCGGGACTCGGCGACTTTACGTGTACTCATAGGTACCCGGTACTAATCCTAGTCTTACCTCTTACAGGTACCTACCTAAATATAATAAGTCCCCCCTACACTGCTCTAGGTACCTACGTATAGCAGGTACTTGCCCTGAGAGGTACCTTTCGACTTCGTTCCCCTCGTGCTCTGGCAGGTATGTGTCGGGCCTAATGCTACCTAAAGTACATCGGTGGGTAGGTACCTAGGTATATTAGAAATCGGGATCTGTACGTACATAGGTACCATAACTTCCATAGAGGTACCTACCCACCTAGGTACCAAATACCCGTGCATATGCATTGCTCCGACCGACAGGTGAGAGGTCACGTGGGCATGCGCGGATGAGGGATGCTTACCTAACTCCGCTCCGTCGCATTATGGACACATAGTTCAATTTGGGGGGATTTTTGATGCCAGATTTATCTCGCGACTTACTAAATCCTCTCCTTCTTTTCCCCCGACAGAACCCCATCGCGACGACCCTTATATCAACGAGGGCCTTTCGTCGCTTCGCTTCACCCTTTTTTCCTTTATTTCTTCTCCTTTCTCCCTATAATCTTTCCTATTTCTCGCACGCCGCCACCATGAGTAGCCGTGAGTCTCCCTCATCTGCCTGGCCTTCCCGCGCTTCGCCCTCGGTCCTCTGGGGGCTTGCGACGCGACCGAGTCGCCGCCATTGAGTCCCGAAAGCAGCTAACTTGGCCCCATCAGTGCGGTTCCTCGATCTCGTTAAACCCTTTGTGGCTTTCTTGCCCGAGGTTCAGCAGCCGGAGACCAAGGTCCCGTTCAATCAGAAGTTGATGTGGACCGGTCTGACGCTGCTGATCTTCTTGGTCATGAGCCAGATGCCTCTGTACGGCATCGTATCCTCCGACACCTCGGATCCCCTATACTGGCTGAGAATGATGATGGCGAGTAACCGGGGAACCTTGATGGAATTGGGTATTACGCCGATCATCTCTTCCGGCATGGTCTTCCAGCTCCTCGCTGGCACCCACATGATCGATGTCAACCTTGACCTCAAGTCCGATCGTGAACTCTACCAGACGGCCCAGAAGCTTTTCGCTTTCATCCTCTCCGCTGGCACCGCCACTGTCTACGTCTTTACTGGCCTCTATGGTCGCCCCTCCGACCTGGGTGCCGGCATCGTCTTCCTCCTTATTCTGCAGCTCGTCGTGGCAGGCATGATTGTCATCCTCCTCGATGAGCTGCTACAGAAGGGCTATGGGCTGGGAAGCGGTATTTCCCTGTTCATCGCGACCAACATCTGCGAATCCATCATGTGGAAGGCCTTCTCCCCTACCTCTATCAACACCGGCCGCGGTCCCGAATTCGAAGGCGCCGTCATTGCTCTCTTCCACCTCCTGATGACCTGGCCCAACAAGCAGCGTGCTCTCCAGGAAGCCTTCTACCGCCAGAACCTACCCAACATCATGAACCTGCTCGCCACTCTAGCTATCTTCGCTGCCGTCATCTACCTCCAGGGCTTCCGCGTCGAGATTCCTGTCAAGTCTAACCGCCAGCGAGGCGCTCGCGGCTCGTACCCCGTCCGCCTCTTCTACACCTCTAACATGCCCATCATGTTGCAATCTGCTCTGTCCTCCAACATCTTCCTCATCAGCCAGATGCTGTACTCTCGCTTCTCGGAGAACCTCCTCGTCCGCATGTTCGGCGTCTGGGAGGCCAAGGACGGATCCTCTCAGCTTTCGGCCGTCTCCGGACTCGTCTACTACATGTCCCCCCCGCTCAACTTCCGCGACGCTCTCCTCGATCCCATCCACACTGTCGTATATATTGCCTATATGCTTACCGCATGCGCCATCTTCTCTAAGACCTGGATCGAAGTCTCTGGCTCGAGCCCGCGTGACGTTGCCAAGCAGCTGAAGGAGTCGGGTCTCGTCATGGCGGGCCACCGTGATCAGAGCATGTACAAGGAGCTGAAGCGCATCATCCCTACGGCCGCCGCCTTCGGTGGCGCGTGCATCGGCGCGCTTTCTGTTGCCAGCGACCTCATGGGAGCTCTAGGCTCCGGCACCGGTACACTTCTAGCCGTTACGTAAGTTCAATTTCCTTCCCGCCATAGGTAACGGGCGCGACGAGATTTTTCTTTCTCTTGCTAATACGCATTCTGAATCAGCATCATCTACGGGTACTTCGAGATCGCAGCCAAGGAGGGCGAGCTAGGAGGCATGAAGGGGATGATTATGGGGTAAAATCAGTCGCTCAACTTCATAGATGGGAAATCCTACTCATTGGCTGCTGCGCGACATTTTCGGGTGCACCGTTGTTCCGCGCCGCGTGTAATACCAAAGGAATATTTTTCAAAAAGAGAAAAGTCACATGTGGGTTCTCACCGGGGCGGCGGAGCTTGGAAAAAAAAAAGCCATCAACGGTGGGCTGAAGCGCTTCTCTGCCATGGACCCCTCGTTGAGGGGAGCTCCAGGACGCAGAGTGTATTAGTCTACGTACAACGAAAAAGCCACGCGGGAGTTATGAAAACACGACAGATCATTGTTACATACTATAGAATTCTCCCTACGGCTTCTCCTGTCGGGAATACGCGTCGTGGAGGCTCCCTTTAGAGAGTGAAAGGCGGACACTCTTCCGTATCTATGTTCCCGTTCAGCGCCTGAGATCGTCGGGTAGGGTGAGGAGAGAATGTTAGTCGTCTGTCTTGGAAACTAGTTAGTTACGTCCCTTGGGAAGGGTTAGCTAGGCAGCACGACGCCAATGCTGCAAGTCTACCCATAGGGACAACGCAACGCAGAGAACCCTGCTGCTTGGCGCGAGATCCTCCCGGCACTAGATTCCAATCCCTGGGACATTCGGATAGCCGGTGTGCGTAGAGCGTCACGGACGTGAGCTGATTCCACAACCAGCTTGGACGTAGGTACGTAGGCAACAGATCTAGTTGCCTCTACACTCTGCAAGGCTCGAGTTGCTCTGGTGAGAGACGTATGTGGTGTGCATGTGTGCGTTTACGCAGGAGGCACCGGGCTACAAAGGATTACGTACAGGAGCAGATGATACTCGTGGTTATAAGTATGTAGCGGGATTCGTCTGCCTCGGGGGGGGGCAGCGTCGATCCCCGCGAACGCCGTCTTTCGACAACACTCAGCGCGCTTCCGCGACGCATTGCCAGCCCATCCCGCGTCGGCCTCAGTCCGACTCGTCCGCGTTTCCCGCCCCCCATTTGCGCCGCAGGGTGCCCAGCCACTCGGAGACGCTGGCGAGCTCGCCGCCGACGCGGACGCCGCCCTCGAGCCGGCCGCCGACCCGCACGTTCCCCATCAGGCACTCGATCCACTCCTGCTTCTCGCGGCGCGGCAGGCACAGCCAGTCGTGCGTCGCGTTGCACGCGAGCCCGCGGAACGTGAATATCTTGTCGCCGCGCCGCACCCTCTGCAGGCACTCGCCGCAGAAGATGGTGTCGAGGCAGTACCGGCACGCGTACACGGGGTTCTCAAAGTCCCACTTCCGCTCGCACGGCCCGTCGCAGCCGCTCTGCACGCGGAGCCCGGGTTCGGCCTTTGCCAGCTGGCGGAGCCGAGCCCGGACCTCCTCGAGCCCCTGGGCGGCGCCCGCGCCGCCCGCGCCGTCGCCGCTCGGCGCCGACGAGGACAGGAGGCCGTCTACGTGCCCCAGCGCGAATCCGAGCTGCTCGGACAGGAGCTGCGGCCCGCGGAACTGCGCCCGCACCGCCGCTTGGACGTCGCGGCTGGCGTGCTGGGCCGCCTCCGAGTCGAAATCCAGCAGCCAGCCGAGAACGTCGGGCCCGGGCGGCTTGCACAAGAGGTGCGAGAACGCGGACAGGGCGTTGAGGTCATCCCTGCAACTCAGCAAGACCGCGGCGGCGATGCCGTACCCTTCCCGGTCGTTTTCGCTCACGTCGTCGGATAGCGCGTCCAGCCCGGAGCTCATGATCCCCTGAAGCACGTCCTCGCCCCGGCTCCGCGCTTCGCTGAGGACGTAGAAGGAAGCCAGATACGTCTTGGCCGGGGACAAGATGAACGGCAAATCGTTACCGACAAACGTCCTGAGGTCGCGGATGTGCTTTTCCCTGCCGGACGGGTTCGTCTCGGCTCGAGCGCGGTCGAAGTGGTAAGCGCTGATGAGCCTTGTCGCTTGCGGCCCGGGCCAAGAACGCGTAAATCCTGTAAACCCACTGCAGCTCTCAAGGCACCGATTCCACGAACCAATATCGGCGTCGCCGAGCACGGTGTCGTCTTGGAAATAGTGTCGGGCGGCGCCCTCGTACAACAGTAGTCCGGCCTTGACATACGATTGCCCCTGCGATTGGGCAAGAGCGATGGCGACTTTTATCTCCTCGAGAAGAAACAGGGAATCGCCGGATTCGGCAGACACGAAGGAGAACAACCTCATGATCAACTCATCGGAGGCGTCATCCGCTATGAGTTGTTGGAGGATTTCGGTTAGGGAGCCTGGCTTGCGCTTATCGTCAGGGCCGTTAGTGAGCCGGTGCCAGACCTTTGCGTAGCCCTCGTTGTGGCCGTTCATCAAGCAACTCCTGAGAAGCCGGTACAGGGCTTCTGCCTGGCTTGGCATCAAGTCGAGGACTTGATTCACGTACTTGATTGCAGGTTCCGGTTGATGAAGTTGATAGTGCCACTCAGAAAGCCGGAGGTAGATGCTGATAAGCCTTGTCTTGTTTTGTGGCATGTCGTTCTTTGCCAATCCTGCTGTCGCGTCCGCTTGGGTGCTCCTTGAGTTGCCCGGGTTACCCCCCAGGCTGATCGTAAGCCCCTCGTCACCCGATGGATCCTGACTGCTGAGTTCGATGGCCTTCTGGTACGAACTGATGGCCAAATCAGATTCGTCTCTGTGATAATATGTATCGCCTAATCGTTGATACCAGAGGGAATCGGGCACTGCCTCTTTCAAGGCATGTTTCCGACACCAATCTTCTACCATAGTAACAGTCACCTCCTCTGAACCTGAGTTCTGGGCGGCATCATCGCTCGGGGCGGTACCTCGGCCTGTATTTGGGCGACCGCCATCATCATCGAAACCGATCTGCGTTATATCAGCCCGCATTCAAAACATCTAACGGCGTCCTTGAAATGGGGGGAGGGGTAGCACGAGGGCATACCATTGTGAGATAACCATGGAGCCATCGGAAGACCTTGGGTGCTCTCCAAGAATCGTCCCGTAACCAGCGCTTAGCCAACATCTTCATGATGTCCAAAAGTACCAGGCGCTCTGGCTTCTTGTCTCTTGCCACATCCTTAACCCATTGGCTATCGCGTGGTCCGAGATGGCCTGTGACGGATTTGTCGCCTAGCCACTTCAGGAATATGCCAATTTCGCGCTTGTCGCCGAACCACATCACCCATTTGCAAATGTCCCAGTGCTTCTCGATGCCTCTGGTGTTTAGAAACAGTCTGATTAGCCCATCTCCAATCTCGCGCTTCTCCGAGGCCTTCAGTATATCGGGCCCATTCGGCGTCTCTAAATTCTTAAGGTCGTTCAGATGATCGGGAAGAAAGCTCAGCGCGTATAGGCCGAGAGCTTCTGTTTTGGGGTTTGGATCTTCCGAAATAAGCTGGAGTATGCGCCTGACGATAGTGAGATGGGCTTCGAACTCATTGACCTGGATATTCTCTTTTGCGGTATTCTTAGTGCCGGTATCGTCGTCCAGGTCATATCTGTTGATTTCGTTGGCTAGCTTCCAGAAGAATGACTGGACGCTTGTACGATCACCTTTTGTGATAGTAATCGTAGCTGAGAACCTCGGGGTCTCATCCATATTCCGAGGTTCTGTCCTCGGCTTTATCAAGCAAGCCGCCATACCATCGACGACTTCGACAGATCCATCGTCGGAAACATTAAAGATTTTGGCGTACTTTGTCCTCATTTTCTTCCCGAGTGGTTGTATGGAATGCTTGCGGAACCGGAGAAACTTATTCTGGAGTGAGCCGGAGTCGGAAAGGGGTTTCGGTTTCGGTGTGGACTTACTAGAGCAGCCTTCAATAGCTCAACAGTAAGATTGTTAAACTTGACAAATATGGCCCATTTAAGAAGCTCGTTGAGCTCGCAGATATCTTGTGGGCCCAACGCGAGTTGTAATTCGTTGATTTGGGCTTGGAGTATCGCATTCTGGTCTTCGCGGGAGGCTTCGAGCACTCTTTCTACTTGTTCCTCGGTACCATCGTTATCAACGATGTTGCGGAGGCTTTCCAAGGCGGTATTGACCTTGTAGTAGTTCCCCCTCATCTGAGTGGAGAGCTTTTTGAGAACGCTCTCCCTTATTCTCGTCGAGTCATCGTCGGATTCCTGCAGTATGTCCATCTTCTTCAGAGTGTCGTCGACGTACCCTCTGAGGTCACTCCCGTTGTGTTGCTCAACGTTGATCTCCAGATGGCGGAAGTGCGGTCGTGGCTCTAGTGAGTCCGGCCTCATAGACACAAGAACTCGAACGGAAGGCTTGGTTTGATCTATGTCCCTGATGATGTCCATCAATTGCCCCACCGCTTCTCTAGCACGAACCCCTAGGTCAGCCAACCCATCGAAGAGGAGGTAGTGCGTTGCCCGTCCCCGCGGTGAGCCAACGCCAAGTAGTTCCCAGAGCTTTGCACAGGTAGCGTCCTTCAAAAAAACATCGCTGACCTCTTCCTTGCCAAGAACTTCGGACAAAGCCTTCTCAAACGCACTGTCTTGCTCTGCTAGTTGGCAGGCCATGGCCTTGATGGCCGTATGGAGGGGCTTCCAATTTTCGTCATCTTTACCACTTCCTTTCTTATTTGAGGAGAAGAAGTAGCTTCCAATCAGTATTCGAGACGATTGCACGCCCCCGTACTGGCATTTCCCCCGGAGCTGATGGAGGATGACGGACGTGAGGAAAGTCTTGCCAGTGTTGGGACCGCCGGAGAGAAAGAGTATATTACTTCTATTGGAATCTACACCGTCAGCCCATTTTTGGAACTCGGGCTGGTGCCAAATCCATTCTCCCGTCCCGCTCGCGGCCGCTTTCCAAAGTTCGTCGCCTGCATTGGTCGATGGTTCCTCTACTTTGGTGCTTATCCCGAGCTTTTCGTTAATCATTCTTAAACGGTTTCTGCTGCCTTCCTCTCTCTTGCGCTCGTCATCCGAGTCCTTCAAGATGGTGATATTAGCATGAGTCTCTAAGATGGCTTGCTCTGTGCGGTCTGCCCTGTCGAGCAACCGTTTGAGCTGACTGTTGGAGTCGGCAGCAAGTTTCAAGATCTGAGTTCCTTGTACTTGGCTGTGCGACTGCGAGAGGGTTTTCAACCGATTCAGCTGGTCCCGGACGCCCGAGTCATCCTTGAGCAGAAGAAGCTTGGCTTTTATCTTGAGCTTCGTTCGGAACGAAGTCGACTCTCGGAGCACGATGGACAATGCGCAGATGTCGACGAAGCAGATCATCATCTCCTGTATGGCCAGTAGCAGCTCAGAGTCGAGGTTGTCGAATTGCTCCATCTGGTCGTACATCTTGAAGTGGCTCAACGTAGGACCAATGGCCTCGAACAGCCCATTCACGGCGGTATGGAATTCGTGAATCTCCTGCGGGATATCGAGGAGCAGCGAAATCGCGTTGAAGCACATGCTCGAGGCGGGGAACTGCGATAGTCTCAGCGTCCATCGTGAATTACGGCACAAATCTGTGCTGGATCCATACCGCCATGTCGGCCGCCTGCGAGGTTATCCCGCCAAACACCTGGAGACATTTTATCACGTACATGCCCCAGGCGGTCGCCTTATCGGCGTTGGATTCCGCTTCGGGCTCCCGTAGACCTAAAAGCCGGCTGCGCTCGACGGCGGCAACACAGGATTCCAGTGTGGTGGGCGGGTTCTTGCGTATGGACTTTCCGGTCTTCTTCAGGAAGTTGTCTGCGGCATTCTGCCACATCGCCTCCAACTTGTGCGCCATGTCTCCCGTCCCGCTCTCTCGACGTCCCGCGATACCTCAGGGATCCTGTCACGTAGCTGGTTCCAAGCGACGTGCCGGCCGACGGGTGGCGCGTGGAGCATGCAACGGGAGGTGTCGGAGAAGGCCCTGCATGGGCCGACTCGCCAACTAGAAGGACAGAAATGAGAGTGGAGGCCCGGCTGGCATACCTGCCTATACCTACCTATAATATAGGTGCCCATCCTGCTTAGGTAAGCTAAGTGGCCCAAGGAGCCACCAGAGTCGTATTCCTAAGCGACAATTCTCTACGCGACACATGCGAAGGCCGGGGAGCAGACGATTGCGCAAGGGTAGCAGATCGGGAAAGGAGCGGAAGATGAGCGGGTGGCGGTGACGCAGGCCACCGTTATTGCTTAGCATACCCCCTACTCCCTCACCCGCGGATCAGAGGGGTAGGTAATACTGCCACCAGCGTCTGGTCAGTAACCGCCGCAGGAATAGGGGCTGTTGGTTGGCGGAATCGCGCAGGAGAGCAGCAGGTCGCATATGAGTGCCAGGTATCTGGACAGCATTATACAAGTAGGTATGTATGTGATAGGTCTATTCGTCGCCGTGATAACTGTCTAATATCTAATACCACCTAAGTGAAACAATCTCATCAATGTCCTTGCCCCAATCATAAAAAAACCTTGAACGTAAGTCCTCCTTAAACCCCCTTCTTTCAACCAGACAGTCTCCTGCTTGGTTGGCAGGTATAAGCTCAACATCGCCTGCATCCGAGTATAGCAGTCCGTCCATGATGGAATGGTACTCCTCTACGACACGTAGTGGCTGCTCTTGGTCCTGATCACCTCGTGAATCATGTCTATTATTCACGCCATTCCTCAGGTCCTCAAGTAGCCGCTTCACGTCTTGGTGTAGCCATAAGGCTATCACAACGGTAAATTGCTTAAAAGCCAATGCATGCCCCATCTCTGGGTCGGATAGAGCATAGACAAGAAAGAAGGCAGCTCGTTGGAAACTTTGGGAGAGGGAAACAAGGGAATTGGTTCGAGAGATGACAGAGCCTGGGGAAAGACTCGGTTGCATCTGATCGCAAAGACCCAACCACGATCTGGTGTGCTCACCTGGAAAACATCGAAAGGAGAGGAGTGAAATACAGACCTTGGTGATCTTGAAGAGGCTTTCCGGAAACCACCGGTCCCGGGTATGCTCCAGGTACGTTTGCGTGGTGTAGTGAGCCAAGCGGATAATACCACTTTCCCCGTCGATAGTGACCAATCCGGCGCAGACGGATACTGTGTCGCGAGTATCCGGCATGTTGTCTTCGTCGATCTCGGACTTGCCGCTTTCTGCTGCAAGCAGTTTTTGGAGGGAGGAGGCGTGTATTGTGGGTTCAGACCAACTAATCCACGATAGAACATCCATTGCAAGGTCTTTCATGTCCGGCAACTGTCCGGCGATCCTCTCCATGACTTTCTCGTACGTGTCCGTGAGAAGTTGGCTTTTCTCGTCTCCGCCTGGCCGTTGGCTTCGGTTTCGAAGGTCCTCTAACGTGGCACGGATCGCTTTCGGTGTCATTTTAGCACGAAGGATATCCAAATGCAACTGTGCCAGCAGGAACCTAAGCCAGTATTAATATTAGCCAAGGGTGTCCCGTCTCTGTAACCGCTGCCATAAAAAAAAACCTTATATTCCGTCCACTGCTTCCGAAATGACGCTTACGATCTCCTCTTGTAACTGCGGATTGCGTTGAACGAAGTCTCGTAGCTCTCTGATACGGTGCCGTACGTATATTTTCACATCCTCCTCGTTTGCACGGATCTTCACCATCATACTCTCTTTGAATTCTCTCACAATTAAAGGAATAAACCTCGACGTCGCCATAATGTTAACTCTTTGGTGTCTCTGCAAGTGAAATATTGTTGACAGAAAACTGTCTCGGCAGGAACTCGACGATTCGCACTCATCAAGCGCATCCACGACGACGAATACTCTCGTATAGAGACTGGCAACGGATCTTAATGATTGCGAAGCCTCGTCCATTGACGGTCGCGTTTTGTTGTTTTGTTGTCGATCATACATGTCCTGGACGGCGCTTGGGAGAGGCGTCTGCCACTGGGCGAGTTGCCGAAGCAAACTCAAGATTAGGTCGATTCCAGTCTTCTCTTTGCTTTCTCGAAAGTTGAAGTAGATATACGCCATACCGATAGTCGGGTCGTTACGCAACCGAGACATGAGGTCATCAATTACGGCTGAAGTGAGGATTGTCTTTCCTGCGCCAGGAATCCCCGGGCAGAACAGAGTTTTACGGCCTTCTTCCACCCATACCTTGTATTCCGGCGATTCGAGAAACCATTTTCCAGTCCCCGGCTGCCTTCGACTTAGGAAGTCAGCCTGTTGGGAAGCATAGTCGAGTGGCGAGAGCCACTTGAGGACATCCTGACGCCGCTGATCCTTTTGTCTCTTCACCAACTGCACCAACTGCACCACCCCATCATGGATGACTTTCTGCCTCCATGCATTCAAGAGTTCAATATTCAAGATAACTCGTCTCCTGAGGTCGCAAATATCCTCGGGTTCCCAGTTTACTCGCTTCCATAATTTCTTCGCGGCGTCTCTGGTGCGTTTTGGACTTGACTCTAGGCATCTATACTTGTCCAATGTCTTTCGGATGTCTTCAAAAACACGGCGGCAACTCTTGCAAATGTCCTTCAGGTCGGCTTTCTGTTTGCTAGAAACCCGGGGGCTGGATAGTTCAATTTCGATATCGTCGAGAACGATGGAAAGATTTCGTGCCCTATTATGTTAACGTAAGTCACCGACAAACTCGGAGCACCCAAATTTCGCTTAAGAGTTCATACTCGTCAGATATAGCTTGGAATTGAGTCGGAGCATCCACAAACTCCCTTCTGACCTTTTTAGCGAGTTGGACTGTTGTCAGGAAATCGCCGACGCTAAATCCAAAACTCATCTTGGTTGGGAACTAGCCGCCCGAGGGTATATGGACATTATATATAGACACGAAATGACCAGGCGACGGGAAGTTTGGCAGGTATTAAATGAGATCAACTTGGGCACATTAGGCACAGGCGATCCCCTCCATGCCCCTCAAAACGTTGCTCGCACAGCCACAACGAAACCCGACACGTTGTATTAATAATGACGGAGAAGAGTATTTATTCAAGGCGAATGTAGAGTGAGGCTATGTAGAGACCCAAGCCTGTCAGCAAGACAAGTAGAAAAGCCGGGACGGGTGTCCATATTTTTCCGGACCCTAATCAATATTACAATACGAAGTCTAGTGGCAGAGCCATACATGCCACTCGGGGGCTCTACGGCGAAGCGTAAGCTGGACTCCGGCTCTATAAGCCGCATCGCACACTAGTCCTAGATTCTCGCGCCTAGCAAGCTCAAGAGCAATCCAAAGATAGACTGCAACTCTTTAGCATGGAAGGATATTGGGAGAAACGTGAGAGAAGTGCTTCCTACCCAGGATACGCGTAGCTTTGTCTTAACCTCCACCCCTTGCGGGCCTCTTATGCGCGCGTAGGAATTCGATCGACTCGGTGCCATCGCTTCGGCGCGATTTAACATCAATGAAAACGATCCAGATGATCAGCGGCATATCGAGATAGAACGGAACGGCGCATTGGGACGTATTATCATCAACCAAGTCATGCAACGGGCGCGCTGTAATATCTGGGGACGGGCGGCGACGTGCCGGAGGGCCCGCCCGGAACGAAGTCCGTTTATTACCCTCGTGATCAAGGATTCGTGGCAGGACCTTGAGCGCGATAACGAAGGTGACTCCTTTGGAGAACTGTCCGATATTAAAGACGTACGCTACGTAGAGGTAAGTGTTACTAATACTACGAAACAGTCCCTCTTCCGGACGGCAGGATGGACGATGTTTACGTGGGCATCTGGAAGGGGTTGGATATTAGGAAAGCTTCTATTAACTAATACCGCCTGCAGTATCTAGCCGCGCCGGAGGGGCTCGACACCCTCGGCATCTTGCAAGACAGCATTACAGGTCAAAAAAGATACTCTACTACTCACTGGCGCCGTGACCGCCCCGGCTAAGCGATCGCGTTTAGTATCTCCGATCAAGCCTGGCAATGAACCCATGCCACCAAATCGAGTGCATCGCCGCGTCGTCCTTCGTGATTTTGGGAGACCCATTTACGAGCCAAGGTCCTCGGCCGCCTTACCTACTACGATCGAAGCGTGTATTAAGGGCCGTGAATCGCTATATAAGATCAGCTTCCGAGAGAGAAAGCATCACCCGGGAGATCTATCTCAACGGCAATGCATCGCGCAGTCCCGCCGCTGTGCTCGCAGCGCCCTTCCAACCGCGGGTCCGTCTCTATCTAGCACATTCACTTACCCCATCTCGGGATCACCTATATTACCTAAGGCCACACGCCAAGTTATGCCTGGCAATGCGGACCTTTCTGGGGTAACACAACTTGCAACCACTCGGACGTCTGATGCTTCGGGTACTGTATAGAAGCAAGGAGCATGTAATATTAGTGTCACTTCGAGGTAGTACGGCGAGAGAATGGCCATATTCACGCATTTCATCCCCGGATCGCATATGAGCTACCAGACCTCATAGCGGTCACACATATACCTAGGAGACGAGTTCTTTGGCAGAGTCCAAGACGCCATTAGTCGCTGTGTTATCCTTTCCCAGCGTCCCGGCTCCAGACGGGCCCAGGACCACGTTGGGAAATTGAGCGTGCATCGCGTATGACGCGGTATAAGGCTGCATCTCCAAATGGGGGGCGAGGAGGTCTACAGTCCCCGGTGAGAGCATGATTGTATCACGACACATAATCTCTGTATCACCCGCACGGGTTCTGCTCCAGGAGTCCGGCGGCGTAAGTGACGGTATCCGAGAAACGGGTTAGCACGCCCGAAGTCGAAACCCGTCGTAAGCGCCACGCAAGGTTGAACATGGCTAGATGTTCTGCCTCATGACCGATCAGCTGTGGGCTCTTGCGTAACTATGCATGGCCGAGACATGTCGACTTCGGGCGTTGGAGTAAAGGGGGGACGGGAGGGAAGTTGAAAAGGGCCGCTCGATCCGCTGCATACCGCACAGCAAATCAGACCGAGATGATTTCAAAGCTCGAGTCTAGGCCCCTCACAACGGTCTCTCGTGGCGGCGGCTGCCTGCAGCCCATCGTAATGTGGTATGGAGACAAGGCAATATCAGGGAGTTATATTAGGTATGTATTCTCTTTAACGATGCGGCAGGTGGCTTGACCATAGTACGACTAAAAAGAGGCCTTGGGTAGACGAGAATTCTGAATGGCAGTCCTCGGCCGCACGGATACATTGCAAGACTGTCGAATGTTGGGTCCGTGGAGAACTTGCATGGGAGAATAGCCCTCGTAGCCGACTCCTCATATGCACTGCTCCGGGGGAAGTGACCCCAGCTGCTGCCGGCTCGCCATGTATGTAAGACGGCTTCGAAGGCAGGGTACCGGCAGCTCCTCTCGCCGCTTTACTGTTCTGTATCCGGACTCGGAGGGCTCAGGCCTCTGCTAGGTCGAGGAGCCGCATGTCAACGCGCCACGGAAAGAGGGCTCGCCGTGTCGAAGCGACGTAGAGAGCGAACAACCTGGCCCACTGCAAGCTGGCTCGCAAAGGGCTGGGAGCAGGTTGGATGGTTGTGGTACACGTATAATACCTATATAGGTATTTCTGAAGACGGCCGTGGAGTGTGGGATAGCCGGCGTCTGTGTCCTAGAAGTTGGCCATTGGGGGGGGGTGGTAAGGGAAGTGGTTCGGACGGATCAAGAATGAAGAAGTCGGCATATACGGCATATACGGACGCAAGAATAACGCGGTAAGCTACAGGCACATACGCGAGGTAACGATGATGACCTGGTACAGCTTAGCGGACCGTTCGGCGGGTTTCTCCCCCCCCGGTCGAGATTCCCCACAGGCATCGCGGCGGGACTTGGTTCCCTGTTCTGCAGAGTTCGTTATTATCACGGTGGTACAGCCCTATGGTTCTCACTCGCCTGGTCCGAAGCCGACGTCTTCCCACCGCGAGTAAACCTTGGTTAACGGGCCCGAACAGATCCAGTTCATAGCGAGTCCCGTTCGAAAGCTGGACCACATCTCGAGGAGAGAGTAGTGTCCAAGGCTAAGACGAGGGCGGCTTCGCATTTGCATGCCGCAACGATGCCTCCCTCTCCCTTCCATTAGGCGTGGCGGGATTCGATAAGGATGATGCAATGGATGTAGATCCTGTAGTTTGCTCTATGTGCTACGAGCGCGGCAGAGGGATGCAGCACGCGGCTGAGCGTTGCGTAACAGAGCAGAAGGGGGACTGCACGGGCAGATCCATAGGTCAGCTACCTATAGACAGTTGTGCCATGTGATGTTCCTCTACGGGTACTAATATCCGTCTTGGGATTTGCGATGCAAGCTGAAGGGCCCACCTCGATTTGCAAAGGCACTAAAGCTAAAGCGAGGCAGACGTGCTACGTAGTAATATTAGCTTGGGGAAGACATTCAGCTAGCGGCGGCTGTTGACGAAGATGGAGAACAGGTAATATTGGGTTCTAGAAGGGTAAGCAGAAGCTAATACCATTACCGGTCATAGCGGCTTGCCTCCCTTACTTGGAAGTGATAGGTAGGTAAGTGGGCACGACGTAGAGTAGCAAGGCTTGTTGTCTAGGTACGCTGGGGGGTAGGTAGTGCAAAAACGACAACACCTGCATGGGCACACAAGATAAACACAGATAGAAGGGATATTAATGTTGCCTACTGCGAGTACGTGAGAGCTATCTGGTCCGCCTATCACTTATAGGATTCGGGTGATATATTAAATCGCCTGTCGTACTTCCCCCTTCCGCCCCCCTGCCTCCACCCAAAGACCAAGATGGTTATTGCGTGAAGATGATGGCCGGGCGCATCGCGTGTGCAGATGAGAATTGATTGATCACAGATGCCCAAGCCGCTATGCGCACCGTCGCGGGAGTGTGTCTGTCGTCTTCTGCACCGGGTTACCCAAAGGTAGGGGGGGGGGTCGAGTAGGCTGTGGCTTTATGCCAATCACAAAACGCAAACGTCGCTCGAACTGCCGGGGCGAGCAAGCACTGGGTTTAGAGGAGTCATCTTTCTGTCTCTTTACGCGGGCACGTGTAAATAGCGGTGGGCGTATGCATGCCAGGTATTGATAGACGGTGTAGGCGCCTGCAGAGGCGGATAGCGTGTGTCGAGGCGACTCTCTACGTGTAGTTGGAACCGGGGCGCAATCCGCATCAGAAGGCTGGGAAGCCCGGCAAACTTCGATACCGTCCATGCACACCAGGCTGGGGTGCGGTGCATACCCCTTGTGCGGCAGATACGTTATATCGATGTGCGTATTGTGTGTAGGTAGGTTACATATAGGATGTAGGCATCATCGATTCGGCGCGGGGCGATCTATTGGAAAGAATTGCGTTGTGTAGTATTCTCTCCCTCGCTCCCTGTTATCTCGTACTCAGCACGCCGATCCATCCCCCCGCCTACCTACCTAAGTAAGCAGAGGGGATGGATTTCTCCGGGATTACCTATAAGGTGTTGGGAGCCTACCCACCTATTATTCTACGACACCGCCGCGAAGGTTCCCCGGCGCACCCACAAACCACGTCGGTGCGTAGATGGCGAATCCAACCTTGTCTCTTCGCCTCTCCCGTTCGTTCATGTGCTACGTTGGGGTACCTAGTATGGGCCTGCTTAATGCCCGCACACATCGCGCGTGCCTACGCAGACAACCATCGAAGGCATGTAATTGTATGTATGTATGTATGCGCCGGGGACGTGCTAGAGGCGGAATTCTAAACCGGCATCGCGTGCGTGAACCAGAGAAAGCCAAGTCAACCTTGGCGGCCAGACCGGGGTTGGCTCCGGTTTGGCTCCGTCGCGGTTCGGAGGCGACCAGCTACCCGAGCTTCCGAGCGCTGCGTCTGCTCGTTGCGTGCGGTCGCCCGCGCCTCTCCGTGCCGCCTCTGATTTGCGTGCAGATACGGTCGGCTGCTGTTGTTGGCTTTGCCTGGGTCATCGCTCTTCGTCTTCCCCTTACCTATGGGGGGCACGCGTATCCCGGACGGCCATTGCCGCGTTGTTGGGCAATCGGGTCAGATGCAACCAAACAAATATCTCATCTGATTATGTAGGAACCTAGAGGTGCAAATACCGATGCGCCCGTTACACCAAACCGGCACGAGTCGAGCTGCGTCCTCCTGCCCAGGACTTGTCTACCTGCCGAATGGAATAGGTGCGAGCTGTGGCTTTGTGATCGGTCGCGAGTCGTGACTTGTGACGGGTATCCGAAAGCGGGGGGGGGGGAGGGAATCTCTAAGGTTGCTACCCTCCCCGGGGCCTGGGCCTGCTGTGCTGGGTACACACGTATATACATCCGCTGGCGCCAAGATGCTACCGCCTCGTGAAGCACGCCGTCCCATCGGACGCGGTCCTGTATCTCATATGCGTGTATATGTGCAATATTATACGATGTCTGCTCACATTGGCAGATCTGCAATCCGCCTGCCTGCAGTGTGTAACTACTTACATATCTACCTACCTACCGTGGGAAATACGGGCCAGTCGACGTAGGAGGTAGGTGGCCGGGGGACGACCTCATGTTTATCTCCTATATCGCCCTCGACCCTGGCCCGGCCGGGTGCCCTGTACCGCCCGCTGGACGCGCAGCCTGGTAGGGGGCGCCACCGCTACCCACCTACGTATCTAGCAGGTACCTGTAGCCTGCATGCGCACCTCTCATGCCTGCTGCTGGTACTACGCAGGTACCTCTGCCTCGGGTGGGCGTTGCTACGACCGCTGGAACGGAGCACTATGACTACCTAAGGTACCTACTGACTAGCCCGTCTTCGTCTTCCAGTGCCCCACACACCCACACGTCCTCTCTCTCTCGCCATTCATTCACCATTCCACGCATCGCATCCCTAATCCTTTCTCCTCGCCTCTCTTCCGTTCTATGTATATTCCCTCTTGCTACTCCCTCCTCTACTGCTCCGGCTAACCCAGCGCCCTCTCCCGTCCCTCTCCGACCTCCAGTATCGTCGCTGCCACGGCCAACCAGGCGCCGTCGAGCCTCGTCTGCGATACGTGCGCATTATATACAGTCCCCCGGTTGAACGTCCTCTCTCCCATCTCTGCTCGGTCTGGTGGTATCATCCAAGCGGCCTACCGCTCTCGCGAGTGGGGCTGGGGAGAAGCAGAGGAAACATGAGCTTTGCCTCGTGTGCGTGGCCGGTATGGCGGATTGACGACTTCACCACCTGCTTCCAATCCGAGTAAGTCGCCCCCCTCCCCAATTTCTGATATTCTTCTGGTCCGAGGTACCATTGTCTTACCTGCTCGCCAATCGCCCCCCGGCTAACCCGCCGTCCTTTCCGCGCCGCGCTCTAGCTACCTCCAGATTCTCTTCCCGCTTATTCTCGTCGCCTCGTCCCTCCTGCACCTTTCACTGCATGCTATCTACCGTAATGTTCGTTCGAGGTGGCCCGATACCTACCATCGCGTTCCCGATAATAGTAATCGAAATCACACCGAAATCCCCCCCGAGGACGACGATTCCTTAAGCACCGATGACGACGAAGCGCTATCCATCCACGCGAGCGGCGTCGGCCGCCTTGCTCTGGTCAAGACCACATCCAGGGGTTCCGTCGTCCAGGCCGACAGCCCGGCCGGTCAGGACCTGTCCGTGATCGTCGAGGAAGTCGCCGTTTGCGGATTGGTAGCTATCAATATCGTCGCCCTTGCCACCAGTGCCTTTGCCGGCCGCGGACAGTTAGCTGCCGTCGCCGGCCTAGTTGCCTGGGTGTACACCCTTGTTCTTGTGACGCTCCGGCTGTTTTTAGGGAACACGAAATGGAGACTTCCGCAGCTATGGGATCATACTGCCTTCATATACGGGTTCCAATGGCTCTTCACCGTTGCCATATTTCGCTCCGTTCTCGTCCATACTAAACCCAAGACGACACAGATCCTAGTCGTTGCCGAGTTCTGTTTGATGACGCTTTTGTTGGGGATAGCCTTGAATACTAGAAAGGGCAACAAGACGGTTGTCATGGAATGGGAAGGGGATATCGAGCCGTCGCGTGAGCCTCTGGCTTCGGTTCTCTCCTTGCTGACCTTCTCCTGGATCGACCCCATGCTCTGGCAGGGCTACAAGGAGCCTCTGGAGATGAAGAACGTGTGGAACCTGTTACCGCGTGACAAGGCCGCCATAATCCTTGCCAACTATCGCCAAGTTAAGAAGACGACATCTCTCGCTCTGCATCTGACCAAGTACTTTCAAGCTCTGCTCGTCATCCAGTGCGCCTGGGCTATACTGAGCGGCGCTCTGACCTTCGCTCCGACACTTCTCCTGAAGGCGATCCTCGAGTACGTGGAAAAGCCGACGGCTTCTCCCAGAAGCGTGCTGTGGCTCTACGTCATCCTCCTTCCTTTGTCCGATATTATCCGGTCCATCGCCGACGGCCAGGCCCTATGGATCGGCCGGAAGATTTGCATCCGAATTCGCGCCATCATCATCGGGGAGATATATGCCAAAGCTCTGCGACGCAAAGCCGCGAGCGGGCAAGACGCCGTTCTCGGGAACACGGAATCCGCGAAGCTGACGAGGCTAGATAAGCTGAAAATACTCCTGAGGCTCAAGAAGCGACCGGACAAGAAACCTGATGCCGCGAATGGGGACGTTGCTAAGGAGGATGTGTCCGGGAACGCGGACGAGCAAGCAAACTTGGGGACCATCATTAACCTCATGTCGGTCGACAGCTTCAAGATATCCGAGTGCACATCCTACCTGCACTTTCTGCTAGCATCGGCACCTTCGCAGCTCGTCGTATCTATTTTCCTGCTCTACCGCGTCATGGGCCTAAGCGCCATCCCCGGCCTCATCGTCATGGTTTTGCTCCTACCCATCAATATCGCCCTGGCCAAGGGCTTCAACTACACCCAACGCAGGATCATGGCTGCCACAGACAAGCGTATACACACCACCAACGAAATCCTGCAGAATATTCGGATTATCAAGTATTTCGCGTGGGAGAAGCGCTTCAGCGATATTGTCGATGGGAAACGAAGGGCGGAGCTGAAGGCTCTGAGAACTCGGTACATGATCTGGGCACTCGCTGTTGCTATGTGGAATACGGTGCCAGTTCTGATTACTTTTTTCTCCTTCCTAGTCTACACTAAGGTTGAACAGAAGCCGCTCTATCCGTCCGTCGCGTTTACTGCCATCTCCCTCTTTATGCTTCTAAGAGTGCCTCTGGATCAGCTAGGAGATATGATAGCCCATGTTCAAGAAGCCAAGGTATCGGTCGATCGTGTCGAGGAGTTCCTTACTGAGGAAGAGACGGAGAAATACGAACAGCTAGGATCAGACAACGTAGATGCGAACGGCGAGAGGCTGATCGGGTTCAGAGACGCCTCCTTCATCTGGGGTGGTAAAGACGCGGTCGCGGCCGATGGCTCGACGGCGTTCCGTTTGCTGGATATCGATGTCGATTTCAAGATCGGCGGTCTCAACATAATCGCCGGGCCGACAGGCGCCGGAAAGACTTCGATGCTCATGGCCTTGCTCGGCGAGATGACCAAGACTAAAGGCGATGTCTACCTGCCTGGCGGTCGCAGTCGCGAAGACGTTCGCGTGGATCCCGCAACGGGCCTAGCCGAAACTTGCGCCTACGTTGCTCAGACTGCCTGGCTAGTAAACGCAACGATCAAGGAGAACATCTTGTTCGCGGCACCCTACGATGAGAAGAGATACAAGGACGTGCTGGTGGCCTGCGCTTTGGAACGCGACCTTGAAATCCTGGATAACGGAGACGAGACTTTGGTGGGAGAAAACGGCATCACGCTGTCCGGCGGCCAGAAGCAGCGCATCTCTCTGGCCCGCGCCGTGTACTCGAACTCTCGGCACATCCTGCTAGACGACTGCCTCAGCGCTGTCGATTCTCACACGGCCCAGTGGATCTTCAGCAACTGCATTAGGGGCGGCCTGATGAAAGGTCGGACCTGCATCCTAGTCACACACAACACGACGCTATGCGCCCCCTCGTCCGACTACATTGTTCTCCTAGACAATGGTAGGGTTGATATAAAGGGAACTGCGGAGCAGGTGATCGCATCTGGTAAGCTCGGCGAAGAAATTCGGTCAAAATCGCAACCCGGCTCCTCCGAAGTCTCGCGAGCCCCCTCTCGAGTCCCTTCGAGCGTCGGTGACGAAAGCGATCAGACCCTGATCGACCACAACGGACGCGGAGCGGTGAAGACGACCTCGAATGCTAAGCAGGAGAAGCCGCAGCGGAACACTCTGGAAGAAACGAAAGCTACGGGCGCCGTCAAGTGGCGGGTTATCGGTCTGTACCTTCGAGCTATGGGCTCTTGGTGGTTCTGGGCCGTCGCCGTCGTAGTATTTAGCAGCCAGCAGCTCAGCGGAGTCGCTTCAAACTTGTGGATCAGGGAATGGGCAAACCAGTACACCTCGGGTCCCGAAAGCACTCCCAGCATGCTGTTCAGCCTCTCTTCTCAGCACTCTACCAGCTCTTCGGTTTCGTCGTACGCGTTCGCCTCCATCGCCGGCTACACCAAGAGCTTATCCTCTTTCATCACACCGGCAAGCTACTCGAGCACGGATGTCCCGGAAGTCAACGCTGATTATTACCTCGCCATCCTCGCATTAATAGGAGTTTCGGGCGCAGGCTTGGCTTTGGCCCGCGACCTGTGGTTGTTTTTCGGGTCGCTTACCGCGTCCTGGAAGCTTCATACCCAGCTCATGTCTGCTGTGTCGAGGGCGAAGTTCAAGTTCTTCGACGTAACTCCGCTCGGTCAGCTGATGAACCGATTCAGCAAAGATCTCGAGGCTATCGACCAGGAGGTTGCACCTGTCGCCATCGGCGTCATGACCTGCGCTGTGGGCATCATGATCACCGTGGCGCTAATAGCGGCCATGACGCCCGGGTTCCTGGTTGCCGGCGTCTTCATCACCGGCCTCTATTTTGTGGTCGGGGTGTTCTACCTTCGAGCGTCTAGAGACCTCAAGCGGCTCGAGTCGGTGAATCGGAGCCCGCTCTTCCAACAGTTTGGCGAGACCCTGTCGGGCGTCACCACTATCCGCGCGTATGGTGACCAGCGGCGGTTTATCCGGGAGAACCTCGCCAAGATCAACACCCAGTCCCGGCCGTTTCTCTTCCTCTGGGCAGCTAACAGATGGCTAGCGTTTAGAACGGATCTCCTAGGAGACTTCGTGTCGTTCTTCGCTGGCGTGTTCGTGATCCTCAACCTGGGAAAGATAGATGCCGGCTCCGCAGGCATATCTTTGAGTTACGCCATCGGGTTTTCCGAAAACATCTTGTGGCTGGTGAGGTTGTACGCGATGAACGAGCAGAACATGAACTCGGTCGAGCGGATCAAAGAGTACCTCGACGTGGAGCAGGAAGCTGCTGCTATCAACGAGAAGAACCGTCCGGCCCATAGCTGGCCTGCGCATGGCGCAGTCGAGTTTGTTGGATATTCCACAAGGTACCGCAAGGAACTGGATCCTGTCTTGAAGAATGTATCCTTCAAGATCGAACCCCGTGAGAAAGTGGGCATCGTGGGCCGAACCGGCGCCGGAAAGAGCTCGCTTACACTGGCAATATTCCGCGCCCTGGAAGCCGAGAGCGGTAAGATATTGATCGACGACGTCGACATCGGCACGATCGGCCTCAAAGACCTCCGAGAAGCCGTCACCATCGTACCTCAGGACCCGACTCTATTCACCGGCACGATCCGAACCAATCTAGACCCCTTCGATCTCTATAGCGACGAAGAGATTTTTGTCGCCCTGAAGAAAGTCCAGCTCATCGGTTCGAACGAGGCGCCTCCTCCGGGTTCCCAGGACGGCCTGTCGGCGACCAGCCCCCCGACCCCGACCACAACGAATAAGAACATCTTCCTCGACCTCTCCTCGCCGGTTGCGGAGTCCGGCACGAACCTTTCGCAGGGGCAGAGGCAGCTCCTGTGCCTGGCCCGCGCGATGCTCAAGAACCCCAAGGTGCTGGTGATGGACGAGGCGACGGCGTCGATCGACTACGCGACGGACTCCAAGATCCAGGGGACGATCCGGGGCCTGAAGAGCACGATCATCACGATCGCGCACCGGCTGGCGACGATCGCGGACTACGACAAGGTGCTGGTGCTGGACCACGGCGAGGTGGCGGAGTACGGGCACCCGCACGAGCTGCTGAAGAAGGAGGGCGGGAACTTCCGGGGCATGTGCGAGATGAGCGGCGACATGGAGGCGCTGGCCAGGGCGGCCAAGAAGGCGTGGGAGGACAAGAGGCTCGTGGACGACGAGTAGGAGGGAGAAATCGCGCAACGCGGCTCGGGCTCGGGCTCGGCGGGAGGAGAGTAAGTAAGCAAGCTAAGCGAGAAGGGGGACCAGGGGAGGGGAAGGGAGGTGAGGGGCTCGACGACATATGATAGAATTCAAACGGGGGACACAGAGAGGGAGAGAAGAGGTTGTCCAGATAGACCCTGGAGCTACTACGATACGCCCGTTTTAATGTGGGATAGCAGTGAGAGCAGCAACAGCAGCAGCATCAGCAGCAGCACATACGAAATGCATGCGATACGGTTTTTTTATTTTTCCTTGTTCGAAATGTTTTCTCTTTTTTTTTTAAAAAAAAAAACCCCCCCCCTTTCTTTTTACCTCCCCTCCTCGTCGCGCCGTCGCGCTGTCGACGCCGTGGCCCTACTAGTGCCCGGGACTCAGCGCGCACGCGCTGACTACGGCCTGACCTCTTCCTCCTCCTCCTCCTCCGAGCACCCCCCTCCGCGGGCGCGTGTATATATACCTAGCTACATGCATAGACGTACTTGACGGGCAATAAAAGTTAACGGGCGGTTGCTTTGCAAATACACGGATTTATTTATTTGTTCGGTTGGCTGGTGGGTAAGGGCGGTGCGCGGCGAGGGGACGGCGCGCACACGTGGTGTGGTAGGGCGCGGCCAGCCAGCTTGCGTCGGGGCACGGCGGAGACTGGCTGCGAGGAGGCGTGGTCGTCGGCGCGGAGGGCAGCGCGAGAGGGCCGGCGAGCACAAGTGCACGTCCCGTCTCCCCCCCCGTGTTCCCGCGCCGCGGGTCTGGGTGTAGTAGCATAGGCAGATAGGATAGGATACGGTGAAGCACGGGCACGACGGGGACAGGTGGCCAGACGGACGGCACGGGGGTGGCTGGCTATCGACCGGCCACGCCGTGGTCTAACGCTGCACAGGACCGCGCGTCACGAGGGCGCCTTGTCGCTCGAGCACGTGGCGGCATTGCATATTTTGTATTCCGTTACCCGCGCCTATTACTGCCTGCGCCTTATCCCGCGTATTGCGCGACGGGCGGGGAGGGGGAGGGCGCCGGTTCGCCCTCCCGTGTCCGTTCCGTTCCGGTCTGGCTCCCGCCTCGACCGGCGCACGCATACATATATCTATACGTACATACGTACCCTACACACGCGTATACATTCTGCTATACTGTTCCCTCTGGGACAGGAGACGAGATCGACGGCCGGATCCGTTTGCCGTCGGCGGGTCGACATGCGAGCCGCTCCGCTCGCCACGCGCGCACCCGCCCGCCACACACCAACGTCCCGCACCTCTCCTTACTCGGCGAGCTTAGCCTTGGCCTTGCCGGTGGCGCCGCTCTTGACGCGGCGGGCGGTGGGGCGGATGATGTGGTCCTGGGGGATCCAGCTCTCGTCGTAGCCCTTGTCGTTGGAGGACGAGCCCTCGCCGCCCGACAGCGGCTCCTTGTCCTTCTTGTCCTTCTCCTTGTCGGCCGCGGCGCCGGCGCTGCCGCCCTTCCTGGCGCCGCCCCGCCTGCCCTTAGTCTGCGGCAGCAGCGCCTCCACGTACGTCTTGTACACGAAGTAGCACGTGCCCCCGAAGGCCGCGGTCAGGAACAGGTAGAGGAAGAGGCTGCAATCAAGGGAGTTTCCCCCGGGGTCAGTCTGATTCTTCCTCTTCGTGTTGTTGATCGGTGTGGCTCCAGTGAAAGGAAAAAGGGGGAGAGACTCACATCTGGGGGTCGAAGATGCTGGTAGGGGCCTCGACGACGTTGACGGTCTGGTCGTAGATGCCGACCTGGAAGAGGCGGTTGGCGGCGTTGGTGACGACGGCGACGAGCTGGAGGCGGAGCTCCTGGGGCTGCATGTCGAGGACGAAGGAGTAGGGCAGCGACTTGGTCTCGCCGGCGGCGACCGAGGTCTCGAACTGGATCGTGGTCAGGTTGCGGACGACGGCCTTGCCGAAGTCGGCGGCCACGTCCTTGCCGAGGCTCTCGGGGTCCAGCAGCTGGCCGCCGACGAAGGCGACGCGGATCGGCTGGTCCTCGTAGTTCGTCACGTCGATGGAGGCGCGGGTCGGGCGGCCGTTGACCAGCTTGACGCCGAAGATGTCGGCCTCGGCGAAGCTGACGGCGAAGTCGGCCTTGAGCTCCGGCTCGAGCGGGCTGGTGCCGGGGACATCGTCGGAAGCAGGCTACGGAGGCGATGCGGCCTTAAGTCAGCGGCCAACGAGCATGTTTAGGGGGAGGCGATGGGAGCCCGGGAGGAGAGTAGATGAGGTTAGTTAGATAGAGAGCAAGTTCGACGTACAGCAGTATCAGCCTGGGCGAACACGGACACAACGCGCAGCGCAAGAGCTGCGAGAACGGAGTAGCGGAAGGCCACCATCTTGGGCTCGCGGGAGGAAGCGGTGGCTGTCTGTCGTACACCAGATAGCCACAGTCGCGACTCGATCTCGGCGGGAGGTAGAGAGAAGGAGAGAGAGGGAGAGAGAAGGAGGAAGGAAGAAAAGAAGAGAAAAAGAAAGACAAATTCCTAGCCGGTGGGAAGAAAAAGAAGCACACGGAGGAACCTCGCTTTTCAACGCATCAATTGACAGGCGGAGAGAGAAGTCGGCTAAGGACAGAGTCAGATCGACGAGGCGAAGGATGAGAGAGAAAAAGCTGAAGGGATTCGCGTTGGTCGCCAGCACGCAGCCGGCCGGCGTGCAATCTGGCCAGACCAATTGGATGGACCCAATGCGCACCGCCGATTGGACGGGTGCCGGACGGGTGGCAGGGATTCGGCCAGCAGGGGTCAGGTGGCGGCGGAGGCGGCGGCCGACAGGGGCCGTTGCGGAATCGGAGCTGGCCAATGACGTGAGGTCGCGTCGCGGCTAGTGTGTACATGGTAAGACACCCTTGTCACGTACCCAAGACATGCAGTTCCCTAAGGTCAGGTACCTCCTAATCTATTGTATTTACAGGGTAGGAAAAGGTACATCTCTATATCCGAGAGTACATGTAGGTCAGGTACCTTGCATACCCCCCTGTACAGACTGAATCGGGGGTACTTGCGTAGATACTCCTCATGGCTGTGGGCTCGATGTGGCTAGTGAGCTCTCACCCCGTGTTTCCACAAGTCTCTCTTCTGCGACCCCAAGAGGCATCCAAGCATCAATATTCTTATCCCAACTTGCACAGCACGTAACCTCGGACGAGGGCCGATTGCAATCTCAAGACCACCACCACCCTATAACCTACACCCACTCGTCCCAGCGCGCCCCGTCCCGCACGAACCAGGACGCCTGCCTCTCGCCGGCGTACGCGCGGCCGTCGTCGCGCCACGTCGGGCCCTCGGCGTCGACCAGGAACCCGTTGGCGCAGTAGCGGTACGCCACGCGCGGGCTCGCCTCGTAGAACCCGTCGTACCGCGGGTCCAACGCGTCGACGAGCGAGCGCACCCCGCCACCGCCGCCGCCGCCGCCGCTGCCCGTGCGCCGTTCCGGGTGCAGCTGCGCCCACGGCCGCCGGCACGTCGCCCCCGCGCACGTCTTGAGCACCAGCAGCAGCGCGTCCAGCCGCGCGGCCACCCTGTCCGCGCCGTGGGCGCCGCCGCGCGCGCCGAACCATATGCGGTGCGGCGACGACGCCGGCGCCGCGGGCGAGGCGGCCGCGGCGGAGGCGTTGGACGCCAGGAGGTTGTGCAGCTGGCCCGGGTCGGTCTAGGGCGGTTGGCCGCGTGAGCATGTGCATGTGCGTGGTGCTGACGGGGCGTGTAGGTGTAGAGGGATGATGGGCAGGGTCAAGGAGCTAGGCAGGCGATACGTACGTTCATGTCGTAGAGCTCGTGCTCGTTGGTGCACCACACCGAGTAGTACAGGTTGTAGCCCGGCCCCGAGATCCGGACCGCTTTGTACGTGTTGAGGTCCCGAGGGTCGCCTGCGGTGGTGGGGTGGATGTATATCCGGTTAGATCGTCGACCGTCTCTAGAGGTAAGGAGAGAGGGGGGAAAGCCAAAAAGCAGCAGCGGTGGTGAGACGGTTCGCAAAGAGACATTGGTGCTCACGGTTGTATATGCCCTCGCCCATCGCGAACCCCCAGTACTCTATCCCGGCGTGCTCGCGGCGCTCTTCCGCCTTCTTAGCCTCCTCAATCGCCGCCCGCGTGACGGGGATCGCGGCGCCGTCGAAGTCGTCCCGCGGCGGTAAGCCCAGGAGCTCGAAGAAGGTAGGCACCAGGTCGACGTGCGTAGTCACGAGGCCTTCGCCCCTATCGTCGCCGTTACCGTCGGCGACTGCGGCGGCGGTGCTGTAGTTCGCGGCGACGCCGGGCCCGCGCACGAGCAGCGGCACGTTGACGTCCTCTTCGTAGCCGCACGTCTTCCCCGGCTGCAGCCGGTGCTGGCCGATGTGGTACCCGTTATCGCTCGTGTAAAAGATGTACGTGTCGTCGAGCACGCCGCCGTCCGCGAGCCGCGTCACGAGCCCTTCAACGAGCTCGTCGACCGCCTGCAGCGACCGCAGCCGCTGCCGGTAGAAGTGGTCGTTGTACTCGACGTTGGTCTCGTTCTGCCGCGGCAGTGCGAGTACCCAGTTCGCGCCCGAGGGCTGCACGCGGGCGTTGGGTTAGCCGGGTACGAGATGCATCAGTAGAAATATGGATAACCAGATCGCCGCCTCACCTCCTCCGGGTTGAAATTGGCGGTCCGCGGCACCCGGGCGTCCGGGAACAAGTGCTTGTGGCGCTCCGCCGGTACGGGCTCGGTGAACAGGACGGAGCCGAGATCCGCGGCAGCACCTGGGGCGCCACTATTGATGCCCATCTTGACGTTGGCGTGGGGCGCGATGGGCGCGGCGACAAGGAAGAAGGGCTTTCCGTCGCTCTCGACGCCGCGGATGCCGGCTTCCAGCAAGTTGTAGGCCTTGTCGGCGAGCACGTCGGTGCTGTACTGGCCCTCGTAGCTACGCGGCGGCTCGTCGTCGCGCTGGAATGTGCTGTTGAGGTAGTCGTAGGTGTGCGGGTCGAGGAGGAAGTCCTGGGTCACGTGTTAGTCTACGAGAGATAGCTTAGATATGGGAATAGGCATGGCAAGAGACACCAACCGAACTTGTGAACCCGCGCGGATGCGGTGAGTTCCAGTTGTCGACGGTGTGGGCGTTGAATAGCTTCCCCGTATAGTAGGTGTTATACCCGGCCTCTTGGAGCCAGACGGGAAGGTAGTTGTCGTTGAAGCCTTGCGAGATGAACTTGGGATAGCCGCCTGTGACAACGGTAAGTTATGAGCTTGCACATATTCGTCGGTATAAGAGAAAGGGGTGATGAAGTCCGTTTCTGAGCATGCTCTCTCCTCTTCCCCCCCCCCCCCTCGTTAAATACGCTCAGGACAGCAACCCCTTTTTCGCAGCTTCTTTAACTCCACTCCCTCCTCCCCTCCCCAGCGCCCCCCCCTCCTCAGTTCTCCTTCCCGAAGGCATATCTGTACATACCGTACGGCGGGCTCACGTCCGTCACGTTAGTGTTGTGCGCGAGCCGGCCGGTCCACAGGCTCACACGCGACGGGCAGCACACGGCCGTCGTCGCATAGTGCCGGGAAAACAGCGTGCCCCGCTCGATCAGGTGCCGCCGCGCGCGGGGCATGTGCTCCAGCGACCCCAGCGCCGCGTCCTGGTCGTCCGTCAGTACGACCACGATGTTGGGCCGCCGCCTTCTCGTCTCGCGTCTCGGCCCTTCCCCTCGCCCTCCTCCCCCTACTTGTTCTCCCTCTTCCTCCTCTCGCACGAATTCTGGGCCTCGCTCTTGTTCGTATCCCAGCGGGCGCCTCTGCTGCTGCTCCGACAGCGGGAATTGTCCACCATCCGCGTAGGGCGTGAGCCCCGAGGCCCCCGCGGCCTCCGAGTCCGGGCCGTTACCAGAGCGGGCCGCGGTAGCGACTAAGGCCGCTGCCGCTGCCGCTGCTGCCGCTGCAAAGCGCATGTTCCTCCGGGGCAGCCTCGTCCAAATGGGGTGTCGAAGTCAGCCAAGTGGTTGGAGTAGCGAGCGTTCAGATCTGGAGACGAGAGAAGAGGAACCAGGAAGAAAAGAGAGCAAAAAGGAGGGAACCAGGTCCCCCCAGCTTCGGTTGCTAGCGATTGTATTTATTATGTGCCTCGGCAGATTTCCAAGGTAGAGATATCCCAGGATACGGGAGTCTGCCGTTCAAGTAGTTCAGGATGGCGCTATTGAGTTGGGCCCGTCTTGGGTTAGACTCGGCGGGTTACCGGTTGGCCGTTACCTGCTACTTCATACGTTCGAGGGCACATCTAGCCCTCAGGCACCTGCATACCAACGCCAGCTCCATCCCGGGTCAGGTATGCAGCCCCAATGCCGACCTCGACGCGTGCCTCTTATATGCGCATGAGGTAGTACCCTGAGAGCGTGCAGCATAGGCACGCTACGTAGGCAAGGTATGGGGGCAAGAACCTGCGATATATGAGTGTGTGAACGTGCGAGCGTGTGGATGTGTGGATGTGTGGAAATGCCCAGCGCGGCCCCCTACCCCACCCCCATCCCAGATGACCACATACGCGGGACGGATGGCGTGCTTCGGGAAAGGAGGAAGATGATAGCAGGATGCATAACGCCATGTCGTCAGTGGCAGGCAGCCCGTAGCGGGTACCAGCTGACAATGCGCTGACTCCTAGACACAAATGAGGAGCGAGTTAGAGAGGGCAAAGAAAAGAAGGGACGCCGTGGTTGCGCGTCGCGGACGGGTAGTTGTAGCAACTAACTGTTAACCCGCTGCAGCGTCAGCCACTTACTACCTCTTGACGCAATCTTGCGCCGACAAGGGTGAGAATAGTAAACCATGGCAACGCCTACCTAGCCCAGACGCCTCGTCGGTGCTGCGGTATACTACCTAGGGGCCGGCCGGGGGTTTGCTTATAAGCCAGGAGCGGCACCGTATAGAAGAATGCCACCACTGCACCGCCGTCCTCTGCTCCCGCCTACACTCTGATAGACAAATCGAGACGCCTAGAGAGGACGTCGAATCGTCCCAACAACTAGCAAGACGCGCCCTACCCTCCTGCTATTAATCATGTCTAGACGCAGATACCTAGTGAAACGGGGTACGGGGAAGGCATCGATAAAACCGAGACAAACTCGCTGTTGCCCTAGAGTATGGGAATCTATACCTATATATTAACCATACTCGATGCCCGCACAACCTTTCACCGACTCCGTGGGGACTCATGCTTCACCCGTATGAAAGAGAAAATAAAAAGGCCACGCGCGCAAACATATAGGTGAAGCCTAGCCGAACGCATACCGAAGCGAGAATGCTCGTTTCTAAGTCAGATCCCAGCCTTCGAGCAGGTCCGCGCTACTCCCACCCGTCCCCAGCCCACCGAACATGCCGTCGTCCGTTCCGAAGTCGAGCCCGCCGTTCGAGTCCGCCCCGCTGCCGAGTCCCATCTCGTTGCCGCTGCCGCCGCCAAGGTCGAGGTTCATGTTCCCGTCGTCCACCACCAGGCCGTCGTTCTGCGCCGCCGCGAGCGCGTCGCCTAGCCCGGCCGCATTCCCGTCCAGGCCCAGCGTCAGGCCCCCCTGAAGCATCTGGTCGGCGGGCGGGGGTATCAGCAGCTGCGCCTCCACTTTCCGGTGCAACCGGACCACGATCTCTGCCATCGCCAGGTCCGATTTCTGGAGCATCTTGCAGTCCTCCGCCTCCGACTTTAGCACCGCTCGCAGCGAGAGTCGACGCTGCGGCGGCATTATTGGATGGTTCGGGTCCACGAGCATCGCCAATTCCGCCGGTGGTGGCAAATTGCTCACGTCCGGCGCGCATATGAGCGCCGTCGCCACGTCGTGCGCTACGCTTCCTCGCTCATTCTCCGTGTGCGCCTTGACTTCCTCTAGAATCAGGTGCAAAAGTCGCTTAGCACCCAGGATCTGCAAAGCGGCGAGAACCTGCCGGTGCGTGTATGACGTGGGCATGGTATTCAGCGCGGGATCGACGCTCCAGGAGACGAAACCTTGAAACGTACTCCGGATCGCTGCCGCCAACCCGCCGTTCGCCGTACCGGTCCACATCTCGAGCTCGTTATTAGCAGCACCGCCCGTTCGGCGGGACAGCCGGATGTTGTCCTTCATAGCCTTTAGCAGAGGTTCTATCGACTGGCTCTTAGGGTCGAGACGCTGATAAGATCTCAACGAATACTCCAAGGGAATCGCGATTATGTTCACGACGGCCGAGAGCATGGCCTGGGCCTCGCTCGACCCCTGCTTTGTCAGGAGGATTAGCTGCAGAATCCTGATGATGGCTCTCTGCTCGTGACCCTGGTTCAACTCGGTCCAGAGGTGATTCGACATGTATATGAGCGCCGGTACGAGGGAGGGGAGGAGAAAGGTATTCACAAGGTCTAGAATTTGGAGGTCAATCATCTTGTTCCGAGACCACCCGATTGCCAGACGGTATACTCACATTCGACGCCAGTCTTCAAGCTTTCTTCGTCGAGGTAATTCGTGCTAAATGCCAGCACGATGTTATAAAATAAGGTAGGGACAAGCAGGTAGAAATCCTGCGGCGAACACTGAGACAGCAATTCGTCGGTAAGCCCGCTGGATTCTGTATCGAAGAGGCCGTGGATCCACCTGTTGAGGTGGCCTTTCTCCTTCTCTGTCAAGTCTTCGAAGGGCTTGCTGAGCTGGCCGCTGCTGAGCAGCTTCCCGACAAAGGAGTCCGGAGTGCGGATGCCGAGATCCAGAGGTGAGAGGTTATACCGGTGGACAAAAGCCAGCACGAGCAGCAGCACAGCCCCGAACTCTTCGTAAACAGGTTGGTACTCTCCTTGATCTTCCTCGAACCGCCAATTGTCCAGCAGCTCGCAGAGTGGTTGCAGCATCGTTATCGGCTTGTCGAAGAGGAGCATCACGTCCAGCGACAGCGGCTTCTTCGCGAGCTGGCTACACAGAAGCTTCAAGGTCATCGTCTCCTTGTTATTGCAGAGACGACCGATCACCTAGTCGACTCATTAGTATCCGAGTACCCCATACAGCTTACAGTTCCGGATGGTTACCTCGGCCAGGGCTTGACAGACTGCCCCCACATTGCCGTCCATGTTGTCCAGCTCGCCGATTAGGCGTTGAATTTTTTCCGGGTCGCCCATACATCCCTCGACCAGGTGTTCCTTCACGCACCGGCCCGCCTGCGGTAGCGTCTGGTAAGTTATTTCGCCTAGCAACCCCTCAATACTAGATTCCGGGATCAGACCGTGGAGACAACAAGCAAAACAAAAGTCCTGGCGAACACTGTCCGTGAAGGTGTTGTTATTGTTTGTGTCGTCGAACATGGCAGACAGAGTGGGAAACGCATTAGTATCCACCTGACTGAGCGCCTCGGTGATGCAGTATTGGGGTGTCAAGGAGGGAAACATGGACGGTTCGAGCTGCGCAAGAAGTAAAGGTAGCTTGTTAATTAAATAGGAGCGCAGAAGATGGCCTCCCTGCTGGTTCTCGTTGCGGAATACGTTATTCGCAAGAACGTCGAACGAGGCAAGGATGAGGTCGATCGCGGTAGATTGCACGTCTCCCTATCTCCCTAGTCAGTATACACGCTAACGCCGAGGACTACATGGATTACGGCTGACCTGGTATCGGTTATGCAAATAATTGAAGAGCGTAGCATCATCTATAAGCGGTCGACCAACAAGCTACGCGATGAAACTAGGGTCAGCAGCCCCTCATATCGCAGCATCACCAGACCACGAGTTCTTACAGCGGCGTTCAAGTAGATATACAAACCGGCCCGAGAATTTACGGTTGGAAGCTCGGTCACGGAAAAATTATCGAGAGCCATCGTCGACTCTAGGAGATCGTCGATTCCCGGGTTGCCGGTCTCTTTCTTCTTGTTGGCCGGTTCAAACGACGCGAGGGTCTCGGTACGGAACAGCTCCAGCCGGCTCGCAATCTGCGATGCGCTCTGGAGGATCGAGGGGACAAAGCTAGCCAGGCTCTTAGATAGTGCTCTTCGCGCATCTAGCCACGATATCAGCTCGGTCGGCAAGACACCGGTGTAAAAATAAAATGAAACAATAAAAAAAACAATCAGGCCTTGCAAACACGTACCTCTAGCTACGGGGCGACTAAGAGCGCTCAAGACGGTCTGGCTTTCGCAGATGCTAAGGAGAAGCATTACAAAGGCTGCTCGAGCCGCCTCCATCTCGTCTCTAGACTGTGGGCTCTGCAGCTGACCCATGACGTCCTGAGCGAAGGCTGCCGAGGCCGATGTGAATAACGCCATCCACTTGGCCATCAGTTTGCAGGTCTCGAGGGCGTCGTTAGTGTTCTTGAGGCCGGTTCCCTGGCCAACCGCCTTCGTGAGGCGGTAAAAGATGACCTCCTCGGAAGCGTAAGAGCTCTCCCACCGCAGCGATGCCACATCGGCCGAATTGTGGGGGACGGCATTGCCGGCCTTTTGGGCCTGGGTGTGCGAGGTCGAGTATTGGTACAAGGCCTTGAGTATAGAAGGGGTGTCGACGAGCTTGTGGTGGAAGAGCACTTGGACGTAGCGGGGAATGCGAGGGTCGAGGCTCTCGCTGTTGGTGGGCTGGGGCCGCAGGAATACGTCGGCGATGGTGGCCGAGTTGAGCGGGTACCTGGCGTACAATAGGGGTATGTAGCTCTCGAAGGTGTCGGCATCGAGGCGGGAGGAAAGGCAACGTGACAGGAACTTGACCCACTCGCCCCTCAGCCGGACGTAGTCGTATACGGGTGCAATATCCAAGTCGAGCTCGGCGTCCGCTCCAGCCACAGCCTGGTCTATGTCCATCTCCATCTTCAGTCGACGGACCGGGCCCTGACGCAGCCGAATCTGACGCGGGACATGGGTAGATCACCGGGTTGTTTAGCCTCGCAGCTGTCTCGGGCGAGCCAGCTAGCTGTCGCTCTGCTCGTGCGTGTGCTGCGCGGCGCGCGGTGCGCAGTGCGCGGTGCGTGATGTGGGCGTCTTGGTGTGCAAATTGAGACGGCGAAAAGGACGGAGGGAGAGAGGTCGCTCGCAAGGCTGGACGGCGCGCACAGCGGACGCCTGAAGGGCTACCCGGAGTACTGGAGTACCTCTGCTTGGTGGCGGGAAGGTGTGACGAGGGCAGAGACGGCGCGACGCGGCGCGACTTCCAGGCAGTTGACGTCGGTAGTGGGAAGTTGGGAAGTTACCCGGCTTAGCGCTACAACCTGCACGTTATTGGCAGGTGCTTGGCAGGTGCTGGCCCCGCCCCGAAGTCCCTCGCTCCTGCCAAGCTCCCGCTCAGACGAGAGAATACAGCAGTTGCCCCCGCGTCGGGTACCTTCCGCTTGCCGACGTACATAGGCTTGGGAGCTTGGGAGCTTGGGCCAGGTGTGAATAGCGACCACTTCTATCTCTCTCTCTCTCTCTCTCTCCTCCTCGTACGCAGGGGGGAACCACTACTACTATTAACTAACCAACGTCCGTCTGAATTCTCCACAACCTTGAATTGCAAAGCCGCAACCCCCCCGTAGCCAACAATGTGTATGTATATACAGGAGGTATGTATTATAGGTAGGTATATGCCTCGTATCCACGCCTCGTATCCACCAGACAAGTACAAGTCCCCTCTGAAAGTCGGCCCTTCTTCTACTCCTCACCTCTCCCCCCCGCTCGCTCCGAGAAGTCGTGGCGCGATCAGGGAGGATCGTATAGTAGCCCGTAGCCGTCGTGACATGCAATGCGATTTTGGGTGAGGAAGGTAGTGAGATATCTATGAGCAGGCGGGTAGGGAAGAACCGCTCGCGTTTTCCCTCCACCCGGTGCATTACCACGAGTGACATTACATCTGTACAGATAAAGAAATATTACAGCCCGGCGCCACTTCAATGCTGTTTAACTTGAAGGGCCTGTTAGCCGGGTATCCCCCCCCTCGTCTCGTTACTATGAAATCGAATCCCATGCGCCTTAGGCGGTCATTCTCCCCATTCGTTTTCAATACCCGCTTCTTTTTTTGGTTTTTTTTTGGCCGGCCCGCAACTCCAATCTAGTAGTTCCCGGACAAGAACGTCATCTTGGTTTTTTTATTTATTTAATGAGTTATATGTTCGTGCTCGCCTCTGCGGGGACGCGACGGGAATCCCCCATCGTCTCCGCCGCTGCTCAGACATCCTCGCTCTTTATAACGACAGCCATATCTCTATCGACGTCAGGTGAGCGTGGTCCGACCATCCAGTCCTGCATTGCCAGCCACTCACTCCAGTTCGCCTCCGCGCTGACAATCTCCTTCTCTGTGACGTTCTGGAGCGGCCGCAGGAACGGGATATTCTGCCCGTCCGGCATGTCGTACTGCGACTTGACTTTGAGCCAGCCGGCACTCTTGGCAGCGAAGAGAAAGTTTCTCCGCTCGACTTCGTGGAGGTGGCCTATGCCTGCCACCCAGTCGTCCCCGAAGAACCCGTGGAGCACTCCGGGAAGATCTAGCCCCGTCGCCACCAACCGTCTGATGTATGGAGTAAGAGAGATCGTCGTGGGGGGCTCCCGAGGCATCGGGAGCTTCCCGGCGGCGATGGAGGGCGGAGGCGGGATCCCCGAGGGCGACCCGATCGGTTTCGACGAGACGACGGGGTGCTGCGGCTGCTGAAACGGCAACTGGATATTCACGAATGCGGCGACAGCCTGCACCGGCCCGCTGTGTTGGGCGTGGTCCAAGAAGTACCGCACGCAGGACTGAAACTGGGGGTACCACTCGAGGATGTCAAACTGCGACTCCTGGAATGGGATGAAGGGACCCGAAGGGTCGACCTCGCGCGCCATCCCTCGCGCGCTAGCGGACGGGGAGGGTTGAGGGGGTTGGAAGGACGTCGGGAAGCCGGGGGGGGCACCTCCAGAAGGTCGGAACGCCATACTGTCCAAATGGCGATAACGAGCGTGTCGAGTACAGCCCAGAAGGATCGAGGGGGAGGGGGAGGAGAGGGGAGGGGCGTCTTTGGCTAGTCGAAAGCCCCGCAGAAGTGTCTAATAACACTCGGCTATGCCTGTTGGATAATCCAGCGAGGTAGGTGCTGTAGCTAGCTCGCGATAGTTGGTCGACGACCAAGATAGGTCTATGTTAGGCAACGAAGAACTAGAAGAAGGTGTGCCGATTCAGACCGTCGTCGATGTGCCACGTCAGATCGATCCAAGACACGCCAAGTGTAAGAGAAGATTTTAAGGCGATGACGGTGATAGGGACGAGAGAGGGAGGGTAGCGGATCTTGGAAGGCTTTAATATATCCGAGGAGGCTCGTAGGATACCTCTCTTGCCTGCCCTCATCATACCCTTCGTCCAGACTAGTCCCGCATTAAGCAGAGAGAAAAGGAGAAGAGGTACCTACATGCCCAGGCAGGTATGTCATCCCTCTAAGCCGGCGAGCAGGTTAAAAAGAAAAAAAAAAGGAAAAAGAAGAGACAAAAAAGAAACCAATGTGACTGGGTCACAGAGCAGGTCACGGTAACCGGCCCTCGGCAGCTGAACCACGAGAACTACCAGAGGGTCCGCCACCATGCGGCATGTACAAGTCCAGGATTTAGATGTGATCGTTGTGGGGGGCCGATCACACTGGTGAGGCTTAGGTACTCAGTACTTAGCAGGGTTCAACGAATTACGCAGAGACGAGGAGAGGACGTCGGCCAACGGAAGGGAAACAAAACAAAATTGCGGAAACCCGGCGAGTCTGACATGCAATGGGCGTTAGAGTCCAGCTGCATGCGTGCCATGTTGTGTGTATGCGTGTGTGATCTGTGTGCGTGCGCGTGTGCGTGCGTGTACACACCTACGTGTTGTGTGTAAGTTGTAGGCATGTAGGTGTAATCGGTTTCCCTCCTTTCCCTGGCCGGGATTCGCTTTTACGCCGGTTTTCTTCCTGTCCGCTGTTTTCTTTCTCCTCGTCCTGGTTCTGTCAGCCAATCCGGGCCGCCCCGTTCGAAAGGAATGCCTTCCACATATCCACTTCACCTCGTGTACGGTGGGCATGCGCGCATATGCCCACTATTCCATCTGCTCCCCGTACGTAGGCAGAGAGAGGTAGGTAGGTAGGTGGGTGTGGGCGTATGTAGTGTGTAGTAGCATTCGGTATGAATCCATGCACGTACACACATGTATGTAGGTGATGGTAGGTAGGTATGTGGGTATTATTATGCCCTAGGGCGGCTCTGCAATGATGACGCAAGGAACTGACCTGTCGTCTTGGAAGTTCTTGGTAAGACCAGATGCGAATGGGGGGGGGATTAGCGGCAGTCTAGGCGGAGATCAGAGATAGCATTAAAGGCCGAGCCAGAGGTGGACGGTCGTTTGGTTCCTGATGTAGGAGAGAATTGCAGATTGGCGAAGCGGGCAATAAACTCGACGATCCCTCCATCGGACAGCGTCAGTTCCCAGACGGACTACAAGGGAATATGTAGGGGCTCGCGAAGCATACAGGGACAAGGAATGGGACGATGATGACGATGCTTATGATAGTTTCGTGAAGGTGAGGCTGCAGAAGCACCCATGCTGCATGTATCGACGCATTCATATCCATGTAGGTACATACATATACCATAGCGAGGAGTAGAGGCGCTAGACACTACCAATATAACAACGAAGGTTATAGAGCATCTGCTGGGAGATGCCGGAGATCTCCTGAGCGGTCCCAAGGGAGAGAGGGGGGGAGGCGGCATCAGGGGGGATTTACGGCGGAGAGCCGTGGACCGTGGACCGGGGGGGAGGAAGTCTAGGGAGTCCAGTCTACGCAGGTCGCTGCGGCGTTGATATGCCCCGTCCTGATGCCCCCCCGTTGCCTGGCTAGCATGGGTAGGTGGGAGAGAACCGGAGCAACGGACGGGAGCAAACGGGAGTCGTGGGACGAAAAGTGCAGAGTACCGAAGTAGCGATAGAGAGCTGGTAATAGCAACCCTGCGGCGGAAATGGGCAATGGAAGGGAGCCCTGGAGCTGCCGGCCCACACCCCCATCCATCCCACTTGCCTACCTACATGCATCCATCCTCTGCGTAGTAGGTGCAGGCGCCACCAGAAAGCCCGCTCGCCTGGCCGCGCCCTCGTAGGGTACCTACCTAAGGTACCTGAGGAGGTACATCAGGGGCCTTGTCTTCTATATACCAGCCTACCTAGACCTACCTACCTACCTACCTACCTTGGTGCCTCTAGCCAGGCGCCCTCACACAGCGCGGTATGCGTGTGCTTTGTATATGCACCTATAATAGTACTAGCTACCTGGTGTACGCTGCGGGTGGATTCGCGCCATGGGGTAGGAGGTACTTGCCGGTGTAGTAAGTATACTAACCGCACGCCTAAGCAAACCAAGGTTGGAACCCGCTATACAGGTGGGGGTGCAGAGACCTTACAAGGTGTGATCTGGGAACATGCACCAATTCGAGGAGGAGGTACCCCTCCAGTAGGCATATACAGTGTGCAGGTCAGCCCGTACCCCGTCCCTCGCTCCGGCTCCTCGTTCTTAGCACGCAGGTCCTTAGCTGCGTAAGGTACCTGCTACATATAATATACATGCCTACCTAGGTAGGTACCTACGAGGTAGTATAAGAGGTAGGTGTCACCCGCCCCTATGTCAGGTATGGGGCACGCCCGGTAGGAGGCAGGCAACTTCTGAGGGGAGAAGACACCTAGGTCCGGTCTCTTCAGGTGCCTAGGGAGGCGGCCTCGTAGGGAAGGTGGGCAAGCAATATAAATACCTACACCGAGGCATTCCACACATTAAATACCTAAGACACCTAAGACGGGCGGGCGCCTTGGTACCTACCGAGGTAGGAGGTGTTCCCTCGCCAAAGGCATAGGTATGGGTGCCACTGCGAGGCGTTGTCGATGGGGAGGAGGTGTCAGACTTGGGCAGTTCAACTGGAGCTAAGGTCCCATACCTTGGGCAGACCTACCTAAATACAGCATGGTTAGGTAGCATGGACCTGCCTAGCCGTCTTGGGTGCTGCGCTAACCTGCACGGGCTAAAGAGGCCAAGCACATTATCATCAGATATGGTATGGAGGTACGTACTTCACAATGGACCCCCCCCTGCCTGGCCGTCATGAACCTTGGATAAAAACTCGTGGACCTCGACAAAAATTTCCACTCCATTGCATCATCTCTCTGCTGCCCCCCCAAATCCCTACCTCGCTGCTCCTGATCCATCCACCCGTCTCTGTCCTCCGCGGCCCCCAAGCCTCCCCATGTACGAAACCTGTAGGCTTCGGGATTGCCCACCGGTTTACACGCATCCCTACGTACATGCTCTCGGGCCACTTACAGCACCTTGTATTCGCGAATAACGATATGACGCAGACCGACCCGGCGCTCTCTGCTTCCTTTTGCCGTTCCAGGACAGACACGGAGATGCGCATACAGACGGACGGGCGCGTCCCCGGCAGCCCCTTCGCCTCTGATTTGATCGTCAACTTCGCCTCCCGAGAATCTCTCCCGCCCGGCGCCCCTTTGCCTGATCTGAGATAGAGCTGCTACTCCAACCCGCACCCTTCTCCCCATTTCTACCGACGCTATCGGACCTAGCGAAGCCCAATCATCTGGCAAGCTAGCTGTCCTCCTCTCGCCCACCTTATCCGGTCCGCAAAGCTGCCCGTCTTACTACATACATAGGACGTCTACCGCTAACGAATAGGACCGCCCACCGTAGCCTGTTCCTCTTGCCCCCCCCCCCCCCCCCCCGCCTCGGTGCCAGCCGAACGTAGGCGTGTTACCTATCACGAATTCGATATGAAATATTGGCCTCGGCTGAGGCGCTAAGATAACGGACGAGCGAAACATGTCGCCAGAGCTGTCGCGTCGATGGCAAAAAAAAAAAAAAAAGGCTCGCGGATTATGCCCAGCTGGCAGGCGCCTCCGTCCGGATTTCGCAGCCGGGTCTTTTTATGCGGTGTGGATCGGCCTCTATGTTTACCCCACGCGGCCGACAGAGCTGGCTACTCTCGCAGAATGTCTCCTAGGAGCTGATTTGTTCTTATTTTCTCAGTTTCTCTCTTCCTCACTCCCTCTCTCTCGCTCTCTCGTTAACCCTCCTCGCCTTCTCGCCCTTCTCGAATTGAGAAGAGAGTCGGAGACGGCTGCCTAGTAACAAGTAGGCCAATGGCGGTCACTAGTCTGCGGTTTCGCCTTCGTGGCATTGGCTGGGGCTACGACGGTTATGTTTTGCGATTATGAACATAAAGGACAATTACGGCTTCAGCCGATCAATTCAAGATTTAAGGATATTTCTACCCGCATAGCCAAGTGCCTGTGGTTCCGATTCCTTGAGAAGTCGTGTCATATCTTTGAAGCTGCCTTACACCATCTGCCAAGGCCAATCTCAACCCTGCTTCAACCGCCGTCACATGATGAAGGTATACGCAACTGCCTATGTACGTCAGGCACACGTCCTAGCAAGACCAGCATCTATCTGAGAGAAGAAATGCCGACGACTCTCTTATGTATCAAGCGCAGCCACGCACTCAGGGGTGTCGTGGCCGCGCAGCGCAGCAAATACGCGGTCAGACGTGGCGTTGGGGTCGATTCTATGTACCTGAAAAATGACCGTCGAGGCCCGATTCACCATTACGACCCCAACACAACAACACGCTTACCGTTCCGAGCGTCGAAGCACCGAATTCCAGGTTGGCGGGGGCGTTGGTGGCACAACTTGGCATGCTGTGTACCAACAGCAGCGATGGGGATAGCCCCCGAGCGTGTATGCCCCTGGCGGTAGCGGTAGCCCGGTACGATCGCATACTAGCTCCGCCTAGGTACCGTGGATATATTGCCTGTCTCCCTGCTGGGCTTCCTACCTTGCCATAGGGTGACCTTGGTTCCCAACACCAGCTGAAAAATAAAAACGAGGCCAGCTAACGGCCCCCTAGCCTCACTTATAGCTGATTATCAAAATGGAATCGCCACAGCTTAGGTACGCAACGGCAAGTTTCCTAGACCTCCCCCCCCCCCACGGAATCCCCGCGTACACCTACTTAACGATAAAAATAAAAGTGTTTATAATTTACCGCTCCTCATTTCGTTACTGGATCGGCAGCACGAGTAAGCGCACTGGTGCGCGGAATTAGCTACGACGAAATCCATGCTACTCGCTACCGAAGCGCCACACGAAGAAGGAAGACAAAAGCATCACTGTACAGTGCTGGTACGCATTGGCAGCCATGCAGTCGACACTATGCGCCGCCAGTTGACAACCTCATATTTTCGACGTGCCTCTTCGGCTACTTCTGAAACAACAATTGCACACGGGGGAGACAAAATGCTAATACCCACAAGCATTGATCCTCTTTTCTTTCCGGATCGAAACCGCTATAGCTATCGCCCCCCAGCACAAGACATATTAGTCTTAATGTGCCAGTGATGATATTTTTGTGAAGCTTTGGTCGCTCGATCCGTCTACCCTAGAATTGAAAGGGCAA